AAAGTTCTCGACCAATATTGAGTGCTGGTCAAATAAGAATCATTTAATACAAAATTGAAATCCATGCAGGCCAATCTCGAATCGTTGACTAATATGTGCTAATCTTAAATAAAATCATTTCGTTCTTCCTACCAGAAGCACTTATTTAAAAAAAAATAACTAACGAGCTTGCATGGCTCAGCGTGTCAATAATCTGTCATCATAGTGCTCTTTCTGGAATTGCGAGCTCTATGATACAGATTTGATGTATTAATGCACAAATATTCAAATAATATTCATTCAAATCAGAATCCTGATTTTATTTCACGATACACTTAATTCACATCAACTTTTTTTGAGATAATTATTTTTATAAACCTCATTAATTAGAAGCCTATATATGGTCGTATAAATATTTTTTTAGTCAAGTTTTCTCTGCAAATGTGCAGTAACATACCTGATAGGGTGAGAATCAAATATTTCAGCCCAATATTGACGTTTCATGATCGTACTAATCAGTTTTGAATAATACTTACCCAGACTTGTTTTTGTACACCTCTGCAAACTATATTATTATTATAATTATTATACTATATTAATGAAAATGAAAAATCTAGTTTAGGAGATGATGTAATAAATTCTTCTTGGATTTTTCATCTTCCAAAAGAATTCAATTTTAATATTTATTCTTGCCTGCCTTCTATTATTGTTTCAAAGCATTTTTTAAATAAATGGAAAAAATTTGTTCAATATTTTTCTAAGAAATCAATTAGTCTAATTAAAGAAGAAAAAAACCGAACACTCAATTTCTTTTACAAGTTACATAATCCCTATTCAATTCTACATATGTATAGACAATAGGTTTGAAAAAAAAAACGATATTCATTGGAGGGATTCATAAGAACAAATATGTGCTTAATACGATCACAATTTCTTGAAGTTCCTCGCTAGAAAACACTGCAAACGTGTGTTTTTCAATTTTCTCGTTGACATAATAGTCAACTCGTGAATTTACGATATTATTGTGTAATTTAAAAAATGTCTTGACATTTGCAAATATGTTACGGCTCTCTGTCTATTTTTTTTTCAACCAAAATTTGTTTTAATTGTTCAAACTTTCTCGCAACAATGACATTTCCCCACATTTTTTCTCGGCTAAAACTTGAACGTGTCAAAATGTTGACGAATGAAAATTAATGATCCCATGCTTTCCCTGTACACAAATCTCTTCTTTCCCTTCTATTCCACTTGATCTGTTAGTTGACGCCCCCCAACTGTATATTGACACATCCTTGCCGTGAAAACTGACACTGCATTTGGAAAGCAGATACCGCTAGTTGGTATTAATTAGCAGTAGATGTGCAACAAGATAAGTCAAACGAAGCTATTTAACCATGAGCCAGACGGCGAAGCGTCGGCCCATTCTCGGTAGGCAACAAAAAATAACGCCGTGTGTTGCTTCCTTGCTTTCGCATCGAACCAATATTTTTCGCGCCGCTGGATGCGTCGATGGCTTCAAGTCATTATATATCAAATTCATCTCGAAGAAGAAGAAGAAGAAGAAGAAGAAGAAGAAGAAGCACAAGATGATGAAGAAGAAGAAGAAGCCACAGGATGAGATGGGGCGACGACGCGAGATGCGCGGCAGATATCCAACCGTGTCTCATCGCGTCTCGTCAAGTGGTTTCGTTAAGGGACCCCGACTCATCCACGCCATGTCAGTAGTGGACCAATATAATTGGCAAAGACAACTACTTATAAGTCAAGGTGGCGGCCGACTTGAGAAGCTGAGCAGCATATGGGACGAGTTGAAAACAGCAACACATACTTCATTTTTTATTCTAACCTGAATTGTGGGATGTACACCAATCATTATTATTTTTTTTTGCTTCACCCCATTTAAATCTATTTTTAGCAATTCATAATAAAACCCGAATTTTACACTACGTAATGTTATTAGACAAACCCACAATTATGATATTTTGGAAATGCCATTTGCAACTCTCGATAAATCGTAGACGTCTACGGAAAAGTGCATTGCCCAATTTTCTAATTGAAATAATTTTTAAAGTTCAAAAATTAAAATTAATTCAAAAATTGTCTCTTCAAATTCCATACATTTATGTCGGCGGTTTTATAATCATTTAGCGTAACATTTCATTGGACTCTAGAGGAGAGTCAAAGCAAAATATCAAATATATTAGCTTTAAGAACGTACCTTGTCGGTTTGTGGTCGTCTCTAGAGCAATCACAAATAGTATCCACCTCCTCATAATATTATTCTTGAATGTTCTTCTCGCGAAATCAGCTTTACATCTAAACAGCTTCAATTATATACGATAATTCGGCGATTTAGCGTCGGTTATCCAAAAACAAAAAATAGTTTGTTATTTTTTTACAACATTACTTGAAGTGAGTATTCCGAAAAATGTCGCATCCCGCCTTCACCCATCCCCCCTTTTCTAATAGGCTCGATATGCGCCCCTGGGCTCATCATTATCTAATTGGCGTCAAATCGCTGCCGTGTTGTCTCCAGATGCTCTCTATTTAACTTACTTTCGGATGCGGGTAACAACTTCCTGTACCACGCCCACAGCATTACTCCGGAGGGATGAGTGAAGAGACTCGGTGTACGTTAGCATTCTCGTTTTGTGCAATCCCCCCCCTCCGAATCAGAAGCCTTTTATCTCATTTTGCGACAACGACACGGACGACTTGACTTCGTTCAAACGGGGTGCTGAAGAGGCACTATTCGTTTTTCGTCGCCCCATTCTCTTGAAGGCGCCGTGGGCACGCACCACACCGCTTGTGTGGTGAGCAACCCAACTCTTGATTCAATTTCGCACATCTCTGCCTATACATACGGGGGGGGAAGCACGGGGGGTCATCTTGTTTTGGTATTTTTGGAGAAGCATCGCGCCAACAAATCTCTGGAGTGAGGCACACAACCCGACGCCCCAAGCAATTCGCCTACTCGTCCACTCCTCCCTTTTTTGCCGCACCACTCGCTAGCTACCGTATACCAGCCCAAGCGCTCAATGTGTTCAGCTCCACCCCAATGGCATTCAGCTTCTGCATACGTCAACCTTCCCAACTGTAAAAAATTGCAAATAGTGTGGTATGATTCGCATTGTGTACTCGGTCCAGTTATCACCGGTCTGCTGATGCTCAAGCTAAGTGCATGTGACCCATCAATTCAAGTATAGAATAATGCAATTTCAGTGAATATGCACTTTGTTTTATAATGCGTTTTTCAAACCACTGAAAAGTAAAATATTGAAGATATAAATTTAGTATTATTTTTTTAATGGTTCTATCTGCTCCAATCTCTGCAATAGTTGTCGACGCCCACACAGTCAAGTATCGTACTATCTTCCATAACACATCCCCTAGATACATCATGCCAGATACTCACTGAGATTAATCTAGAAGCTGAGTACCGCTTTAAAAAAAAACTAAAGGATTAAAGTAAACCTTTTCAAAAATTTCATTCAATAACTCTCACGGATTTACAAAGAATCATTCTGAAAAATGTTTTTTTTTCTTTTTTTGCTCCAAAATGCTTCAATTTTGTCCTTCCATTCAAGTTCGCTTTTTTCATCGAAGCTATATTATGAAGCTGCGCAAAAGCTTATTGGTTTTGCGTTCCCATTTGGAGTGCAACAACTGTAAATGGCTCAACTCAGACATGCCAACCTGCCAGACATGCGTAATTGGCACCTTATTACCGCAAAATTTTTAAACTAGGTGACCTATAATTAGTGATCAGTAGACCCGTACTTAGGCCCTTTTGCAGACATATGCGGCATTTTGTGGTGACATGAGTGAATTTTTCTGCAGGCAGAGAGAAAAATCAATCGAAATGTTTCCGCATTTTTTTGTTTTGTTTTTTTTAACATCACAACAACAACAAAAAAATTTTTCCCTATTTACTTGTGAGTATCTAATCGCGTTGCCGTACTATAAGAAGTTTACAATTTGAAACATAAATACATTGAATATAATTTGCAAATTGTATTCAACCCTTCTGTCAATTCAAATCTACTTCAACATTTCAAAAACATCTAAATAGTAATGATTCGTCTTTAGTTTTTGGCTTAGCTTGCAGCTCCCAAGATTTCTATTTGTATCAAAAGAACTCTTGGTTACGCCATTGGAATGTTGTTTTTGTAGTTATAATATATATAATTATTGTAGTTGAATCGATTAGATGGGTTGTTCCGAAACCAGAATTTAATTTTACATCTGTCAAATGAATAGCTCATTTTCTTCGGCTTGGTTGAAATTCTCAATTTTTCTCACTTAAAATCAAAGTAAATGAGCATATGATTCATAGAGCTCTGCATCGATTAAAAAAGGCTTTAGCGGAAACGATAGTTTTTTATATTCATAGCTAAAGAAATTTTGGAATATTTTAAATTGCACAATATTCTGGAAATTTGATGTTCATACAACGGACCTATGACGACTCATACTATCATGATACCTCAAAGAAACAAAGTTCCATCTATTGCAAGAGCTTAAGAAGATCAGGAAATAAATTCCAGTCGACGCCACTTTAAACCCATATTAATTCGTAAAATACCGCATTTCAAAATAAAAATGGATATATGCATTGCTTTTTTTTTCGAAGATTTTTCAGTCAAAACTGCATTACCTTCTTGCATTTTCTTTCCGGAAAATCTATAATTTATAAACAAACTGAAATCAAACTTCAATGTTTGCCAGGTGTTTTTGTTTCTTTTTTTTCTTGATAAGGAAGAATTTTATCTGAAAAATTATAACATTTTGTGGGTGGAACCAGCTTTCTGTCGGCAGGTTGTTTTCTTTTCCTGATTTTCCTTGCAGTCCCGATAAATGTTTGTTGTTCTTGTCATTCGCTTCGTATGAATGTTGCTTCTGCTTAAGCTTCCTTTTCTCTGTTGCTAGGTATTTGCCAGTGGCTGCAGCAGCAAAAACCGTATCAAATGCCGACGACTTGCGGATTCCCGAATTGCAAATTTCGTTCGCGGTACCGCGGAATGGAGGACAACCGCCATTTCTACCGTATCCCGAAACGCCCGCAAGTGTTGCGTCAGCGCTGGCTGAGCGCGATTGGACGAACTGAAGAGACGGTGGTGTCACAGGTAAAATGAACGCGATTGCGAGCTGCACGGCTTTAGTCCGCTTCAAAAACCGAGCATCGAATTTCAATCAATCGGATTTGCATGCATCATTTTTATGATGAGTGTGATGATCAAAAGCCACCTGGACTCAAGGCACACCAGATTAAAAAGCAACCGACTACCTAAGCCGTTGTAATTATTGCCAAACATCTGTCAGAATTGTTGAATCAGAAAGAAGGATTTTCACGACATTATTCTTGCAGCAGCTTTTCAATTTTGCCATTTTTGCAGCTTCGTATCTGCTCGGCTCATTTTGAAGGAGGAGAAAAACGTGAAGGTGACATTCCGGTTCCCGATCCAACTGTAAAATAATTCATTTTTTCAAATAAAATATTAAAAAAAAAACATTTTAGGTCGACAAACAGATCAAAATCGAACTTCCTCCGAAGGAGAATAAGAGTGAAGATCGGCGAAGAAAACAGCAAGTGCCTTCAAGATTTTCCGGCGACTCATCAGCAAGTAAGCAATTCGAAACATTGCGGGAACCGTTTTAAGACATATTTGTATCTGACAAACTTTTCAACAATCGATCAACGACCTAATTATCTCGCAATTATCATAATTGGGATTTGGGTCGGGGAGAGGGGGGGGACGTAATTTCGGTTTACCTAGTCTAGACGCGAGAATAATAATTATTCGAAAATCTCAGAGAGACTTGTTATCACTGACAAAATAAAGATAATAGTAAATATCGAGATAATTCAAAAATAGCCGAACAATGTTATCAATAACACTTTGTTCAATCGAACATTTTCTGCTTTCATTGTTACGCTGTCTTGCCGATTTGCATATGACACATTTTTATCAAACTTATGGCGACTTTTTTCATTTTCCAGATATTCGTTATTTTTGAATGAAAAATATATCAATGACTTTCCACTTTGTTTCTTTCTAGTTAACCGCCACAATTAAATAATTCAAATTGCTGTTGACCATCTAGGCAATGAATAATCTATTGTGTGCAGATGTCGAGGCGCCCCTTGCGATTTTTTGCTGCTCAACGAGTGTTCTTTTCTGAACGTCACGTTTTTTGTACCCATTCAAGTGTAAAAATTATTCGAAGCAAAAGTTGAAATTAATCGTTCAAAGTTCTTGTTTCACCGTAAAATTTGATGACAAGCAGAATATTTCGCAAAATTTTTGAAAACGGAATTCGCTAAATTAGACTAATAAGACTGTTCTGATAAGGGGAAATTGATAAGCAATGGGAAAAAACATGCATATGTACACTGATACGAGACAAAATATTTATTAATTTCCTTTAAACAATTACTGTCGCCTATAAGCATATTGGCATAATAAATAACAAAACCGAGGCGCAAATGTTAGCCATCAATCAAAGACACTGCTATCTTGGACAGCGATTTAAATTTTTGATGAATCCAGAATTTCGAGTCGCGTTCGACTCCAATCATTTCATTTTTGTGTGTTTCTGCCCTTTAATAGCGAAAATGGTAGTATCATCAAAAAAAATTTTGAGATGGAAATGCGACCCAACTAGATCATTTATCAAATTGCGCCAACGAAAAATTTCGCCCTCTACCATCTATTAATCATAACAGATTTCTCTCGCGACTTCATTTTTTTCCTTATGTTGGTTCGCATAGTTGGTCTTTCTTAACCGAAACATGATTAATGTCCTCCAGGTGGCAGTCCGTCGTACTTGAAGAAGAATCGAAGCATCCGAGACTTCTATCTACCATTATCGTCCACACCGACATTTGGTTAGTTTGATATTCTTTGTCATTATTGAGTTTGAATTGTGCTGCATGTGTCACATGACATAATCAAACAGCCTCGCAATTTCTTTTTGAGCCGAATGTACATAATTTTTTGATTGGGAACGGAATGTCGATAAAAAAAGCACGTTGTTTGCTTCGATGAGACAATGATTCACATGCCCATTCGTTGTTACATGTGATGTTGAAAGGGTTAAAAATTTTACGGAAGAAAATGTACCTCGAAATGCATTTGTTGAAGGTTCTCGTAAATTTACTTCCTTTTTTACTTGGTGTTTCATAATTAGATTATTTTTCAACGTTTTGGTGAAAGGGACGGAATTATGGGGTGGAATGGGTATATGATTGTCTCGAATGGTTTAATGAAAAACCACAAGATTTGAGTTTGAAAATACAGATAAAAAACATTCCTCAAAGAATTTCTTTAAGTTGGATTATTGTTCATTTTCTGAATATTTGGTTTTCCATTTAAATCATTAAAAATCAATTCATTTTACTTTCAACGATGTTATTTTTAATTGGGTGCAATTTTAAACACAATTGCTCGAAATCATTTCTATAAGTTTCTAGAATGAAAATCATACCCTCGAACATATTTATATTCGTTTATTTTCTATTTTCAATTTCATCGAAACATTTCGAAATTTAGCGTATAATTAATATGAAGACAATGAATGTTCCTTTCAAGCGATTTTCTAAACATTTCGCAACCCTTTCATCGCCATCAGCGTAAGATAACGAATTTTGGAGGCTGTCTTGAAATTTAAATATTAATACATTGCGAAAACATTGAAATTGGCACGTCACATTGCATGTTGTAGCTTTTTCAGATGTTGACAATCCAGCTTTATTCTTCATCTTCTTCCAAGCTTTCATGCTCATTATTTTAAAACTAAAAAAAAAATTCGGATTTCGATGCGCTCATGAAGGGTTTTACATTTCCTCTCGTCGCGCCAGTTCATCATTTAATATGCGTCAATTGTAATGCAGTCATAAGAGTTGTGTCTAACCTCGAATTCAGCATTTTCCAACAAGCTTGAGACACTTGAATAGTGAGAAAGCATTCATTATTCGTCAGATTTCGCACAGAGATCAATTTGTGTTCTTCATTATGAATATTTCATATTTCAACCAGCACCCTTATATGTTAAATTTCGCTTCTTTGTATTGTTTGCACGTAATGCACACCATAATAGGGTTTCAAGAATTCAATTTGAAAAAAAAATTCATCGCTCAATTTTCCAATGTTCTTGTCGTCGTCATCTCCCCCCCCCCACAAAATCGACAGACGTGACTCTGAAGATAAATGGGGTGTGCACAGATTTTATGAGCGGACGAGATATAATAAATTGCACATTGTTCGGTTCGATGTAACACGCATGAAGGCGTGCTGGGCGTTGAGTACACGAAACAAAAAAAAAACAGCGGGGCTGCGCGGGAAGCGTAGGGCTTCGGTTTTTCGAAGACGGCGAAGAAAGAAAGCCATCTCGCATCAAATTCTATCTCGAGTATCTCAATATGTCACAAAGCGCTACACATTCACTTAAAAAGACTTGCTCCGCAAAGCAGGCGGGCGGAAAAAATTGAATAGAATTTTGTGGGGAAGATGGATAGATATTGCTGCTTTAATACCCACATCCACCCTCTCCCCCCTACCCAAAAAAAAGGAAGACGGGAGAAGGAAACGAAGCAAAACTCATATTGTCTTCATCTCAAATTTATTAGAATTTTGCGTTTTCGCATTTCGCAAGTTATAATTCAATCAAAGTTGCCAAATATCCATCTCGGATGCGAAATGTGCTTCTCTTCTTTTTTTTGCGCCATTTTCCCGAATGCCAACCTTCTTTCATCAGAAGTTAGGCTCACAAAATTTCTTGACAAAACTACTTGGAACTTCCTAGCTCCTGCTAGTCTCTCAACACACTCGCTCTATTGCATGCCACGAGTACAATAAATGATCAAAAATGAAGATCATTAATCTAGAGTTGTTCATTCTTCCGTGTGTATGAGATATCTTTTAACAATCGCGAATCTTTTTTTTTGCTCCATGAACTTTTATATCAAATTTTCTCAAAGAATATTGAAATTCGGTGTGAAGAATGTGAGTTGATGTTCTGATCAGTAATCACAAGTCGAAAGTATAACAATCTGAAAATAGTCGTTTTGTGAGAGTTTTTGAAAACAAGCTTAGGTTCTGACAAACATTTTCTGGTAGAAAAATAATATTCACGTAGGCGCTGTTTTTCTCAATTACCAGAGTTCCTAGAACTTCCAAATATAGTCCTAACAGATTTTCTAGTTAGTGCACAATTTTTTTAATGATAATCGCCACAATTTTCACACGCCCAAAAGTTTTTGTTTTGCGCCCATTTGATATTTCTAATGTTTTAACATATTTTTCTAATGCTCCTCTCGGCCAATTGCCATCATTAGAAATTCCATCTCTCGTTTTCGATTCCAATATCAAATAAGAAAGTGTGTTGGTGTGTGTGTGTGTGTGTGTGTGTGTGTGTGTGTGTGTGTGTGTGTGTGTGTGTTGTGTGTGTGTGTGTGTGTGTTGGTGTGTGTGTGTGTGTGTGTGTGTGTGTGTGTGTGTGTGTGTGTGTGTGTGTGTGTGTGTGTGTGTGTGTGTGTGTGTGTGTGTGTGTGTGTGTGTGTGTGTGTGTGTGTGTGTGTGTGTGTGTGTGTGTGTGTGTGTGTGTGTGTGTGTGTGTGTGTGTGTGTGTGTGTGTGTGTGTGTGTGTGTGTGTGTGTGTGTGTGTGTGTGTGTGTGTGTGTGTGTGTGTGTGTGTGTGTGTGTGTGTGTGTGTGTGTGTGTGTGTGTGTGTGTGTGTGTGTGTGTGTGTGTGTGTGTGTGTGTGTGTGTGTGTGTGTGTGTGTGTGTGTGTGTGTGTGTGTGTGTGTGTGTGTGTGTGTGTGTGTGTGGAGGGGGGTAGGGGAGCACGCCAAAAATTTTTTCTCGGATGGGAGGAACAATGGAGTCACTTCAGTTTGTCCGAATTCGAATCATTGCCGAAGTGTTGCTCCGAGATGGGAGCGACGCGCGCGACTAATTGGGACCGCTGCCTATTACATACATAAGTTGGTCCCTTCCTTCTCGCAACCCATATACATTGTGCTCTTTTTCGGGTTTGCAAAACGGCGCCGCGAGGTTTCAAACTGCACTTTTCCGCGTTCACACTCATTTCTTTCAATCTATGTCATTTTGAAATTCTGCTCGTTGACACTAATGGGATTTCGCTGGTTCATGTTCACATCGAACACGACCACCGTCTGCCTCACATTTTGCGCAACCAAATTTTGACAATTTTGTTAATTACGCTAACAAATATGCATTCAAATTCAGCAACATATCGAATAACACTTCTCAGAAGCAAAAACGCTGTTCCAAGAGGTTTTTTGTTATATCATTATTTTTGCTTTTCGCCTTTTTTGCTGTGTCTCTCCTCTCAATTAGGTGGTTTTTTTTCTGTAGGCTGAACTTTTGTTTTTCAGTTTTGTCCTCCCCCCGAATTGATAAAACGATATGGTAGAGGGGCGGTAAAAAAATTCTAATTCTCTTTGAAATGATATAGGCCATAAATTTGAAATATTTTTGAGAGGAAACGGAATGAAACTTAATTAGGCGCAACCTGGTATATTTATGCCTTATATTTGATTCATGAATAATTTCGTGACAGGTGAAATATGGGCTCCATATATCGGCAATGGCTCTGCCATACGTCGCATTTCCCCAATTTTTGTTCTTCTTTTCCCGCCAAGTAATCAACATCATTTCAAGCAATGTAAGCGTTTCGTCTACTAGGCATTTCAATAAGAATTTGCGAAGAAAATTCACACGGAATTGCATTTTCAAATCTCGATTTCATATGAGGGATACCCGGAAATTAAATATTCTTGTTAGTTGGCTTTGGGCATCTTGTATGTCGAGGATCCAAGCCTCTCATAATGAATAGACTTCTATATCTTGTAAATGGTAGAATGAAAAGAAAGTCAATTTTCAGCGATCACTGGAAATTTTCAAAGAAAAGAAATTGTCACATTGAAAAAGCGTTTCTTGAACATTATGACCTAACATTCTTTTTTCTGCGCCCTTTATAGCCAATTGCACTCTACCTACAAATTTTAGATAGGAATAATGTGGTGCACACTTTTTATGTTCATTTTTGGAGCGAAAGATCAGATGTATCATATTTGCAACCAGATTTTTTCTATTAACACTCATGAGCATTGTTAGCTGAAATTTGATATCTGACTCTCTTACAAATTATTCTCGGACAGACATTCCACCTAATAAAATTCCCACTGGAGAGGGGGGGGGCAAAGCTTTTTAGTTGCTCCTTTCTTTGAAGTGACAACTCTTTTTTGATTTCCATTCTCATGTCCGAGTGTAACACTAAAAGGGTTGGGGGGGGGGCAGCAGCACAAAAAAAGCAACATCGTCATTTGCCATTTTTTTCGCGTCTTCATCGAAACGCGCACATTCACAAAAAAATAGGCGGTGCATGCGCTTTGAATGGGTTTGTTTTTGCAATGAGAAGAAGACGAATATATACTCGTCGACCAGCACCTACAAACAATTTTCATTTACAATTGAATCGCAGTCAAGACATAATGCACGCCTCCTTCATTCTTCGACGGAGCTGCAGAGCAGAAGCATCATCGTTCGGCCGTGAAGAGGACCCTTCTGATTATTAGCGATTTTTGTTGCTATTTCTCACTTGACTTCTTTATTTTTTCTTCTTCTCCGTCTTCGACATCTTCTTTCTTCTTCTTCTTTTCTTCACTTTTCCACCTTTTTCATTCAACTCCCCGTTCTTTTGTTATTGTTAACAAGTTTTCACTTATTTACTCTCAATTTTAGCGAATTCGACAATGTCTGAAACTAATGGGAAGCTAACGGGTTCACAAAAACGAAAAGCGACGCGTAAGTTATTCCAAACCATCATAACTGGGATATGAGCATGTTCCAGTTTGTCCTTTCTTGTGTTGCGAGCAAAAAAAAAAGAAATTCCATGTCCAGAAAAAAGAGAAACTAATTCACTTTTGGTAGCGTTGAGGGCTCCGATGATGGTGTAATAGTGTAAGAAAGAGGAGAAGTACTCGCTACTTATTTTCCAATTCGCATTTGTTCACATATCTAATTCATGTCAAATAGTTGCTACACTCACGCCATGTTCAAACGGGAGACGAAAGCGAAAGCGAACCGAGTTTTGCCTTCTGGAATAGTTTTTGAAGGCTTGCCGCGGATGCGACGCTCGCTTCACTCTTCTGACATTGCATAAGACTGAACAAAAAAAAAGATATTTTTTTTGCTGGTGTCCGAGCCACAATACTCTTTTCGCTAAATGAAATCTTGTCCATATTGAGAGAATGACATCTCTCGAAAGCACCACTTTCGAGCATGGCGAAACCAATTGTGTTTGGGTTGCCCATTCATGCAATATGGCGTTCGCCCGAATTGGTTTTATCATTACGAATTGACTATGAAGCACCAAATTATAAGACACGGAAGGCCTAGTTTTATGAGATTGAGAGGTTGAAATAATGTCCATTCAAGGCAAGCTTCATGGAAATATAATGTGTATGTTAGTCGAATAGGTACTTGGTGTTCAAGCTCGACATCATAAACTAGTAATGCTGGGTTAATGGGCTCCTAGAAGCAAACATTTTTCGACAAGTCAATTTTTTGAATTCATGAAGCCGTGTCTCAAAATTTCCCAACAAATTCACATAATTAATTTAATTGTACCTAGATCATCAAAGTGCACAATTTAAATAAGCGATGATAATCTTTTTATCAATTTATAAATAAAATTAAAATATTATTTATTACCATGTGTACCGTAAATCTCTCGATTAGTGTTTTGACGCATATAATCGTAAAATCTCATATTTATCATTCTGTAGGATTTGGAATTCGAGTATTCCCACCCCCAATCAACGATCACATTAATTTAATTTTCTCCTAACGTACCGAAAAAATATTTTGTTTTTTTTCCTGTCTTGATGATTCTTGAGGTTTCCACGTTCATTCTAATCCGCACTATGAAAAGCTCGTATTAAATGAAGAAGTAAAAACTTTTTTTGACGCACGAACCTTCGTATAAATCGGATTGCTAACAGGAATGTTCTACAAACTTCCTAAATGACGTTTTATTTTGTATTTATTTCTAGGTTTGGTTGAAAAACAAACATTTCTTCAATTTTTTGTGTTGACAAATTCAGCTTGTTCATCCCAAAGCCAACAAAAAAAACTCTACGAGTGGTGATGGAATGCAGAAATTGGAGAAATTAACTCATAAATTTCTTTTGCTCGACAAATATATGCAAAAGACACGTCTTCGTGTAAAATCTGTCGACCCATCACCACTACCACAACCCGTCCGCACGCGATGTCAGAGATAGAAAGGCAATAAAAAATTTTTCGAATTGGGTTGGAAAGCACTCCATTGGCGGCTTTGTAATGAACCAAAAGCTGCGCTCATTACACCATGATGCTCTTGGGTTGCGTGTTTTTCATTATGATGTCTCCGGGAGTGGAGAGGGGATGAAGGGAGGGGGAGGGAGCACCAAATTTCGCCACTTGTCATCATCAATTTGTCTTGTTTTCAGATCCATCGCACAGCCCGCACCAACCACCAGCTACTACCATCACTGATCCCAAACAAACATTGAATGATATTTTAAGTAGTATGGACATCTTGAGACTAATTCATTTTAATTAAAACTGGGTAATTTTGCAGTGGCAAGCGCTGCTAGAATGAACGCCCCATCCGGATCAAGACCATTAGTTGCACTACTTGATGGAAGAGACTGCGCCATTGAGATGCCGATTCTCAAAGATGTCGCTACCGTAGCCTTCTGCGATGCTCAATCAACGCAGGAAATTCATGAAAAGGCGAGTTTTGTTTCCTTCAAGCGAGCTCCCCCTTGAATTGTTTTTGAAGCAGATTTATTTTGTCGCTTCTAACAATATTGTTATGAAGCGAATGCATAATTTCCGATATCTTCACGCATACCAAATTTCGTTCAACTCGCCCCAGTGAAGCGCGCGTTGTTTTTGTCAAACCTCCGTCATTGTCGTTGGTTGCCATTGAGGGTGATGGCAGGCACGGAGCAGTGAGGAAGTGAGGGTGAATGTTGTCGTTTTTCGAAACATCTGCGATATTGACTCGCGACGGTGCGCGAAATTTCAACGACGCGCACACACACAAAAAGACAAAACGAGAAGAAAGGGTCACTCATCCTTGCTAATTTATTTATAATGTTACACATATTTCGCGGCACATGAATATGCAGTAATCATATATTCAGTGTGTGGTGTGCGCCTGCGAGCTTGTGTGGTGTGTAAGCTTCATTAGAAAATGCTTGAGGAGGGGGGGGGAGGGAGAGAAGAAGACAATAATATTTGAGAATATTTGAAACCAAAAATTTCCAATTTCAGGTATTGAATGAGGCAGTTGCTGCTCTAATGTACCACTCTATCAAACTTGGGCGCGAGGATTTGGAGAAATTCAAACTGTTGAAAGTTGTGTTCCGGATCGGAAATGGAATTGACAATATTGATGTCAAAGCGGCAACAGAGCTCGGTAATTATATGAGTAGAGCTTTGAATAGAAAAAAGGACGCACTCTCTGAACCTAATAGGCATATATTGAGAATCTAATTTTCGATAATCCTGTGTAATAGTTGTTCATTCTTAAACCTTTATGCTAAGAAAACGATAGTGAATATTCAATACTGTTTTTTTCAACTAATCGAAAATTTCCGCATCAGAAAATTTGCTTCCAGGTATTGCCGTGTGTCACGCTGAAGGCGACTATGTGGAAGACGTTGCCGACTTCACATTGTCTCAAATGCTCAACCTCTATCGCCGCACATTTTGGCAGGCGAAAGCCGTAATTGATGCGCGGAAGCCAATAACAGCGGATCAAGTGCGTGATACAGCTGTCGGAACCCGCCGAATGCGCGGAAGCGTTTTGGGATTATTGGGATGTGGACGTGTCGGTACGGCGGTTGGACTTCGTGCAAAAGCATTCGGAATGCAAGTGATCTTCTATGATCCATTTGTTCGCGAGGGAACCGATCGGGCTCTGGGATTCGAGCGAATCCGAAATTTGGACGAATTCTTCGCGAGACTTGATTGCCTCTCTCTTCATTGTCCCGTTAAGGATGACACCCGCCAAATCATCAACACTGTGACATTGAAGCAAATGCGCCCAGGATGCTTCATTATCAATACAAGCGAACCCGGTCTAATATGCGAGGTTGATGCGCAAAGAGGAATTAACTAATTAATATTTAATTTACGTTTAGACTGCTCTTGCCAATGCTCTTAAAACGGGTCATGTTCGCGCTGCAGCCTTGGACTCGCATGAATCAATTCCGACGGATGCCAATCCACTGAGTACGCATTCTGCTTAATGCATCGCTGTGAAAAAAGATTGGAAACATTTTTTTAGATCCACTGCACAATGTTCCAAATCTTATTAACACTCCAAGAGCTGCTTGGATGAATGAAGCGTCATGCAAGGAGTTGAGAATTGTGGCTGCCAAGGAAGTACTGAAAAATTGGAGATTTTCAGAGAATAACGTAATGATTTCAGATAAGAAAGGCGTTGACAGGAAGATGCCCACAGGATCTCTTGTACTGTGTTAACCGCGATGCTGTGATACAAAATGGAACCCAATTACCAAGAAGAACCAGCAACCCACATCCATTAATGAACATGGGTAATTTTGGTATGATAATAAAGAATAATTAAAAGTAAATTTTTATTTGATGTTTAGGTCTTCCAAGCTTTCCACCAATCTCGATGGCGGGTCACTTCCCCTACGCCAATCCATTGCTGGCCATGGGAGCTCAAATGGGAGCTCTCAATCCGCTGCTCATGAACAATGCGGCGCTGGCGCAGTTCAATTCGGCCGCCGCGCTCTCATCATTTGCGGCCGCGCATGCCGCGCAGAATCAGAGAAACTCGCCGGCAGTGCAATCATCTCAATCGAGCCCGAGCCCGCACACGAACAAATCATCGGTGAGCCCAGTGAATGGAATTAGTAAATCGAGTGCACCGTCTCCGGCCATCAAGATTGAGGTGAGACACAATCCTTTAAGACATATGTGAATTCCAAAATTTCCATAATCGGTAGATAATGTGGGATTTGAAAAATGAGAATTTACAAAAAAAAGTGTGTGAGTTCGAGAAAGGAAATCTCAAGTTTCATTGCTAAGAAATATGAATTGCTCAATGATTAAGAAACTGCAAATTATTTGAAATCGGTGAATCAGAGATTGAATGGATAAAACTCTATTTCGGGGCTATCAATTGAATAAATTACAGCTATCTCAGCCCAAAGAAGATGCAGCAAATGGAAATAACGGAGAAATGTGCTCATCGATTAGTGGCGAAAGTGGTAGCGAGACCACTGAAAAAGTCAAGATGGAAGGCGATGATGATGATCATCCTATGGAGAACGAGATAATCGATCGCGGACAATTGAACATTGAAAAATTGGACCAACCAGAAGAGATTAATGTCACCATGAACGGACGTCTGGTGAATGTCGATGATTCAATGTGCGCTTAAATATTCCAATGATAGCTACCAGGTTGTGAGTAAATGTATCTTTTAGAATGTGCATTGACGCGGTTTTTATTCCTTTTAAAGCCTGAATCCCGAATTGATGTATTTGCACAAATGGTAACCCTCTTCTCAATTGTTGCCAAAGTTGACACAGAAATATTTGGCATATTTTATTTCTGTAATTATGTTTCTTTTTTTTAGCTTTATAAGATTCAGCAACTACAAATATATGATAAAAAATTGAAGCAACCAATAAAAATGCATTCCTGTTTTCCCCGGAAAACAGTTGTACATTTTTCCCGGTTTTCTTAAATTGTTCATTTTTTTTTCGCTATATATTTTTTTATTGCTTCCCCTCAAATATTATTTGTATTAATTCATCTGAAAAAATTTTTTTTCAGTATTCTCACATCCCTTAAGGTCTTGTAGTCTTCCAGTATTTGTTTGAACCGTTTTCTCTCATTTTATATAAATTATCGAATAATAGAATTTATTGCAATACCAACCAATCACCATTTTCACAAAAAAATTTTCAGCGTTCGTTAGAGAAACATGTTTCCTTTTTAAATTCCTTTGATCCTCAAATCTGATTTGTCGTTTTTATTATCATTATTATTATTAAAGATCAGTCTGTGTTCTACCTTATTTAAATATGAATAAAGAAATGGTGTTAATATTTCTGGCATGACAGTAGCAAAGAATTTGATATTTTAGCAATTTAATTTGAGAAAAAAAATCAGCGTAAAAAGTAAGAAATCCAGTGAGTCGCGACATGCTTAGCACATGTTCATGTGAAAGAGGATTTCAAGCTCTTCAGCAAATTCAATTTTTCCATTCGGACACCTTACTCTTTCAAAAGTTCATTTTGTCACGCGGGACTCCACAAATTATAAAACGCGTTTCTAAGAAGGGATCGCGAACATACACAAAACGCATTAATATTTCACAACACTTATAAACGTATGCGTGGTAATTGCTTTTAATTCGTGCAACACCGAAATGACTCAGTTTTATTTCCAAATACGGCGAAGTGACCCATCACCAGAAATCAAGTTACAAACATTATATACATACATGGGCAGGTCTATACATTTAATTTATGCTAATCTGAATGCAAGAATCGGTCATGAGAAATATGATATAGCAAAAATAAATTAGGTTTGATAATAAGTTCGAAACATTACTTTTTGTTGAGCAATGCGAAAATAATCACATGCAAAAACACCCATTGAATTAGGCGGCTCTCATATTTTACACGGTTCTTGGCTTCGCAGTTGTGCGCTTTTCCAATAAGCTCTGAAAATTAGTTCTCAAAAGTCAATTATCAAAAATTTACTAGCGTACTCTATTATCTATGGTTGGTCCTGGTAGAACATGCCCGCTGATTCTCTGCAACAAAATGGTTTTGAAACGAATGATCTATATCAAATCGAACCGGAACAGGTTTGCCAGACGTTTTGTTATTCGTTCGCCCCGAACTGCGAACAGCAGCCGATGATTGTCTTGGCACTGAGATCACTTGTTTAGCTGGTGCCGGTTTTCCTTCAGGCTGGCTCGCTTGGAATGTTCTAATAGCATGCGCTAAAAATTCAAATATTCTCACAAAATTTTTAAATTCTTTCATCTACCTTGCCGATTAGATGAAGCAACAATAGTTTTCTCATAAACCTTGGTGTGAACGCGACTTGGTGGTTGGAGGACGGAATTTCTCAAATTTGCACCGGTTTGTGCCACCTTATGAGTTGGTCCTGGCACTTGTGGCTTATAAACTGCTTTCGCTGGAGCTGCCACTGGTCTTTGTTGCTGTTGTTGAATGGCTTGCGCACTAATTGATCGTGTCTGCGGTTGCTGATAAGCCTAGGGAATTTTTTTTCAGTTTCGCGATTCATCTTCTATAACCTGTTGCAATGCTCTTTGAGTTCTAGCGTATTCCTGCGGATTTGGCGGTGTCACTGAACCAACGGAGTTCGACTGAAACGGACCGTTTATTGGGAAACTTCCCGTGACGGCAATTGATTTAGGAATTAGTTGCTGGACCACCACCTTCCCATTGTGATAATAGTGAACTACATGGTTAGTATCCGATTTGACAACCTAGGTGTGGGTTACTCATACCGAAATCATAAACAAATTATTGTACCTGTAATTGAGGAGCAGCGCGTTGCTGCACTGGATATTGCGAAACAGTCTGTTGCTGTAGAGTCGGAGCATTGACCGGAACTCTGCTAGGCTGTTGGTACTGTGATTGAGCTACTTGAGCTGGCTGTTGTACTGGCTTCGGTGGCAGTTGCTGTGGCAAATGCTGCTGAGTTGTCTGAGCAGCTGGTCCCTGATATTGCTGAAATAAAGTATTTCCTTTTTACGAAATTTTGCACTACCTGATAATATGGCTGAGCCGTGTACGGCTGACCAGAGAATTGCTGTTGATTATAATATTGTCCCTGCTGGACTTGTTGCGATTGTTGCACTTGCTGTTGGTAATTGTTTTGTTGGCCCCAATAATTCTGCGTTTGTTGACCATAATAGGGCGCCTAATCTCTAAATTGTGAAAAAAACCGCCGTCTCTGTCAAACTATGAACCTGGTTATAATAATAATACGGGTGTTGGTAAGCTTGTTGGCGGAATTGCTGATATTGTTGGTTATATGCTGGATATTGCGGAGCAACATTCTTCTGCACAATCGTTGGCACTTGATTCAAATTGGTTGCGACCGCGACAGGCGGCGCCGGTAATGGTGTTGCGGATCGTGTTTGCGGCACGTGTCGACTACTTACGTGAGCGACACTTTGAGTGCTTGAAACCGGTGTCTATACAAGGAAATTAGCATATACCTGATTGGATACGGCTTACCTGAGTAGTTTGCGCAAAATCGGGCACCACTTTCAACTGATTCACGGTCGTCTCGATTGTTTTGCTATTCGCGTTGCGCTCGGTTTCGAGACGTTCGCTAATAGCGCGCGAGGCTACAGTAATCTTCTCGCGAATTTTATTCTTCTTATCGGGAATATTTTGAACAGCCGAATTGAAGTCATACTTTGGCGGCTTCTCGATTCTCTTGTTGCTTTCAACCTAGCAAATTTCTATGGAAAATGGATTATCATCAATTGTACCTGTGAGACAATCTCATCAATTTCTTGCTTGGATAACTTGCTCTTCTGCAAGACCTCCAACAGTTTGTCAAGTTTTGGCACAATTGGCTGCGTCTTTGCTCCATGCGTGGCAATCACGTTCGTCTTCAATTGCTCGCTTTCCGCATCGATTTCGGGTTTCACAATTTCAGGTTTGCCGTCAGTGTGATCCTTTTTAATCTGCAATGAAAAAGCTAATTGAAATTAATCAAGAAAGATCATCTGAAGTTTGGTTTACCAAATCTTCGTAATCCTCTTCGTCGGTTTCGATTTTCGTCGAAACTGGCGCGTTTTTATCGGGCAACTGGATGTGGATTTGGCGCGCAGGTGGCGTTGTAATTTTGAATTCTGTGGAAGATTCTTCTTCTTCATCGGTCGGGAATAGCGTCGCAGTTTCCGTAGTGCTTTCTTCGGTGGTTGTAGAAACAGTTGTCGAGTCAATTTCATAATCTCCAGAATCAATGTCGATTAAGCCATCTGGCGGTTTCGGCGCCTAGAAAATGATCAAACGACTAATTGTTTAAGCAACCTGTTTTTTTTTACAGATTTTCCACCGGAAATTCCAGGAATGTTAGCGTTCTCATCATAGTCATCAATATCTGGAGCAGGGAAACCTATAAACAATAATCAATAATGTTTTTTTTTGCAAAAAAATGTACTCGTTCCGAACTCTGGTCCAATGGAATTTCCACCACCTGGTTTCGGGCCAAGAGCACCTAAATTAAGTCCATTTCCACCTCCTGGTTTCATCAACGATTCTGAAAATTGCACTATTCCTATAAGCTTCAAATAATTTCTATGGCATACGGTGATTCTTGGCAGCTTGTTCTAAAACTGCTGGAAACCAATTTCCTTCAGATGCTTGATTCAAAACCCCGACACCAGTTCCTGTCAACTGAAGTGCTCCCTGCGCCAATTGGTACACTGGAAATTTGCTCAAAAAATTTGAAAGGTTTCATTCGTTGACTAACATTGTCCGATTTGAGCTAGAGCCCCTCCAGCTTGTCCAGCAGCTCCAGCAGCTCCCGCTCCAGCGCCAGCCAAAGCTCCAAGTCCTCCAGCATTCCCTTCAAAGAATACCGACATTTTTTTTTTGATATTTGATCGCCGAATTAAATTTTTGGCTTGTCCATTGTTTCAACAATTTGTTATCCGCGAAGCAATCTGTTGCGCGACACATAGATGCAATCAACAACGAAATGCCAAAAAAATCTTGCTTATTAGATCGGAAGCCAGTTTTTGCGTGATTCGGCTTATCATCGAAAGGTTATAGATGCAATCGAACGCTGATCAAAAAAAAATGTCGGACGAATCAAAAACGCCCGCCGAATGACTCCTAGAAATGGGCATATAAATGACTTGGGAATGCTTATCATGTGTCTAAAGCATTCAATAAACTCGATGTAATGTTGCGGTCGTTATGAGGGGAGGATGCATGTCGGATTTGTGATCCAAAAAGAATTAAACCAGAAGCGATAATGTTGAAATGTTGCACTTTTATTCTTTGAATTGAGGAAACTTGAAAAAAAAAACTTCAAGGAATGTGACCTCGGGTACTATGAGAAGCAAATGGGGCTATAACACATCGGAATGCAGGTTAAGTAATTATAATTCCCAAAGTCTGAACGTTTGAAAAGAAGTAAAATTCAGACGGGATTACGGTAAGAATTTCAAATTTCCATTTTGGTTTTAATATATTAAGTGTTGAAACAATGGGTTCAAGCATTTCAAAAGGAAAGTTGAAAACGAGACATACCTAATGCTCCTCCCAATAAAGACGTCGCTAGTGAGGCAATCTCACCAAATTGAGCACTGGCGGGCACTGTTAGCCCAATAAGTAAAATCAATGGTGTCGGCAAACGCATGGTGGTAATGAAGAATGTCGAGATTGGAGGAAATGAAGGAGGCGATGGAAAAAAAAACGCGAAACGTCGTCTCTCGAACGTTTAGCTGCGAAGACCGACGATGTGTTTTTGGATGATCGGCACGAATGAGCGTAGGTTTCCTCGTTTTTCCTCGACGGCTTGTTCGAGTGAGACAGATAGATACAGAGAAGCTGAATGAAAATGAGGAACGAGATATGTGTATGTATTTCTGTTGGACTGTATGTGCGTACCGCGGCGGTCAAAGCTAATGCCATGGGCACTGCATTTGATGACGGACTGGTTTTGACTTCTCACTTTCCTTAAACGACATAAAGAAGCGCCTTGGGAAAAAAAAGGTGAGGATGCGCGTGCCAATACCACCATATGCCAAATGAAATTCGAATGTAATTAAAACTTTAATTTCGCGATACAGAAAATAGACACCAAGTGGATTGGATACAAAATGTCTGGTCTTAAACTAGATACTATTTGCGCGTCATTTTTATATTTGGTGGACTCATTTAAGCAACGCATTGAAAATTTTACAAATCGCATAAATGAAATCGAAAATTTCCATATAAGGGATTGTACAAAAAATTCACATAATTACTATGTGGGGCATTTAAGGGTTAATTATCCGCACCTCGTTTATGGGCGATCACCTGATAGTTAGTCATCGAGATTTCCTCGCCATCCCCCCTATTTGGATGTCTGAGTCGTTGAAAATTAGCGAGTTAAATTGATCTCCAATTTCGAAGAATGTTTAAAAAGATGTCACGTATTGATTTTTTGACTCAGAAAGTCAACAAAACTCATCGCGCACTGTTTTTCCAATATCCATTTTTTTCCATTCAGTGGCCGTTTCGTAGTTCATGCTACAACATAGTCAGAAATATTACACCGTTATCTGTAGAATTTTAAACTATATTAGAAACCTTGTATGAAATCTAATACATTGTAATCTAGCGAATCTTTTTTTTTTTAATAAAAACTAGAAACCCCTCTAATTACAGCAAGAGCTGTCTGGCAAAAGTTATTTCAAACATGTTATTCCAGACATTATTATTATTATTATTATTACCACTCATAGAAAAAAACAAAAACAAAAGTTGTAGATAAAATAATATTTGTATTTTTCTCTTCTTGACACCTACTCATAATATTTTTCTTCAAAATCGCGACGACAACAACGATGAATGAATTCTTATCAATCATACAAGAACTCGTATATTCATGAAATATGTGTACAAGTTGTTCCCGCGCTCATTTGAACCACTCAAAGCTTTGCTTACAATTTTATTATTCGGCGAGAATAAATGAATTATATGGTATTAACGCGACGCGAAACATTTGCGCATTAATTATTCGTCGAATACTCCATCCTCACCATCCCAACATTTCGTCGAGCTTAAAATTTGGATTCACAATGATATTTCACTTCGAATTGTTACTCACTTTTCATATTCCGGTTTTACGTCATTGGACGATGATGGAAAGTCATTGTCGCCTCTATTCGACTCCTCCGGTGTGCTCATTGCTTGCTGAAATGTTTATATTATGTATTGTCAATTTCGATGAGTTTCATTCAAGCATAATTTCGTTTTGAGCTCGTTACAATTTTCAAGATTCAATTAATTATATTGAAAAACTGCAAGCCACCTACTATTAAAAAACAAGCAAGTATTTGGCTTTTTGTTTCAACTCCAAAAAAAGAAAGCACGTAACAAACAAGTGTGAATCCTAAAGTGTCATAAATCATGGTTCAATGACAAATATGCATTTCGATTTTCCCTAAAATTTTCAAAATTTGCAGCGAAACCAGAAATTTTAAATGCATGTTCCTTTATTCTAACACATTCGTCATTCGAAACACGTGGCATTAATTTGATTGATTATTTTTGCGAGAATTTAAAAAAAATTGTTTATTTTTATTGGGGAAAATTGCTACAGCGAAACATGCGCAATTGGTTTCAAATCTAATACAAATGCACCTCTCTCATAAATCCGCTTCCTAAGAATATTTGCTGGTAGCTATTTTCTTACTCGATTGCACTTCCACAATTTCATAAAATGTTGGTTTCCATTTCCATGATTTTATTCGCCGAAATTTGTTATCGACCTAGAAAAATCCGCTATAATAAACTTAAAAGACTCTAAAATGAACTCACCATTAGATAATTTGCAGAGATTTGTCAAATAAAAAATTCGGTGTTTTCTTGCAATATTCGGAAGTCATCATTTTTTTTTAAATAAAAACTGTCGTTTATATTTTCGTGAGATTTCCGGTTTGAGCATTTGGAAGACTTTTTATTTAACGAAAAACACAAAGGCGTGCACATTTATGTGTTTACGTTTACGTTTTGCGCAAGGTGCGCCGAGCACTGACACATTTGCGGTGACTAAATCCCGCAACCCAGCTGATTCCTTGGCGTCTCTTTTGCATCCTGTCATTATACTAATCGGTCAGGAGAGCATTTATCCAAAACTCTATTGCACTCGGAATACGAATAAATGGCTGCTTCCCGATATAGGTGAGAAAAAAAAACATTTTCAATTTCAAACTTTTACAATTTTAGAGAGGAAATAGCCACCATATTCGACGTTTTTTGTGAAATTGGCGCACCAGCACCAGGAGAAAAATACGCTCCATTGTTAACCAAGTATCCCGATGATTTTCAAAACGAAAATATTTTGAAAAGTGTGCGACAATTTGCATTTCCTTGTCCTATGAAGCAGTGAGCATTTAATTTGTTCTCAAAGAGTTACACATCGAGAATAATTCAGAAATGGAAGCGACGCTGTCCAAATGTTCAGCTTCGTGCTGACTGATTCAAATTCAAAATATTCATTCGGATTTTGCCGATATACTCCAAGAAATGACACATGTATATGTTTTTTGAGGTAATTTGCAAATTATGCGAAATCGAATTAAAGAATTTTCGTTTTCAGCGGCTTTTTCTGGCCAAATGTATTTTATAAAGCTTTAAATCAATTATCGATTGTGATGAATTCGGGAACGCAGAGCGATGTAGATTTGTTTTTAACACGGATTTATCATACTGACATTCCGAACCCCGGTGATATTCTTCGATTCGACCTTAAAAATGTGTGTTTTTTTGTTTAGTATTTTTTTCAAGTTGAGTTTCCAATTAAAACCAATTATTTCAAAATAACACTTTTCATGTAGAACTTTTAATGTGCCCAAAAAACATCCTTCCCAATTTTGGAGCAAAAATACATTTACTAGCATTTTTCCAAATTATGTTAAAACTGTCAAAATCACAATCTGTAAACTTTGCAGAGTTCGAGTAAGCATGATGCAAAGATACCGAACCTCAATAAACTACCAACGTTACGTGAGGAAAAGTATCTTCTAGAGTTTTACAATGCAGTGTCACCCAAGCAAATAGTTGCTCTTTATGCAAGGTATATTGACTTTATTCAAAAATACAAATTATGTGCATTTCTTCAAAAAAAAATTTCTAGACACTTTAACCTAATTGTTCAAATTCTTACCACAGCGAAATGTGAGCTATAGTACAACATTTTGTCTCTGAAATTCCATGGTAACGTCTTATGAAAAAAACTTCAAAAAACTAAAAAATTCTCAAACAGAAAATATGAAAGCAAGATATCCAAAATTCCTCCCAAAGCAAATTTGATAAATAATCTAGTTCTTCGATTTTCAGTTTATTGAAAGAGCGCCGAATACTTTTCACTGGACGGCAATTGAGTCAACTGAGCTCTTGCATCCACGCATGTGCCACAATATTATACCCAATGACCTGGTTTGCTACGATCTTATTCAATCCATATAATTAACCATTTAAGGCAATCCGTTTTCATTCCCGTGCTGCCGGCAAGTCTCGTCGACATGATTATGGCACCAATGCCGTACTTAATTGGTGTACCAAAGCAAATCATTGAAGCAGCGGTAATTGGACAAAATGCAAAAAAGTACATATATGCCTATTTATAGAAATTGAAAGATATTGGAGACGTCGTGATCATTGATGTTGATGAGAAGACACTTGAAAGCCCATTTGATGACGTTGCTGAGATGCCCACCGAGGTATTTGCACAAAAATAACGAGGCAATCATCGTTTTATTATTTTTTTTTCAGGTGGTCACATTTTTGAAATCTCAATTGAAATCGACATCGGATATGAGCGACGCTTTTGCTCGGATATTCCTTCGAGCGAATGTCATATTGTTTGGCGACTACCGGACGGGTATCGTCACCGATTACAAAGGAGACTTTGTCTGGAAAAAGGACAAGTTCATCACTGAGCAGAGGTCCACCTTCCAAACCTATTTGTCATCGCTTCTCGGCGCCGACGGCGTTCAATACCTGGAACGAGTATGTTGTTCAAAGCCATATCTCATTAATTTTTCTTTTCAATTTCCGTCCATGTCGCCCACGTCCTAATTGAAAAATGTGATTTCTCGGGCTGAATGGCAAATATTCCCATCTCTTACGCTTTTCATATTGTGGACTTAAATATGCACATTCATTTTTTTTCCCGAATGCGCATCATTTTTTTTCTCGTTTTTGCCGACATTATTTTCGGGAAATGTCATAAAATGTTTGACAAATGAGCCGCAATGAGCATGCACAAAACATTTTAAGCGGACAAAACCATTTCTACTAATACATTTGATGTCTTATTTTTTTCAGTTCATTCACGATCGAATGGAGATGTTTCGGCACAACGTCGCGATTCATGATGAATTTGAGCGGGAAATTGAGAAAATGGACATGAAAAGTCGGGTAAGCTTATAACAATTCTAATACTAGTACTAACCTTACTAACACGTTTAGATCAGAAATGCGGAATCGATACACAATGCTATGCAATCTGTAAGAAATTATCAGTGGCAAACATGTTCCCAAAACCGTAAAAATTAATAAAAGCCAAGTTTTTTAATGGATCAGTTTAAAAATAACTTCGAATATTATGAATAATATAGAATTTGATTATGCTAAATGTGATTATAAGCGTTTTTTTTCGATGATTAGATTTTGAACGATTTTGGGAACATTAGTCCGTTTTACGTGGAGTGATTGTGGAATGATAAGATTGTCTGATGCCTAAATTCTTATAATGATTGTCCTTGTGTTTCGGATATTTCCTAATGTTACACTGCAAATTTTGAAAAAAAACCTGGTAAAATGTTGTATTTTCCGCATATTTCAGAAAGTTTTAATGACTTTAAAGGGTTTGTCTTTAGGAATAGAAAATTACAGTTTAAGCATGCAGATCATAATAGCTTTTTGGTAATTCGATTGTTTTTTCGTGCATGTAATTTGGTGTTTTCCTTCATTATTATTTGATTTCAGGTTCGAGAAAACGCTAGTGATGTGATTGGTGCTTTGAAGGACAAAATGTCTGGGATACAGGTAGACTTACTCTATCATTTTTTTTAAATAAATATACGATATGATACAGATTGCCAACAAGCTTAATAAGCTCACGCCGAGAGAGATTCGACGTGCTGCTTCTCGCCGAATTTCCAGCGGAATTGATTTCCAGCCAATGTCTTTTGACAATGTTCAATGGGAGCAAGCTGTGAGATATCATTTCGTAATGAATTGAAAGTAAAAATTAACTTTAGAGAGGTGAACCTTTTAATGAGTCGCCTGTTGAGCCGCAACCTTCTGATAGTGTTCCAGTTGCCAATTTAATTGATTTCGATAGTCCGATAGATAACAATGTAGGTTTTTTTTTCCGGAAGGAACTGAATAATTCAGCATTTATAGAAATCACCGCCATATCTGGAAGAATTTTTGCCAAATAGTTCAACATCATCGAGTGAACGTCCAACATCGTTGCCTAGTCAATTTAATATGTAAGCTTGTCGATTAAAAAAAAAGTAAAATTCATTGAAAACGTTCAGATTGAAAAATGGAATATTTACCGATCCATTCTCACTTATCGATACTCCCGTCACTGACGGGGCTTCTTCCTCATCCTCTCGGAGTCAATCAAGTTATGCTCCCGTCGCTCCAAAATTGCCAGCTCCAAGGACCGCTTGGGAGAAATTTGACGATTAAAATTATATACATACATAATTTATTGAATCCGTCCAACTTTTCAACTTATTTATGAACATCTCGACCATGACATCACATTAATCTCATCAATTGTAAAAAATATCAAATCAATATGACGAAATAGTCATTTAATGTGTAAATTTTTAACAAATTCGACCTTTGTCATCAAGATTCGTTCAAATTTGGGTGTTAGATCAAGTCCAAAAATTTGTTTTAGTCAACTTTTATGTGCTAAATTTGGCGATTAATGTGAGTTAACCTATGTATATTTGTATCCTACTCGTTTTTTCGAGTCATATTTTAATTGATACAACGCAAAACGAACAACTAAGTCAGAGAATGAAATGAATTTTTTGGTTTTTCATTGGATTTGCTTTTTGCTGGAAATCGACATTTCCGATTTTGAAAGCATTAAGGAGTGAGAGCGCGCGAATGTAGTGTGAATTTCTGATCTCTAATGTTGATCAGGATTTTTGTTGTAGCTTCGTATTACGACACACACATATTTTATCCAAGTCGTTTCTCGATTTTAGCGTTGCTTTGATTGCCGGTTCTCTATTATCGCAGGTAAAAAGTGATCGCATCGTTTTGTATATTAAACATCATATAGTTTAAAGTGACTCTTCAATAGACTGTACTTGAACAGTCTTTAAACTTTAAAGGAAAAAAAACAAAGACGAATTTGAAAAATCGGTCTTGGTAATTAGGTTGGAATAACTAATTGTTTTATTCATGTGGAAAAAGTAAAAGGTGTGCGTTGAATCATTATTTGGGGACGAATGAGTGGGCATCGAAAAAAAAAATGAAATCGAACAAACAATGAAAATACCGAAGCTAATTATGGGCTGGTGATATTAAAACGAATGTTTTATTCAACAATTATAATTTTTGGTGTCGAGAATCAAGCTCTCTAGTAGACATTTCACTATGAAAAAAAAATCAATTAACACGTTTCTACTTGATTCGGGCAATTCAGCTAAAAAAATATTTGCGTGCAATTTTTGTGAAAAATTTAGAGTTCGAGTCTATCCATATTTTCTCCAGTTTCACCATTTCGCATATTATTTTGCGCCAAATTGCGAAAATGTTGCGACGAATTGAACTCGTTAAGAAGCGAAAAGAGCAGGTGCAATGATTGGATTCGGTTTTTGCCGGTTGGTATATCGAACAAATTGAGAATTATGTCGACATAACCGTCTAATGGAACATCCAAGTCCGCTGACGGCAGCTGGAACCGGATTTATACATATAACGTTGTCGAGGAGCAATTTCAAAATCACCTTAACTTTCTCCAACAATTCCACCATCTGTGGTGGCCATTCTTGCATTAGTGTATCAATGTCAGGCATAATTTGCTTGTAATGAACCGTTTGAGCGGGCCGTGTCTTATGGAGCTCCTATAAAAGAGGTGATACTCAGGAAATTGCGCAAAATCCAATTTCTTTTTCAAATCTCTCAATGTTAAAAATTTGTTGCCTAAATTTACTAAACATTCTGACGATGTTTAATGTTCGAATATTAGTCTACATCGCATGACGCATACCTTAATATTCGCAATCCAACTTGTAATCTGATTTGGGTTTCTGTCAGCGCGACTGAGTGTTTTTACTGGCATGTCTTCTGGAGCAGTATACTGAAAAAAGAATGATTCAAACGACTTTTTTGAAAGCGTATTTCCTCACCTCTTTTGAAGCGTACTTAAGCTGCATTGCAATAATGACGGGGTCGCTCTGCTGCGTCGCCGGCTCATCGAGCTGAATTAATCCCGCATTATCGTCAACCTGGAAGTAATTCAGAATGGAAACGCACATTTCAAGCAAATAGATCTTACATCATCTGGCCTCGGAATTTTAATAAATGTGTCGACCTCGCCAATCGCGGGAATATAGTCGATGATGAATGGACGAAGTTGCGTCTTAATCTCGATATCCGCTGGCTTATAAGCATCGATATACGTGAGCACTTGAATTTCCTCTTCGGAAAACTCTTCGTCTGAAGAATCGGAAATTCGTGATTCTGTGTCTTTTAGCAGGAAGGAGAGCATTATAATCGAATGCGCGTTGTAATCAGCGCGCACTAAATCAAGGAGCAGCTGATTTATGTTGACTTGCATTGCATACTTCTTACACTCACGTAATTCTAGTGAACATTATAGGAACGCATTTCGATCGAGACCTTTTCTCGAAACACACATGCCCGATAATGAATAGGTGTCGTGTGCAAATATCAAGGCACCGCGACTTTCAGATTTGAGGATACAAATTTCTTAGAATAAATGCTATTCTAAGTGTATATTATTATGTCGAACATTTAAGCAATTTCGTGAGAAATGTGAGAATATATAAGTGAATTAACGTTATTTTCCCTCAAAATATTTGTTAATGTTTTTTGAAGAATATTGTTCCATAGAATTACCAATTTCATTTTTTCTAAATGAATCACGAATTTGTCAGCGCAATTCCAATATATTTGTTTCTTTTAATGAGAACAACGCAATTTCAATTCTTTTTCTTTTCACTTGCAATTGTTGCTGATTAATAATACATACCATCTTCTTCATCTTCCGTACTCGATTCTTCCGGTTTGCTGGTCCGCCGCATCATGTTCGCGAATGGCTGCGTCACTTTTGACAACAAAATCTCGTTGAGCCCTCGCTCTTGAAAATAAATAATTGCTTGACAACGCTATTCGCCAATTGCGCGCTCACTTTTTTCAGGAGTTGGAAGTGGTTTTGGATGAGGTTGCGGCGGAAGTTCAGCAGTGGTTGAATATGCCGGTGGATCAGTATCCGGATGGCCGCCTGAAACATTTAAAACAATACGCAAACTAGAGAGGAATCAGCCTGATGGAATTCTGTCTTGATAACGGAAATATAAGAGAAAAAAGTAATAACATACTAGCTGTTTTTGCGACGAGCTCTTCATAATCTTCCACCGACTTTTCATCATCATCACGCGAAGCCATTGGATTCTCAAGAGCCTGAAAGCTGGAAGGAATTAATAAATAAACGAGTAGCACCGAATGTCTCGAAGCAATTTCGAGTGACATATTAAATGCGCAGTTGAGAGGCAGGTGAACAGTGCGAAAAATGTGGAGCGCTAGTAACGCGAATTCTGATTTGAACTAGTTATTAAATGTTTTCCACAAATCGAGGTTGCTTAGTTTTGAATTATTGTATGGCGCTATTCGTCATGGAAACGGGACGTCTTCAGTAGTAAATGCCAATAACAACTAGTGAAGCCTGACATTAGTTGTCGAAATTGCTGAAAATGCACACGTTACCTGAATATACATTAGACTATCAGGCGATGGTGAGCGAAAGTGCTTGTTTTCTCCATCATCTTTTTCATCATATGGTACGGCAAATCGAACCGATTCTGAATAGGATATTTCTATGAACTATCAGGATAACGAAAAAATAAACATTTTTTGCGTGCTCGGTTATGACCTTGAGAAATCTCGGCCGCGGTCTGGTGAGGCAATGATTTGTCATCGCAAATTGTTATTTTCATTTTTAATTTCAAAATTTTTAAATCTTTAATAATTTTTTAAAAGATTTTCACGATTCTCAGATAAGTTCACAAATTTTCATCTGCATTATTTCCTATCCATTTTTTTCATCGAGGATAATATAAGATTAACAAGAAGTTGAAATTTCAGAGATGTTTGATAAATAAGCTTATATAGACATTTTTGTGGTTAAAAATCTTACGATTACAAAAAATCCATGGCATTTTACGTTTAAAAAATATATAATTTTCTTCGGCATTTTTTGAACTTTGTATATTTTATGTTTTGATTCTAACCAGTCATTTCATATTCTGCAATCAACTCACGTCTGCGCTCCATTCCTAAAGCCGTGTTGGAGGCGGATTGATCCTCGTGACTTCGAATCGATATATCCTCGTCGCTTTCGTATTTCGGCGGAGCAACGACTTCCTCGTGGTGGTAAATTCCCTAAAATTGCGCAAAAATAATTTAATCAGTAACAAGCAGCGTTTGGGAAAAACAATCTATAGATGTTTGGGTAAACAATGAAATCATTAATTGACTCTAATAATAAACTACAATTTTTTGGTTATATAAAAAATTCTTTAATTATTCACAATATAAAGCAAACCTGCTCTTCATCAAGCGCTCGAATTTGGCTCGCTTCATCATCTGATGAATCATCGCTTATTGGGATTCCAAGACGCGGTGGACTTGTATGCTGCACATCACCGTTCATTTTGTCACCGATTTCAATACAATTTGAGCCTTGTGACAAAAACCTCCTCTATTTTCTAATATACTTGTTCCTTTCAATATGGGTTGCTATGGCAATGCATGAGCGCTGAGAGGGCAACTGTTGCCTGGATTGCTGGCGGAGACATGTTTGGGAAATGCAAATGTGGGGGAGAAAATATATAGCATGCTTCACTACTCATAATACCTATAATAATAAATAACAATCGTCAATATGTTTGCTGGCAAATAATAATATTTTCCAATTTTTTAATTTTTTTTGAATAATTTCGAATAAGACTAAAAAAGGGTCAGGACATCCGTTGGATCCTGGTTTGAAATGCCGTCATCGCTAATTTAATGAAACAACGCGTTTGCGACGATTCCCCAACAATTTCAGCAGACATATAATGAGAATTTTCTTGTCTTCATTTGAGGGGCTCTGAAAAATAGGCCAGAGTACCCGACTACCCAATTTGACATCCCTGGCCATTTTTTCTCATTCAGATCAAGATTCCAAATAGTTTAAAAATTTCTGTTGATCCTCGCCATTCGTGATAACACAACCTTTTTGATAAATGTTTGAACACATTACATTTGACATGTTTACCTAGTTTGGACATTCCAGAGGTCCAGTTTGTTTGCATTCAAAGTTTTCAAACAAGTCGGCTGCTTAAAACAGTTTTTCATGTATACACTCATCAAAGAATTCTGACAAATGAAAACAGTACAAATTTTTCTGAGAACTGAAAAAAAAAAACAACATTTCGAAAGACAGTGTGATTTGAAGTATGGCGATTGATTAAGTTGACGGCTAATCAGGTTAGACTGGAAGACTGTGAGTGTATGGGGCATGATGATGTTCATTTCCGCGGAATCTCTCTTCTCCATCATCGAATTCTCTGGTTTCTTGGACATATCTAAAATAATCAATTTCATAGATCGGTTTATTGAACTTGCAACCTAGTGGTATGGGTTCTCTTCACATCCTTTTCAACAATTTCCTGCTCATCATCGCTCAAGCAATAAGTTCTTTCTCTTGTTTCAACTTCATCGTATCCATCTAATGGCTCAACTCGTCCCATATCCCTTTCATAAGCAAAATTTCGATAGCTCGATCTATCTCCATATCTATCATCTCGTCCAGCGAACTGTCTGTCATATCTATCATTGCTAGCATAGACGTCTCTTCTGCAACGCGATTACGGTAACGATTGCTATACTTTTTGATCCTTACGGGATCGTTCTAGTGAATCCTTCATGCACCCTTCCTTCTCGAATCGAGTAAGCTCCTCCGGCAATTGCAGCCGAATCCTCATATTCCCCATGATGACGCATTCTGGTTGTCTTGGTGAATTCCTCAGTACCCAAGGCTATCTGAAATTCGTCTCAAAACCGGTTTCAATAGTCAACATGATTCATACAGCCGGTTGAATTTTCACAATGTCCTGAGTATCGGTGGCGACGCAATGCACATCAACCTTATCGGTTCCAACTCCGCATTCCTTACCGGTGTCGACGACGGACACTCTCAAAAAGAAACATTTTCCCAATATGTACGAATACAGTGGTGAGGCGGTGTGCCGCCACAGAACATTGTTTATTTGTCTTCTTGAATCTATTTGTCAAAACATTGTATACAATACAATTTTTGTCGACGACAACGTTGCCAAATGATTAATCATTTAATATCTGCACAAGAAAAAAAAATACTCACGTTGTTGTCGTGGTTTCACGCATCTTCTTTCTTCTCCACCATGCCGCGAGGCAGAGCGCCAGGAGGCAGCAAAGGAGCAGAAGGAGAAGAAGGAGAAGGAGAAGCCAAATCCACCAAGGCCAAGTGCCTAAAATTTTGTGTAACGGGAAAAAAAATGATAAGTCAACCCAGAGAAATCATAAATTACTAGCCAGATAGAAAGATAGTCATTTTTCTCAAAGCATTTACCTGATAAGGCTGAATAATTATAGGTATAGTTAGATATAAGCAATTTTTGATTAGCTTGATAAAAACCAACCCGAAGAATGCTGCGTTACACCGTATTGAGAAGAAGTCGCTGCTCCTGGTGGAGCAGCAACCACCGGCGGTCCCATCATGCCACCATGTCCAAAAAATGGAGTCGGATAGATATTAGGATGAGGCATAGGCATTACATAAGAGTCTGTAGAAAGATAGAAGAAAGGATAGACATGCAAGAAGATTGGGAGAGAATGCAACTCATACCTCCACCGTACATTGCTGGAGGATATTCTTTAGTAATATTGACGTAGTTGTAGTGCGAAAGAAAAATTTGCGAGGACCGCTGGCAAGACCTCTGCAAAATCGCAAATTTTTCTTCTACCCACTCTGTTATATATATGGTATTGTATACGATAGAATTGAATGCATCACTTGCGCGATGACATTTTTTTTCTTCTGCCCACTTTCTTGAATAATTGACGAACACGTCATTGGTTTCGGACACACGCACACAATACTCACCTCGGCACACCCCGAACAGTAGAATTTTGTGATTTCGCACTTGAATGAGATGTACTGAAAAAAAAATGTAAATGTATTTGAAAAATTGGGTGTAAGATATTTCTTCAATTCAAAAATATTAACGAACACTTGAATGCGCAGTAAATTGAACCAGCGTTCTTTTCACGGCTCCCGGTTTGTTGTAGGCTTCAGTTTCTATTGAATTCGAAACGCATTGACCGCATTGTACACATCTGACACATTTCGTATTGGAATTAATTTATTTGAAATAGTTTTTCTTTTAAATAATGTGGTGATACTTTAAAAATAAAATTCCACATACCCATATTTTCCAATAACAAGTCTATCATTCATATAGCACTTATTGATCATATAATCTTCTTCCATCGTATTATCCAGAAACACTTCAAAGGTGTATGGATGGTTGATATCATATGAGGTTATCATTTCATTTGATCCTAGCTCATTGACATTGATGTGACCTGAAGCATTTAAGGTAAAATCTTAACAATTGTATTAGATGATACCTCGATGGACTTTTAATATCGGCTCCCCATTTAGTATTAATGGGAGCAGCGCGAGAAAAACTGCAGCGATTCGCATATCACCTTCACTTCTGACAAATAAGGCGTCGAGACTGTTTGAACGACCAGCGGTGCCCCGTCAGCGTACGCTACTATTGTATATACAAATGTTGTGCTTACAATCGCCAGCCTTCATTCGTTCTCGTCGTCCGGCCTCCAGAATTCGTTATTTCTCGAGGCGGCCATGAGTCATATTAGCAAAAAAAGCACACACACACAAACACATAACATTCTATATCTTTTGGAAGAGTTTTGACATGTTATTTATGTTTTGCTGACTGAACATTAGCAAATAAAATGAAACAAATTTGGAATTGTACGATTTTGAAGAACGACTGAAAATGCATAGTAGCCGAGAACAAGGCTGTCGACTTATTCGTGCACAAATTTTACTTGGACATAAATTATTTGGGAATTTTCAGCATCATTTTGGACTTGCTCTATAGCAGCAATTTCCCTTCCAAAAAAAACCCCTTTCCATCACAACTAGAGGAAATCACAATTCTAATCATTTTTAACTCGAAACTACATTAATATAATTATATATATAGCATAAAATGTATTCTGAATTGCACCTGGGGTAAATTGAATTTTTACATGTATTAGTGCATGAAATCAACCTATTTGCGATAAAGTTTCATTCGTTTTTTTTTTGTCGAAATTGGACACATCCGAAATGTCATATTTCCGATGAATGTGAGCGAGCTCATTATGCATTAACTAATAAACATTCACTGCTTCCCCTTTTTGCATAAAAGAGAAAACAGCATTATAGGCTTTTCTATTTCAGTTATTTTTTTCTTAGATGAGATTTGTGCAACTATCAATTAAAGAGTTTAAAATTAGTGATAATGTTCAGAATTTTCCCTCTGCCCACCGTCCCCGAAATTTGCAAGCTCAAATGATATGCTCATAGTTCTCAAAACGCAATCACAAAATTCAAATTATTCGATTATCCAATTGGTATAAACAATTGGTGAGCCCGAACAAAGGCCGCCATATGTTCACAACTAACGAACAACATTGTTATAAGTTTTATGAAATGTATATATTGTTCAGCAATCTGCTCATTTTTTCGCATCGCACACGAGCTAATAACTGAGAGTGCGACCAACTATTGAGCCAAAGTGCTTGGCTTGCCGTGCCTACCATCCAATAAATTGGATGCGGCAATAACTTGAATAAGTCAAAACGAGAAAAAAAGCTTGATTTGAATATATGTTTTCTAACGCTCTTAATCAATCATCTCAGAGATTGTTTACAATAAGAGTACGTATCGCCGACAATATAATATCAATCGTTCTTTGTACATAAATGCCAATCTTCTAATAGGTGCTGAATCACAAAGCTTCGTCAACCCGTCCGATTGCCGCGTCGCCCAGGTGCCACTATCTCACGTCTCCAATTATCAAATATATTTCGTCAAACTCTCAACAATCTGCAAAAAAGAGAACCACGTGTGGTGCGAACACGGAAAACCTTGCCCCGACCATCGTTTCCTTCTAACCGACCGAACGCCACGCTGCCATGAATTTCGAGCATTCCGAGGTTAGCCCGATTGAGGTAAGATGACCGAGCACATTTATAACTTGCATTATTATTTGATTCCAGGCTGATCTCAATGGTGCAATTGAGACTATTGGCAACATCACTCACTTAATTGTTAGTGTCAATCAGTAACTGACAGTTCAAGTTTTGAATTTTCAGCGACAGTATTTGACCCTTCATAATCAGGAATCAGAGTCATCATTGATGGACGTCAAACAGCTTCTGGCCCGATTTGAAGCCGATCTTGACCTCGCCGAGCGGCTCGTGAAAACGCTCAAATTGAACGCCATGATTCACATGGTAACCGATATTCATAATTGAAGTGTACAATCTTAACTATTTCAGCCCGCCTACGACTATCTCACAAAGCGTTTGGATTCCGACAAAGACGATTATTTCAGGAGTCGCGTGTCTACCGAATTGTCGCCGTAAACATCACTTAATTGTTTATTTTCTCTCCTTGTTGTTATTGTTGATCTTGTATTGTGCATTCATAACGTCAACTTGGTTGTTAAAACTCAATGAAATTTTTCAATGTAAAAAAATTCGAAAAATTCTAAGCGATAAGAAAAATATGCGCAATTTCCCAATCGATTCATTTTGAATGAAAATTCGTGTGAATTGCTGCTAATGAATACTGTGCGCTAGGTTGACACAAATGTCTGCAATCGTCTTCAGTCATGCATTGTTAGCCACCAATGTTCGTTTTAATGTGCGCCTGCTCGAGCGCCGCCGAAAAAAAAAACATGGTGCACGTTGCACCCATTCGCCAGACGTTTCCTTTTTAGTGCAATTTTGCCGCCTTCCCCCCATCCGTTTGCCACATCAAAGTAAGTACCGAGTTGCCCAAGTGCCCGACAACGTAACCTACATTTAATTGGCGTGCAACGTCCCAATTAATAATTTGAAATTTGGTGCGCACGATGATTTCAGCAAAACATGTTTTGCTGCTTTTGAAAATATCATATTTATTCAACGGGCGTTAATTAGGCGCTGGCATTGTGCCAAGCCATTTGGCTATGAGCCAAATTATTCCACCATCCTGCCTAAATAAGCTATTTCTATGTCTTCGGTTTTCGCACGAGCTCACCACCTCAACGCACTTTATAACGATTTAATCAAGCTAAAACTTTTTTTTCTTACGCCTATTACAAAAGTGCATTTTAATTCTGCATGATTGCCCATACATCGTGAGATATTGCATATAAAAAATGATGAGTTAGTCGCGGGTACGCATTATTCAGCGTTGTTTTTTTTTTATTTTCCAACCAGCGATCTTCATAAACGAAGGTTTGTTTGTTTCTCCATTTATTTCGTTTTTGTCCCAACATTCATCGTTAATTGGCTAATTGTCGGGGGGGGGGGGAGAAGGGGGAAGAATCAATCCGTTCACGTGCTTCAAACCAATCGACACTCGGCTTTTTCATCTCTCTGGCGTTCACGGCTCTCGGATTTAATATTCGCTGGCTCGCCTACTTGCTTTTGCTGCAGCAAGCACCATCCACCGCAGAGTATTCGCCTGAGTATTCATTGTGTTGCTGGAGTTCAGCAATTCAAAGGCACACCAATGACGTCGCTTCTTATCGCATGACGTCCAAATGACACGGTTGCTACAATTTCAAAATTGTTTTTGTTTCTCCCATCCCATCGTATTCATATCATTTTTTTTGGAATTTCCGCATTCTCATGGAAATCTCTTATTAAAAAAAATGTAATATCCGTTCATGCTTTTTCGCAACATAAATATTATATTTTTTTTGGGATTCAAGTTGGTTTGTAACGAGTTTTTCGCGAAACGTTACATCGTGTTTTTTTTTTTTGAGAGCCACAATGATTGCCAGAGAAGTCAGACAGCTCCTCTCACCCGCCGATTATGATACAATCACGCGCGAGTGTTCTGGCACCCATATACTCGCCTCCTCTTTTTGAGTCTCATAAGCAGGTGTCGGGGGTGTTCATGTCTCCGCCCAATAGTCTATGCCCAGTTGCCAATTCCTTCTTTTCGAGAGACACGCTCTTATTTAATAACATATACGCATGCGTATAGTTTGTGAGAATATTCTCTATTCCTCGCTTTTTCCACAAACAGACTAAAAAAAACATTGTGTGTTCCTTGTAGGCAATGGTCGTTATCTAACACCACTATAATATCTATGGCTCTTTTTTGTATGTGTCAGTTTCATTTTAGAACGGTTGATAAATGGAGGAACCAGTCCCTCCGCTTCTCTCATCTCTTTCCCTCATCATCATTTACCCGATATAAAATGCCCGAAATGAAAAAAAAATGTCATTTTTATTAAAATGTTTCAAAGATTGGGTGATAATGCCCTATCACACGCGTTGAGATTTTAAGTACACTTTTACTTTAGTGAGATACAAAAAATAAAGCAGCGACGAGCGAGAAAAAAAACCACCGCGGTTTAATGCGTTTGCGTTCGATTCGGCAATTATTCGCGTGGTGCAACGCGGTGACAAACATCATTCGACCTGCGATCAGCGCTTTCGATTAGGTTGATACGCGGCAATTTGTTTTGGGAAATCATGCCTCATTTCTATATCGTGTGTACATTGACCTCGTAGGCGCGCGTGCAAATGGCAATGCGCATCATTTTTTGTTCTGCTCGCCGTCATTTTTCTCAATGTTTTTTTGTGTCATCAATCCCAACGCTTTTATTCTTTTGCCACACTCCCAGTCCATTTTTCTGCTGGGAAAACGACGTTACTCACTTCACCTTTGATTCACAGTTGTCTGTTTTCCAATGCGACATCGTACATTTTTCCCTCCCTGGAAAAAAAAAACATTAGCGGGGAAGGACATTGCTGTTTCGATGAAAATGTGGTCCTGCAATCAAAATCTTTTAAATTAATGCGAGCAGCATTTTCTCATATGAAGGCCTTCATTTATTCCAGACTCGGGCACACATTTTTAATTGGGTGGCGCGACATTATTAGCGTGAGATCCGAAAACTTAAAATTGTTGACATCCAACTCTTATTTGCAATTTATAAAGTGTTCAAATGGACATATTAACCGCGAGTTTTATTATTCCTTTTTATTTGTCGTACGCTCGCCTCGATTCGCTTTCTCTCTCTCTCAATTTTTTTATTTTATCGTAGTCTTCACGTTCTTGCCTCATTCATTTGTGTGCATCATTTTCAGGTGATGAAGGAGTTCTATCTTGGCTCGCCAACTCCATCGTGCTCGGAGCATCGCGACAATGGGAACAGTGACGCGTTGCCACCGGAGATTCTTAATATGGCGCTTGATCTCCAAGACGAGTATATTGGAGAGGCGCCCGAGCAACAAACGCAGGTTCGTTTCCACTCCCCCTTCCTCTCTCTCTCCCCCCCCCCTCCTCCCATCTTCTGCGCTCATTATTTTCAATTATGGGATTTCAGAGTCAAATGATCTCCAATGACCCGTTGTTCACCGGAATCACAAGAGAAATGTTCACCGAGATGCTTGGAAACATCACATACTGCCGCGACGAATGCGAGAACCGAATGGTCGGTTTCTAATGAGATGAAATTGAGGAAACCCCATTAAATTTTGATTTTTCAGAACACGTGGAGAGGAGAGTTTCAGAGCGTTGCCATGCAGCAATTCTTCGTTGAACTTGAACGCGCATTCCAGTACGCTGACGATTTTATCAAGCATATCTCTCTCTGCTACACGAAGAAAATCCCGATGAGCTTGGTAGGAATTAAGGGATTGGTTGGCAAAAATCAAACGAGCTCTCATTATAGGCGGATATGCAGATTCTTTACAACTCCATCGATATCCTCTACAATCAGATGGATAAGTACGCGCGAATGAGAATGGAGTATTTTGAGCGCATTTCCAACCAGTACTGTTACATGGAGAAAATGGCCAAATGCAAAAGCGCATAAATTATTTCAACGTGGTTGATTAAAATAATATCCTCCGCCCACCCGCCCCCCCCGTGATTTATCACAATATACAAAAAAAAAAATTAAATGTCTCCCTGGTCGTTTTTTCGAATCTTTTTTATTAATGTATTGCTAATTAATTCTTCTGGGCGCTTAATGTTCATCCAGTAATTTTGGCATCCCAACTTCCCCTCCCCTGCCCGTCGCTATTTCCTTTGTTAAACCACTCATTTTAATCAAAATATTTTGGTTTTGTGTTTTTTTTTATTGAAATAAATAAAGTATGCCTATGAACAACACGAAAAACATGATCATGTGCGAAATCTCAATGAGTACAAAAGTCGCGATTGTGTGACCAATTTGAGAATTTCTTACTTCTTTACTATTCGGGCTTCTTAACATTTTTAAAAGTACAACTAGGTTTTGGTCTCATTTGAGCTTTATTAAGAATCGAATCGTGGACTGTTCGTCATTTCCTCGATACAATAACTGATAAAAGCTGACAAATGTCGGATACCTATGATGTCAACAACTTGTAGACATTCTCATAGGCAGCAAAACAACAGGATGTCCCGCCTACTTTTATTTCGAGATGCGGCATTTTCGATGTCTTGCAACAGTCAAGAGTCGACGCTCTTGGTGGCATTCTGTTTGCCGGACTTGAAAATGTATTATCAATAGTCATCGCAATGATTTTTTGTATTATTTTTCTCCCCCTACATTTTCTACCCCGCACTATTATAAAATGGAGAGATTATCATGTTAACATGTAATCTAAATAGAACTCTCTACACGAAAATGTTGCTTTTTGGCCTAGAATTATGAATTAAAACCAAAAAATTGACATCTCACGAAAGAAAAATAACACTATCATTTTTTATTAGTTAAAAAATTTGTTTGAAATTTGATGTCATTTCGCAACCACATTTATTTTCCAATTGTTATACCATTCTCATTCTAATCGCTTTCTCTGTTTTGTTTTTGTTTCACTGGTGTATTTTTAGAAGTTGCGAATTGTGCTGCTAAAAACACTATCGATAAAACGTTTCCTGCTATATCCGACGTCGAGACCACCAGTTCGTCGTTGATGTTATCAGACAAGATGCATCATAGTCCTCTTCCAATGGATACGCAGGCCAATTTCGTATGCTCTAATTTTTATGCTGATAATTGAAATGTTTAATTTTTTTTAGGAATTGAAGGCTTTCGAGGAGCTCAATCTCTCCGCGGAACTTCCACTGGAACCAATCGATCAAACCACTCTGGATATGCTCGTCCCAACGTCATCGACATCCGATGTCTTTGAGCTCGCCCGTGGAATGAATGAGGATTATCCGTACCACAGAAATCGCGCGACGATTAATGGCACCGTGAATTTTAAAACATTTTCTTCATGTTACAGCCTGGAATTTTTAGATGATTCTAAAAGACACAATTGTCAAGCTTGCGCTGCACGTGGCTTTTACCACTGTCTTTAAGGTAACTGATTTTACTATCAATGGACTTTATAGAAATGACTCAGGACATGTGCCCGATAGACCATAACGACAATGATCAAATGGCTGACGCCGAAGTGTTAAAGATAAAAGAGGAAAAGTGCCACTATTTTCTCAATCACCTCGTCGATTGCAATAAGACAGGAATTCCGATTGACGAGGTAAAAAGCTCAATTCATTCACAAGCCAAATTTTGTGACAAGCTTCAAAAAACCAAAAAAAAGTGTCAATTTTTCGACAGATAAATGTCAATGATATATGATTTCAGGATGACCTTGAGACCGCATTGGAAGTGGAGGAGAACTACCGCGACCATGTCGTCGACCATTTGGAAAAATTCGGCTAGTGTCTCCGATTCTTTCCGCATTCCAATGTTCAACGTTTCAAATCTACATCCCTCAAAAATCCTCAATTTCTCTGGTATATTTATGTTCAAAATCCCATATGCAAAATTTTTAAAGTGAACCAATTTATATTCTTCCCCCGTTATTTGGATCCCAGTGATGTTAATTTCCTGTTAAATATGTGTTACTGTTGACACTAATAAAAATTCCCGAATATGCTTATGAAACAATTTTCTGAACATGCTTGTTCCTTTTTCAAGTGCTTGCTTCCACCCAACCAAGACCGCTATTTTTAAATGATACTTGTTTGTTTGAACTTTTTTTTTAGTGAAAGACCAACTTATTAAAGATTTTATATTTTAATTTTACACTAAATCGAATTAAGACAAAATTAATATCAAACAATTCTGGAATTTTGAACTCCAAATTGTGTTCCAGTTTGTGACATCATATCTATGACGTAAAGATTCATCGCGATTCAGCATATTTGATTTGAATTTGTTTTTTTTGTTTCGTGAACTATTATCGTCTAGACGATCCCGTTTTTTATTTCGGATGCTTCGTTAGAACCCGACTTATTTTTCTTTATACTAAAAAAAACTCATCTTCTTGTCAGCTTCATCAGCTCACTAACAATCATTATTGTCGAAATAGCCGATCTGAATTGCGACATTCCTCCTCTTGAATGATGAGAATAAGACGATTGCTGGAAAATGTAAGTTAAAATTTATGTTTTATTAAATAAAATTTAATCTGAATAAAAGCTAAAGAAAATTGTGAAGGGGGCAGGTTGAAACAACAAAAAACAAAAAAAAAACAACAGTGTTTTAAAATTGACGTTGAATTTCTTCGACACTGCAGTTTTCCAAATCTCGGACATTTGCTCAAATGAGCCTAATTTGCCAAGAATAAGCGACATAGATAAAAGCCTGAAATGTGAAAACCTGCTAAATATGGTTTGATAAGATACAAGAACGAGTTAAGTTTGCCGGTGAAGAAAAAAATGTGAACACTAAAAGATGCGATAAAAATAACACTTAAATTGTTATATAAATAAAATTTTGTTATTTCTCAATCCAGAAATTTGTTTATTTTACCCAAGGGCAAAGATGACAAAAAATTAGAACATATTCAAAATGCACGTGATGTACCTATTCAGTCTCATGCGAAATAGTCATTTTCAGCGTCAAATTTGATAAACTTTGCAAACACTGAATTGTAATCCATAAAAAGTTCTTTTATTAAAGCTTTGGAGTTTTCATTTAATTTTCATCAATCAAATCTCCCTCCTATAATATGGAGTTTATTGTATGGGTTTTCACTTTGAGACTCATCTCTGATAATGCTTGAATAACGGCACCGTATCTCTAATAATGCGCATCGCACCGAAACAAAGAGAAATCTGTTGACATCGTCAAATAAGAATTTCAATAAATTCCTTAAATTATATTATTTTAAAATAAGGTTCTGTTTTTATAACTTTTGAATACTTTAGAAATTTACATTTTTTTTTCTCAAAAAAAAATCTCAAAAATATTTTTCGAAATCTTTTTATCTCAACTATTTGAAAAGGTTTTTTCCTAGTTAAAAAAAATGTTATATAAATTTCAAACTTTTTTCTAAATGTTCTAGTTATTGATTGCTTAAACAAATAATAATTTTTTCACACGGCGCCGTCGTTCACAACACATGTGATTATGATAATTTTCGTATATCATCACATTGTCCAATATCTTCGTTCTCTCATTATTCGCTTCGACGTGTCATTTCGACTGGTCACATAACGAAGTGTATAAGGTCAGTTCTGCGCTTCATTCTCGGCCGTCATTACATATCATTTATTGGCTTTTTACGATTTCTTCTTCGCCGTTCTTCATTTTCGTTCGGCACCGACCCATCTTTTCTCTTTTCTCTTCTCATTGCATCCCATCACATCTCAATTATACGATTTTTCAGAAATGAATTTTTCCGATTCTGTACGATGTATTGTCCAGACACCCGAGGCTGCTCAAGTCGTTAGTTTGTCTTTTGATTTTGAATCCCTTGAACTAGGTGAAGAGCTCGACTTTTTTAGGCTTTGTTCATTTGTGAGATGTCGAATATCGGCGACACTTACGGAAAATACTTGGTATGATTTTATCAAACAAATGAAGAATGGCAAAAAAAATAAATTGTGCAACTTTTTCGGCGGAAATCTCCGAGTATGCTCGAAATCAGTCCCAGAATCTGATATATCTCGAGATCAAGAATCTTTGCCAACAGGCGAAACTATCGCTCGAAAATTTGCAAACGTGTCTTAACGCTGGCTTTCCATTGGAGCAAGTAGAAATCGTCAACAAATTAACGCCAAATAAAAATTTCAAATTTTAGGCCGACATCGAACTCGTAAGAACCGATGTTTCGCGAATGTGTAATTTGATTGATGCGCTCGCCAAATCTTACGAAAATCATCGCCAAACCAATTGAACTATCAAAATTTTGCAATGATAAATAATGTCTAAAAATATTCGTTCACCTCTTTGAGAAAATCTATAAGCCTAATATGTAAAAAAATGAATTTTTTTATTGGAACAATTTCTTTTTGTGATCATTTATTCTTGACATCTCAAAGAACTATTCTTCAGAAAAAAAACAATGTTTAAAGAAACCGATGAATTGGGAAAAAATATCGTTTTATCTTTACTAGCATGCATTATAGAATCTTCCGACGTTGGCAACTCAATTTAATAATTTCATCTGGAAAACGAAGCAGCATCTTATTTAACACCACGTGGTAATTAATCACCTATAGCGTGTTTTTTTTTCTTTGATTCATCGTTTTGATGTTTGAGTTTTTGCCGAAAATTGCCCTCAATTTGCTATAGTGCCTTCAAATTTGAGCCATTTTGATGGAAAAAAAGATTAGTAGTATTTGCTCGAAATAATTCCGCGTACATTTAGGATTATGTTAATGCATGTAGGAAAAAAAGATTTTGAGGCTATTTGTGTACAAACTAATCTTTTTTTAAATATATTTTTTAAACTCTTAATCTGCTAATGCTTTCTGATTTTTTCCCCACTGGAGGAAAATTTATTTAATACTTTAAGTCCAAAATATCCATTAAAATATTTCTTCAAATTTTTGCTCAGATCCACCGTATTCATATAAAATGATTGGAGTATCTTGAACCCAATTTTACATAGTTTATGAAAATAGTCAGAATGTAGATAGTAAAACGATTTGAGAAGCACAATGAATTTGATGGAAATTGTTACCTGCACTAGATCAGTTTCCATATTTAGTCGATGTGCGTTACATCAACGTTTGTCGGTCTTTTGATTATTAAAAAAAACTATATATTATATGCGTGTGGTCAAAAAACATGTTTCCCACAATTTCTCGTTGGCAGAGAAAATTTGTGGGCGCACATAAATTTGCGGGTGTTCGAGCAGCTTATTACTTCAAGATGTTCAACCAGCAATATTCCTTTTTCTTTACCTATTCAATAAATGAATGTTCATACAATTAATTACAAGGCGTAATTAATGCATAAGCTCCACCCAAATTGGTTTTACGCAAAATTTTGATTTTAGAAACGTAAGGAAAACAATAAAACCAAAAACAAAATGTATTGTCTACGATAGATTTTTATTGAATGCGCATTTTGGATTCCTGCCTTTATTATCATATCAAAAAAAAAATATAAAATTGAAAATTGAAATGTTTTTAACCAATAACAAAAAATAATATACGGGATTCCAAAAATTAAATAATGGGAATATAATATGCTAGTAAAATTGGAACTCTATGTCGAACGGTAATCATTATCGAACTTTTATCAAAATCATTCGGTTCGTTTCTGCTTATTATAAAAAATACGTTGACCAATATTCTAGCACACTCTAATGCTTTAAAAATTTGATTGTTTCAGGCAAAATTCTAAATATGGTCTATCACGTTCGAAGATGGTTTTGAGACCGGCTGACATCCGACCTTGATCGTCAATTGTTTACGACGTGTACACGCATTTGCTAAGATTGAAAATTTGATTGGAATGAAGACTGAATAGCTGACGTAAAATGATTGCAAGCATATCGAACACTAGTTCGGTTCCAGTTATGTGTATAATGTACCCTTAATTATTATCATATCTCATAGTCCACGATCAATCGTATCAATGACGAGTTAGTTCGGTTTAATGATGCAACGACACTTCCTGTTCACATGACTTGTACAGCTCTTACTTAAAATCAGAAACTTTTTTTTATATTATAATAATACTTTCAAGAAGTTATGTTTGTGTTTACCTGTATTCAAAGTTATGAACGTCTAGCGATTGTAAAGGAATAAAAGAAGCTGATATGAATTTTTGTAAGGGACATTTCTCATGTATAACCTATTATTTTCACGCTTTTTCACAGAGCTCAATAACAAAAAACTCTTCGAACGGCAGTCACAATTTCAGAAAATCAAGTGATGATATGAGAAACTTGCTGATTCTCCAAATATGAATTATTCAATCAAATTCCGCGAACGGAGGTAATTTTTTTTTAACCTAAACTTTGCTAATTTTTAGTCATTTGAATTGCATGGTATTCGTTGAAGATTCACCCAAACCTCTTATCAATCACGGCAACATTACCTCTCCTTTCAACTTTGATCTACTTTGCTATCAATCCTCTGGGCAACTCTCCGCCCATATCTATATATAATACAGACAGACGTCTAAACAAAAAATGATAAAATTCTGAACGTTTTAGCGAGAGGCAATCAAAAAAAAAAACAACGGCCACGTTCGTTTTCTTCGGTTGTACTCAATTACATCACAAAAATGTCTACTCTCAACGATGTCGAGCAAGAATTGCCTACTGAAGCTGATATGATGGTAACTCTGCCTGAAAAATACGTATTATAATGATTTTTAGGAGGAAGTTTCGCTTTTTTCCAACATTTTGCCACATTTCATTCGGACAATGGTCAGCGTTCTCATTGTAATGAAAACGTTTAAAATTTTTTTGTCAGAGCCATCCATGTTTCTTCTTGCCATTCGTCTCATCCGATCTTCGACAGCAATTCGAAAATCTTCGATTGCAAGCGATTAATTGCAATCGGCAGGCTCGTTTTATTCAAAACGGTATATTACCTGAATTTGCCGATTAAGTGAATTAGTTTAGGAGAAAACATCAATTTACAAGAAGAATTTCTCCGTCTCCGTGAATCGTATGCTTCGATTCAAAGGGAATATGAGTCATGCCTTGCGGCTGTTGAAGAATTGTGCGGTATCGCCATCACAGACCCCGTGCAATTCATGTCCTCCTTTAATAATCCCATTGCGGCTCCCGAGCCAGAAGATTTGGAGGGAAACTACTACGACGAAAATGATGATGTTGGCTCTGATGCACGTACTATTGTCTTTTCAGACACCGATTCAGAGATTGACGATGACAATGATTATGGTAGCATTAATGGTGACAATTATCAGATTATGGAAGACCAGCATTCCGATGAAATTTTTGCGATATTGAATGAATTAGTTGAGTAAAAAGTTTTGTCCATATGCCATCATTTCGTATTGAATAAAATTCACTATGTTTCTTCGTTTAAAGAAGCAGATGTAAACAAGAACATGGAAATCGTGTAGCGATAAGAAACACAGACGGCAGCAGTAAAATCGATTCGCATGTATGTTTAAGGCAATCCTTCTTAAGGGACATGGAATAATAAGGATTATGAAAAAAACATATTCAGTTGAATATTTTCAATTTTAAATGAGAGTAGTCTAATGGTTGCCAGTCTGAGATTTGGCGCGATTATGATTTTCAATTGACAGCATAGACCTCTTGAGTATGACATTATTTAAAATATTTTTTTTTTCAGTAAGATAGACGTCTTCCGGCAACTGATGCTTTTGGGTAGATTTACGTGCGCCGTTGACTCGTGTGAACTAACTGGATATTTCGAAACTTTAAATTTTTATAACCGTTGTTATGAGAGAGAAAAAATGAACAGTTCACGCGAAGAGGGAAAAATAAACATTTAAACGTGGCGAGATCATGACGAAAGATACGCCCGTAAATCTACCCCAATACATTTGTCGAAAGACACCGACGGACAATGCCACACTTATAAATGTTAGGTGAGCCAACTATACAGTATAGCGCGACATCGACAATATAGTATTGTTTAATTCATAGATCCTTTTTGATCACTAAAGTGATCTATTCTCAATTGATCAATCGATATCATATCGGAATGAGTCTGCCCTGTGTCGAAACAAATTTCCTTAGAAAATCCATACATCTTAGAGATCAGAAAACAAAATTGACAATGCCAACTTGTAATTTTTTTGTGCCAAATAATATTAATGTGTTGATACAATTAGGCAACGTGACGCTCCCGGTCATATAAAATGCTTCGATTCGTCACATTTTTTCGCATTTGTCGCCGAAGATGAACCGTGCGGTGCCGGTATATTTGCTTGATTTTCTCGAAATAATTTTTTTGCAGGATGTTGAAGAATTCATCAGAGGTCCTCAGATCGCATTAGTAAGACCTCTACGGGAATCTAAGATATCAATTTGCTTGATTTCAGCGCCTCTGTGAGGAGTTATTTGAAGAAAGTGGCCCCCAAGCAAATCATAATTTTCTCGTTCGGATTCATGAAGCTGTCAGACGTTTCAACGCCGTACTATTTTTAATGCTCTTTCAGAACGAAATGACACCGGTGATAACATTCATTTTCTTGCGTATATTGATGATCTTCTCTCAGACGCTCTACTACCAAATCGAAGTAGATTTTGATAATCTACTCCACGAGATTGAATACTACGCTTTTGTCGGAACTGTTTTAGCAGTCGATTTTGAAGAAAGAGCCGCCGTGGAATTTTTTGGCAATGCAGAAATCATTGGTGAGCGAGTAGAAGTCGTGGAAGAAGAAATGGAAGGTGTCGAAGAATATGATGAAGAAGAAGAAGAAGAAGACACCGGCTCAGAAGATTACCAGGAAGACTACATTGAGCAAGAAAACGACGATGCAGCCGAGGAAGACAAGTGATTTGATTAAATTCGTTTGCTCCATTGTTTGTCATAAATATTTTGCAACATATGAATTGTTGTGTCCCGCAAAATATTAATCGACTGGTGTCAATTCATAAGAATGTTTCTTGCTCCTCGAAATTGTCAAAACAATAGAATTTCTGGATAGAAACATTGAAAACGAATTGTTTCCTTTTCATTAGTTTCACAAAAAAATATTGATAGGTGCATAAGCGACGTCGCTCGTCTTCAGCAATATTTCCGAAAAAATTGGTCTTTGCGTCTGTCTCGACCGTATGCGACAAAATAGAAAACGATTATTTCTTTTCTTGCCGTTTGAAAAGAGCGTCGCATTTCTGAACCTTTCAATTCTCTTATTCTTTCTTTAGAAAAAACATTTTTCGATTGTGATATCGAAAAAGCATGGATCGCATCCTCATTGACGATGAGCTCAGGGTATACGTATTAAAATATTATCCATCCCTGTAATTATGCTATTTTAGGATGAGATTCGATCAATTACTCAGTTCGCCTTTGACGCATTCGTAAAAAGAAATTGTAACCTATTTATTTAATAATCTCTAATTTCAGTTGTTCTTCGAGCACATGGTTTCACCTTATGAAGTAGAAAATGAGCCATCGCCATATCTGGTGGCAATCCGCAGTTTGACATTAAGTTTTCTCGTGATGATCTATAACCGAACATTTTCTGGATATATCGAGCCAGTAATGAATTCAGTAATTTTGCGTGAATAAATTAATTCGTTTCGCCATTCAGGAAAGACTTGAAGAAATTCGTCATTCCTACGAGCTATATCGCGAACAAATCAGCTATTTTGCGGATTTGGCTCTGTGGGAGATTCCACTCGATTTCTAAATTACTGTATATGATACTATAAATTGTTTCAGGCTGAAATTACATTTTCATTTTGATGTTCTGACTAAATTTTAAATTGCCAGAACAAAATGTGCACATAGACGTCTTCCTCCTTATCAAATTTGGTTTCTTCTCACCCCGAAATGTGAAATATCGATTTCAGCAATCTAGCTCATGCTGTGAAGCATGACTCTTATTTACAATTTGGCCAAACCAAATGAAATATACCCGCTAGCAAAACGGCAATTATATATTCGCAGTTATCTAATTTGTAACGATAATGAAGTTAATTGAACTGAAGATTGTACCGTTCACCAAACACCGAGCTGTTCATCCATGCTATATTTTTTTAAGTCGCACATCACATTATTATTGATATATTTTCGGTTGTTCTCTGCGAAAATCAGCAGGTGAAGTAAGTCTGCCCGTCATAATCAACATCTTCGATGCAAGCTTCCAATTTTTTTTGTTTTCAAATATTTATACGCATTTATGTCAAATAGTCGTCTCATTTCTTGACTATGTTCCTATTACAAGAAACATAAAACCCTATACAAAAAAATGTTGCTATTGGGCAAACGTCATTTATAATTAAATTTAACAAAAATTGGCGTTTCATAGTTTGACATTTTTCAAATTTATTTTTATAAGAAATAAATAGTCTTATCATTTTTCTGTTTAGAAAGTAGTCTTGAAATAAAGTTTGTTGAAGATTCTAGCATGACACCATTTGCTTATTCGATAAATAAAGCAGGTTAAATTAGAAATGGCTATCATAACAACACAACAACAAAAGCCAAAATCCAATTATATTTCAAATTGTCATTTCTTGCTCCTTGTGTTTATTCCATTTTAACATTGTTTTATATTTCTTTAGATTTTAAATTGAAGCATTTAGTCATGGAAGGAAATCAATTTGTTCCTCTCGACGGACCACTCGTCACTGTCACTCGGGAGATGCGTGTAAGTTTCATACTAAAAATAGAAAAAAAAGAAAATTCAATACTTTTCAGCAACAATTCCAATTATGGAAGGAGCAGGTCACCAATCTAATGGTACGAATGAATTAAAGTTAAAATATTTATATTTATATTGTTTAGTTCCTCTATGAGGGAACTGTACGCCAGGAAGGCACTTACAACAATAATCGTCGATTTCTTGAATCGTTGAATCGCCGTGTTGTCGAGTTTGTAGTCATGATTGACAACACTATCCAAGAGCAGACAACTCAAGTAGCAAAAATAACCAAACATCTTAATTCTGAAAATACAATTTAAGCTCTATCTCGATCTTATCCGTGTTCGCTACTACGAGCTCTTCTCTGACTTCAGCGATCTCGCTGATGAGGACTCTGGAACTGAGCACGACTAAAATAGCACTTGACGAAACTATCCATTATTGTAATAACTAACTGCACACACATTGGCCAATAAAATCCCGGAATAGCAATTTTATTAATATTTATATTATATGAATAGCAAGACAAACCAAAACAAGGCTAACACTTATATCAATTCTTCAAAAAAATGGCAAAATATGGTCAAAAAAGAATGACGTTGAACTTGTGAGCAACTGACGGGAAATTTGTTGAAATATTTGACGCAAATCGTCATCATCATCAAAATACAATTAGCTAATGCATCATCAGGGTTTTCAAGTTCTGCTCCAAAATGCTTTCGCGAACATCATGGAATACACGACGAATATTTTCAGTGTCGACAGCCGTCGTGAAATGATAGAAAAATGGCCGCGCGCGATCTTTCCGAGATGCTTCGAATTTGTCGACAAGGAAAAATTGAACATCTCGAACCTTGAAAAAAAAACAGGTTGTGTCGTTTTTCGAATTGTCAAAATATAATCTTACTGATAGATGATCGCCGGTGAAATCTGTGAAATATTGCCGAATATCGGATTTTGGCACCTTTTCTAAATAAAGATTTCATTGAATGAAAATTCAAGACAACTATTCTCACTTTCCAATAGGTCACACTTGTTGAGGAAAAGGATAATTGAAACATTGTTGAAAGCTTTGTTGTTCACAATTGTTTCAAAAACTGATCGCGACTCTACAACACGATTAGTCCTTCTGTCCTCCAGAATTACCTGAATTTCAATGATGTTTCTCGTATGGTATTATAATATTATTTTACTTGATCATATTCGTTGCTCGCCACCATGAACAGGATACTGGTAATGTCAGTAAAGCACTGGAACCATTTTTGTCTTTGCGACCTTTGACCCCCGACATCAATGAACCTGAATACACGAATATTGCGCGAAAGCTCCAGTAAAAAAAATAGAATATACCGGAAAGGGATTTTGTTAATCTCGAATGTATGCTCAGAAATGCCTCTTGTCGCTTTACGACAAAACAAAATATCGCGATTCGTTGGATAGAAATCTGGCATTGCTATCCGCGTAATATGATCGAAAAAATATTGGCACGAATCGCTCTGAAATTGAAATAGAAGAAATGAAATCCGTTTCGAACGTATTCCTACGATTTGAAATAAATTGCGTTTTTCATAGGTTTTTCGAATTCCCGCGTCGTCCCAAAAATCTTTTATAATTGGAGCGACTTCGACAAATGTTGTAAAGTCGATTCCTTTGAGAAGGTCAGCAACAGTGAATCTAAACATGACACAGCATAGAATCAATGGGACGTGGCAAAACATACTTCATAATACTCTCGGCTCCTGCGGCTCTACTTGGATCTTCCCATTCAATTCCAAGTTTGCTTCGTGCATCTAATAAAACTCGCATAGCCGATATAGCATTCTGAACAATAAATTAGAGAATAATGAAATATAAATAAAAATGGTCATAACTGTTAAAAAATGAAGTACATACAATTTTCGATAAGAATAGTTTTACAACTATGTATATTCTTTAAACTATCTATCTTTATTGTCTTTCTCCAATCACACCATACTACTTTTGTTCTGGTGATCTTTTGATTCCCGCAAAAATTTCATAGAAACTTTAAAATCATTAAGAGAGAAGTATCAAAGTTGACATTTTGATTGATGATCTGTAGGTGCTTTATTAGGTCGACCGTTGCAATAATATCTCTCATCTGCAGATAATTGCGTTGTTTATATACATATATACCTGGTAGATTTGCTGCCTATAAGATCGGACTTCATCGGCAGTAAACTCTCCAGCACCATGGATTATATGCATCTGTTTGACAAATGTCGATTTTCCAGATTCTCCGGAACCCAGTAGCAGCAATTTGATCTTAAAAAAATCGTGTTTTTAGTATGCGAAACTGAGAAAAAAAAATACAAACCTGCCGCCTTAAAATCTTTCTCTCCCTGTGTAACTCTTTCTCAATAATTTTAGTTTGTTCGTCTTTTTTCTGGAAGCAGCATATCATTCTGACAAACCTGCAAAAAAAAGATATCATGAGAAAATGATCATCATCAGACGAACGCCAACAAATATTTGTTGCTGGTGTTCTTTTTATTCGATGCGTTCGAATGCGTTGGGGTGTGTCGGTAATACGTGAGAATTCTTATCTTTTCGTTAAAAAAATACGATACAGCGAGTGATAAATAAAAATCGAAGAACGGAATACATGCACAGGTGGCTGGTAAATTGTTCATTTCGAAAAAAAAAATCGACTAAATGCATTCTGCAAACAAATCATTCTTTCCCGATCTACTCGAACCCAGAGAGGAATCGGGGGGGGAGGCGACAAACCAAAGCGAAAGTTGACTACGGTTACGTCACGCAAATACACGTTTTTAGCATAAAGAACTGAGAATGACTCATCAGAGGGGTTTCTCCAGCAGTTTTATGGCAAAGCAATCAATAGCCATTGATTTGTTTAAATACACACAATAGAATTATGAAGAGAGAGTTTGAAAAAAACGTGAACTCATTTCTTGTCGGGAATTGCTTGCTTTCATGTTTGTACACCACCCACACGTTAGAATGAATAAGACAATCGTGATTCAAAAATGGAATATCACGGAAAAGGAAAAAAAACGAAATGTTTGAATTTGAAGTGCGAAATATTCTTGTTAATTTTTTATATGAGAAACCTTAGATTTTTTAATGATTTTTTTATTCGTTTCACCATTGGATTTTAAATATTTTATGCGGAAATGAGATTATTTTTCAGTGGAAAAAGTCTCCCTAGGAAACTAAAACAAAAAAATCTTATCGATGAAAACGATGCGCAAACACAAATGCCCACACTCTTCTCATTTTCTTTCGATCAAACACATTGAGAATTGAGAAAATGGATGCAAAAAATGAAAGTATCATATCCTATAATTCACTATTTTTTTTTAGAAAAAAAAACTTTAAAAAAGCAATAGCAAACAAAACATTGTGATGTGGTTTTGTCGTGCCTTCGAGTTCGATGCGCGACAAAAAACCAGTTTTATAAGTCGATTTGATGAGTTTTGAGTTGCAACACTCGGGTTCTATTTTTCGTTTCAAATTGCCTTCAATTGTTTTTACGTGGAAAATCGTTCTGTTCAGTGTACTTGATTGATAATGTGACCGTTGAATCGATGTCATCGGTTCGATCGAATATCGAACAATCGGTCATAATTTTAATGGAAGATAGTGAAACGATTCAAAGGCATGAGTGCAATTTGCTGATGATTTAATGATTGCAAGATTTGTTTGTTTTGAAGATAATTTATGTTATATATAGTTATTGCATATATATTTAAATTGTAGAGACGCGACACTCGGCTTTAGCTGAGACCAGACCGGAAATAAGCATATACGCTTTTTCAATTTGATTTGTTGGTTTGTGTGGGTTTCTCTTTTCTCATAATTTTTTAGAATATTGGAGGAAATATGTTCTTTAGATAAAATTTGGCTAATTTTGAATTGAAAAATTTTTAAACAAACTCACCAGTGTAAAATTGAGCGAATAAATGCTATCAGTCCCATTTTGATAACATAAATAAAAGAAACAGTTCGAATAATCTAATAGTTCATAAATAGTGGCAATGTGATGAATATACAAATAATAATAGTAATAATAATTATCTCAAATGATGGCTGAGATAAAACCGTGGCGCGGAAATCTCACTATCTGTGGATACAAATATCTGGTAGACTGTATGTAGAGGCATCACTTGAGGATTTCTCGTCGCAAATTTTGAACACACAGTGCGACGAGATTGTAGGAAAAGACGACGACACAAGCAGCAACATTGTTGAGAAATTAGCAGATATTGGTATATAACACACTGATTGGTTGTCAATATGACTTGGGACTAATAGTACGTTGTGGACGCTCAAGTGGATCATACGGGGCAAAAAAAGATCATTTCGGGATTGAGGAAAGCATACGGCTGACAAAGTTTGCTTGGTGTTCACGCGCATATACATCATGTTTTTCAAAATAATACAACACGTGAGAACATTTGTAACAAAGCAAATGCGCTGAAAGGATAAATAATTTTGTATTTATCCACTTGAAAAGAAAATGAATCATCAAAATCGCGACAGTGGAAAACAATTCTCAGGGATAGTTCAACAATTATTTTATTTCAGTTAATTCGAATGCTAGGTCGTGTGGTCTTTAAACGATTTTCGTTTCTATTTAGAGATATTAAAGTATTTAATTGGCCATCATAGATAACAAAGGGATTCACATATCTACGGGAGCTCTGTTTAAACTTGCGAAAAATTCCGATGGCCGGAAAACAACATTTCCTGTTTGTAGAATGTGCACAAAATAGGTTACATTAGCAACGGAATCTTCTTTTTTGGGTTTATCAAATTTCGTTATGTTATAATCACATAAAGTCACTGTTCAACAATGAGGTATTGGGCCAAACCATGTTCGAAATACTAAAATTTTCAAAAAAGAACTAAATGATTCTGCCGATATATTAAAAATTTTTGATAGTATTAAAAACTTCTGCAAAAAATAATATATAAATTTTCACAAAAAGAGCATGTGGCAGCTGAGCAAATATTGGTTTGGAAAAGAGAAACAAAGCTCAGTGAACAATTTTTTAGATTTAATTTCTGCGATAATCAATTAATACATTGTAAAAATTCGGTATTTCAATCTTTATTTCATTATTTTCGCTTCTTCTTTTTTAATTCGTCTTCTTTAACAATCATTCTATTTTGGAACATTGCTTTCCGCGTTATTGAAGACGACGTTATTCATCTAATTGCTCCTTGATTTTTTTTCAGTTGGCATTAAACATCAATTATGATTGACTGAGCAATTCGAAATAAAAATAAAACTTTAATCGAATTTTGTTTTCGACTTTTCTTTTTATTTATTTCATCATTTTTTATTCCGACATATTGTGACGGGCCACAAACCAGAAAAGCGATAAAGCCACGCCCATGAATGAAAGCGCCGCGTGGTGGCCAGTATTCCAACGCCCTTCGCCCTAACTGCTTCACTCGTCAACCGCGACCCAACTCCATATATGCTCTTATGCTATTCGTGTTTCCTATTCCTGCTAGTTGATAAATTTTGGAATTGTTTCGCCCAAGATGACCAGACACTTTATTCGTTGCTCATGAGCCAAAATATCACCGAAAATGAGATAAAGCATCGCGAGCTTAATGAACCAGATAGTAATGCGTGAGTTTTATTTGGTGATTTTCACACTATTGGTAAGCCAGTAATTCAAAAATCGTTTTTTTTTACTTCTTTCCGAGCAAGAATAGCTCAAGTCTAAAGATCGTCAAAAATCTTTTAAGCTTAGCTATCCTTTTTCAAAATCGTATTATTTGGAGAAACAAAAAACTCTCCCCTTACCCGTTTTTTTTTTTGTCTTCAATATCATCACGCAAGCAAAGAGTGAAATCGAATGGGTAAACAGAAATAAATTCCGAATAACAATTGCGCGTCAAGAAAAATTGTACCCAAATTTTGACATTTTTTTTTTAATTTAATTTATTTTTATTCCAGGAATATGCCTGCCGGAATTGATCAGGTGCGGCTCGAGAAAGCACTTAATACAAGTGAGTTTCCAATTATTTTCATTTTTCGCCTGTTCGTTCGCTTCTTTTCGGCAAAAGCGTGATTTCTCACGACGAAGCACTTACACTAATGACTCCGAACTTTTGCGCGCAAAATTTTTTTTCGTCCAGCTTAAATATTGTTTATGTTTTTTTTCAGAAAAGCATGTCGACAAAACGGAAGAAGCGCTTTACCGAACATTACTAGATTATTCGGCTTACGAGAAGGATGTGAGGCCATGTCATCATCATAAAGAATCAACAAATGTCACATTTGGATTTTTATTGAATCAAATAGTCGAAATGGTAAGAGGGAGCAATAGTAATTGAAATCCAAGTCAGGTTTACTTAAAAGGAAGTTTTAAAGGTGGCCCACTCGGAAGTCGTTCCTATAAATTGTGGCGCATATTCTATGAATACTGCAATTGACCTAAAAAAAAATCTCCCAAATTTCCTATTTTTCCGTTTTTCCTTCACTTTACTTTTTTTTCAGGATGAGAGAAACCAAGCTCTAACCACTCGCAGTTGGCTCAATATCAATTGGATGGATCCAAGGCTATCATGGAATGAGACACTTTGGTCCGATATTAAAGCAATATATGTTCCACATAACCGAATATGGAAGCCAGATATCATTCTGGTCAACAAGTGAGTTGAGTTCTCAAACTCCTGGACACACTTCAGTGCAATTGTGCAAATATTATTCACATTTCGAGATTCGATTTGAGCGCAAGTTTGCTTCTTCGTAAGCATCAGAAATTAAATAGAGCATTTTCACATACGTTTTTCTTCTCGCCAATCTTTCAACGTGTCGGCGGCCCTGATTTTGGACTCCTCCCTCACCCACTCGTTTTTGTTGGACTCCGAGTTCTTCTAGGGTCCAAAAAATATGGACCTGATTTGCATGCATCAACACCATGCAAAAACAAAAAAAAAATTTTAGTTGAATTTGCTAGATATGAATGTATATCCTAGTCGAGCCTTTCCTACTTTCTTCTTATTTCGAGCGCATCGTTTTTCGGGCGAAAAACAAGTCATTATTTTGTTTTGATTTTTCGACTAGTTTCCAGATTATGCGCTCCTCTTTTCGCCGTTCGAACCAAGATACTTGAGCCATTATTTAGAAGCATTCGCATCGGCGCAATGTTTTTTTTTTGTCTAGCCTCAACGTCTTGAATGTGGCCAATTATTTGGATTGTTCCTTGATGATAAATAGGCGAGAAAAAAAATAAGAAAAACATTGTCAAGAGCCGGGGGGAAAAACATGAGTGATTTAATAGTTTGAACGCGTGAAATATAAAAAGGCATTTTTCACAGATTAGAGTCATTTTCTGGCTATTTCGGCAAGCAATAAATTTTGAAAAATGCCGACTTCAGCATGGAGATTCACACATTCCAACACTAAAAATATGGAAATAGAAAATATACAACATTTGGGATTTTGAGAATAGAAGAAAAGAGAAACATTCGCCATCCTCAAATTAATAATGCAACAGAATGACAATGATATTAATTTGGCTATAATTAAAAATAAAAATTTTCATTGGAAGCTAAAACCATAAAAATTCATTTTAGTTTGTGAATTCAAAATATCCTTTATATTTACAGCGCAATCCGTGAATATCATGCTTCCTTGGTCTCCACTGACGTCATGGTTACTAGTGATGGCAATGTTACTTGGCTATTTTCTGCGCTATTCCGTAGCTCATGCCCTATTAGGGTCCGATATTATCCATTCGACGATCAGGTTTCCATATTTTCATTTCCACCTTTACTTATGAAATTTATTTGAGCTATGTGAATTAAAATTCGCTTCTTGGTCCCACGACCTGACCGAAATAAATCTTGGCTTGAACACCGATAAAGGGGACCTTTCGAGCTATATGAACAATAGTGAATTCGATCTAGTCGACATGACCGCGGAAAGAAAAGTTATCACATTTCCCTCGGATTACAACAGCCTGTGGCCAACCATTGTCATTCGGATACATATGCACAGGCGTCCATTATTCTACGTTTTTAACCATGTGCGAATAACATTTGAATGTATTACTAAAAAAAGAATTACGATTCATTTTTTAGATCATTCCATGCGTTTTAATCTCATCTATGGCCGTCCTCGGATTTTTAATGCCGCCGGAAACTGGCGAGAAAATCAACATGATTATTACTACTTTATTGTCCATGGGTGTTTATTTGCAATCAATTACTGAATCGATTCCGCCGACTTCCGAAGGAGTCCCATTAATTGGTTTGCCTTTTATATAGTAGTCATAGTCATGATAATGTTCAGGAATGTACTATGTGTCCTCATTGCTGATGGTCTGCTTGGCGACATGCGTCAACGTTATTACATTGAACATGCATCGCAATGGAGCCGCGAACCAAGGAAGGCATGTGCCAACATGGATGCAGAAATGGATTCTCGGCTACCTAGCAACGTTGATGAGAATGTCGATTAGAGAACCGGATAGTATAGCCCTTCTCAAAGCATCACAGGTATCGGCAAAATTTTTCAAATTTCATGTGAAAACACTTTTGTGTTTTTTGTTCTTGCTTTCACGGTGAACGCTTGAACATAATTCAATATTGTAAAAAAAATTCGAAAGAAAATTGAGTTTTGCATAATTATAAAAAAATTTTATGGCAGCGAAAGAAAAACTTAAAATTTCTTTTTTTTTGTTTAGAGCAAGAAGTCGACAATCCGACGGAGTTCGATACTTCGCGATTTGAAGCGTGTCAAAAATATGTCAAATCTTCGAAGCAAAGAGAAAGATTCGAACAGCGCGAATAGGGTTGAATGCGAGTGCATGGACCCTTTAGCAGTAATAATAATACTAGTTGAATGTGAATACTGAAAACTTTCAGCACATTTATGCTGAAACAATGTACCGCCCCTATTTGATACCAACATCGAATGGAAACGCAAATAGTGATTTATCGAGTGAAAGTGCATTATTGGGAAAGGTTGTAAGCGAAGGGGTAATTTTAGGAGAAAAAAAAACATCATAAAAAATTTATGGATTTTTTGCAGATAATGCCGAGAATTACAACATCCACAGACGAAGCCATGTCAGAGTTTGAAAATCGATTTCGCCGGATTTTAAAAAGGGTTTATCGAAGTTTACAACAATATGAAATAAGAGAAGAAGTAAGACATTTTTTAGTTAGGTTGTTCAAATTTTTAATATTTGGTAAATATGGTCGCAGAAAAACAACGATCGCTTTCGGTGTTTCCGATCCATAAAATATTTTCAGAGCGGTAATTCAAATTTCGATTCATACTGTAGGAATTTTTTAATCGTACTAGTATGACCATCAAATCAAATTACCGGAATTTATAAATTAGAGTAGCAAGGGTACAGGTTTTTTGCGATTGTAGTAGTTCAAGAAATGTTAAAAAGAAGCTGTTTAAAAAAATAAACAAAACTTCTTGAAAAACTTTGAGAAGAAAAAAGCAAATGTTTCTTTTTAAGATCCTCGACGAGCGATCACGCATCCAGTGGCAATGGCAGCAGCTAGCTACCGTTGTTGATCGATTACTATTATGTTTATTCTGCAGCGCGACACTTCTAACAATTGTCTGTCTTCTAATTGTTCCCGTTGCCTACCGTGATCATGATTCAATTCTTTCAATTTTCAATATTTTTTAAGCCCATCTCATACGTACAACATTCATAAATCCACCAGAATGCCTTCATCATAATTTTGCCACTCCGAAAAAATAAAAGAAACCCGGAAATATTTATGCACACTACATACATATGAAAATCATAATGAAATAGAAATAAACAAAAAGATGAGGAAGAAGATGAGACGTTGGGAGAGACGACAAAAAAAAAGTTTGCGCACGAATTGCTAAGCATGTGAAGAATCGCTACCGAAAAAAAAAACGGCTGCGGCACGCAGGCAAGAATACTTGATATCTTTAGTGGTGTTTCTACTTTTTATATCATATATATTTGACGGTATAAATAGGGATAATGAGGGTTGGAAAGCAGTGGCAACATGTCTGTGGCTCATACGGTTTCCTGTGTTGCTAGTGTCGCGGTAATCACAGCAGCTTTATGCTCTGTGATGATCATTGTCAATGACATCAACAACTTAAGCAATGATATTTCAAATGGAATGGAGAACTTCAAGGTACGCAGTAATTTTTTTAAATATATTAATTTACATGGTATGGTTAACAGGATATCTCGGAAGCTACTTGGGGCAACATTGTTGATTTGCATTCAGGAGCTCGTCGCGAAACTGTGAATCGACAATTCAAGAAGCTTGTCGGAATTAATATTCGCTCCAAGAGGCAGAGCGATAATTGCCAATGTGAGCTTCGCGCCACCAAGTGCCCACAGGGACCACCAGGTCCAAAGGGAGAGCCAGGTGTTCCAGGACTTCCGGGACCAGACGGCGAAGATGGAAAAGACGGAACTCCAGGAATCGCTTTGGTTCTCACCCACAATGTCCCAGGAGGATGTATCAAGTGCCCAGCGGGACCACGCGGACCACGCGGTGACGCTGGACCACCAGGACCACCAGGAAACAAGGGACGACCGGGACAACGTGGACCACCAGGAGAGCAAGGATCCCCAGGACCAGCTGGTGAGCCAGGAGACACTGGAAGCCCAGGAAACAAGGGAAGATGTGGACAGCGCGGAGAGAACGGAGCCCCAGGAACCGCTTACACGCCAGGAGTCCAAGGACGCCCAGGACCGCAAGGACCACGTGGACCACCAGGAGAGGCCGGAAAAGACGGAGAAAATGGAGCTCCAGGAGATAAGGGAAAACCAGGTCATCCGGGACGGCACGGAAAGCCGGGACGCCGCGGAAAGGACGGTGCTCCAGGTGTGTGCGGAAAAGAAGGACCAGTTGGACCAGACGCTGGATATTGTCAGTGCCCAGGACGCTCCAAATAAGCCCATTGACGTTTACATTGGGAATAAATTATTTTATGCAGAACATTGTGTATCTAAGAAACATGAAAAAACAATGGCATTTTGCAAATTCTATCCTTTTTATTTTTCTGTCCATAATGCACCAAACGACTTTCTTTAAAAAAATGAACACAGTAGGAACCGGTCTCTGAGCCTTTTCAATTTAATTCCGATTGGATCAAGTTTTGATGTCTTATTTTTGATGCCTTAACCGTTATAGTACGAAATACGTATTAGAAAACCTTCATAGTAGCTGTAATCAGTTTTTCTTTTCTGATTAATTCCTACCAACAATTAAGCGCTTATCCGTTGATTTTTTCTATTTACACATGATGATATCCATATTCTGACCAGAAAAACAAAAAACAAATGTGTGCTTACCATTCGATGCATGAGAAATCAAAATTTCGCCGGCGAATATTAATTTCCGGAAAAATTTATGCACTACCATATATTTGAATGACGCTCGAGATGGTTAAAAATAAACTCGTGTCAAATTCATAAAATAATAGAGACAATGCATTCAAACAATTGAAACGCAAAATGAGAGAGAGAGAAATGCATTGTTTAGCGAATTGAATGGAATTTCATTCCACTATGATAAACTTCCGAATTCCAGCGAAACTCTCGCGCATTCTTCCGGCTTGTCATCGATTCGCTTAAATCCTACGGTAGCCCTGAAAATGGGCGGTGTGTGCAATTCGTGTGGGATATTTCGATTGTTATTCACCTGCGGTTTTATGTTTCTGCTTTGTCACACCCCGCCATAGACTACAATGAAATTTATCCAAAGAATACAATAAATCACGGGAAATGATTGCTACAATCTCCTAATCGTTACACTGGCGGGCAGGAAATTCCACAGACATCCCAGAATGAAGGAAAAGCAGATTCATGAACAATAATGAGTTCTAGAAAAAGCTGAGACCCCTCAAGATCAATCATTAAGCTGCTTTATTTCTAAAACCTCGTGTTCATGACCCTGACGATTAATGGGTGTGCATAGCTATTCGTCTTGATTCTGACATGTTTGTTATTCCCATTTTTTCCCTATTTGATTCATATGAGAAGCATTGACGAATACTGTGGTTATAAATCGACTCAACCATGTGACGAGCTTCAGACAGGAACAACGCATCAAATGTCTTTGATTCCGAGCCGATTCAGACGAAGCGATTCCAAGGATTCGTTGTATCAAATTTTTCTTTATTCTCGTAATTTGTTTTTTTATTGCTCTACCTAATCGAAAAAATCTCGAGAATGAATACATTTTCTCCGACAAATTTTCAATTTTTCCATACAATTCTAGTGGTCTTAGTCAACCAGACTTCCGCGTTCTTATTATTTCTCGATCCACATTTATTGTCTTAATAACTCAAATTGCATTAAGACGCTACTCACATTTGATTTTCAATCAAATTTTATTAATAATGATAACGAGCCACAGATAGCGAGGTCGATTGATATTAGCTGTTTATGGCAAAAAAATGAGAGGGGCGAATTTCCAAACAATTATTACTTTCAGAGAATTTATTTCGTTTCTATCCTCAATGCTTATACATGTATCAACGTTTTATGCAGACGGTTTTCATGCGAAAACGCCATTTTTCCATTGTCGAGCAGATGTAAACTGAAGTGTTCGGGCATAGAGTTTACATTACACTTTGTGATAAACCCCCCACATTCGCTTTACATGATTGCCCGCGAAAACACCATTTTTTTTAATACTGCTTCTGCTGCTCTCTGAGCATTTCGTTGACTCCTCCTAGAGGACCACATAATCTTCATGATTGTTCGCATTCTTAAAAGCACTATAAAACCGATGTGCTCCATTTCCATTTATTCCATTCACTACGGTAGTCTATATCCTATTGGATTACTGTAGCTTGAATGGATTTTCCATTAGGACTAGATAATTTTAATGGAAGATGCTTCGCTCCACATTTCAGATTTACATTAATTCGTTCTTGGTTTGCCACGTCCTGTTCTTCTTCATTTTTCAACTTTCAAACATCAACTGCTTTACATTATTTATAATTTTTGTGGATTTCAGAAATAGTGAAAAAGAGCGAGTATTCAAGGTTCAAATTTCTCCAATCTGGTGAATGGGTTTTTAATCGGATAACACCACGGCCTACACGCTGCGAGCAAAATGAACATTTCGCGGAGTTTAGTGGATGTTATTCGTAGCACGACTGCTGTTTTTCAAGTAAGTGTCCATTTTCCATCATCGATATCATCGAGCAGGTGAATTTTTGCTTTATTTCGGTGAGAAATTTGCATGCGTCAGTGATGACCCGTATCGGGCTATTTAGGGATCTCTGAGAGCATTAGAGGCTCATAAATATTTGTGAAAAAAATGGTCATCAAAATAATCTGTGAAGACGGAAAAGCAAAGAAAATACAGCAATTTACTAAAATTTTCTTTGATAAACCCAAGAAAATAAAAAATAATATAAAAATTTCACAGCATCTTTTGAGCGATTCAATTATAGTAGTGAACAACTGAGACTCTTCAATATTAATAGTTTTGTAGTCAATTCAAACAATGAAAAAAAAACATCTGAAAATCACATTTGTCCGAATCAAACACCACTTTTGCAAAAGACAATTTGAAATTTCGGAAAATAAAATGTGGAAAAATAAAATGTTTGTTGGTGTGCAAAGCACTCACAACAATCTAATTGATGAAAATCCAAAAGAACTTAGTAAAATTAAAACGAAAATTTGGGTATTCCAATGTTTTGAAAATGAAAAGAAAAATTCATGGATAATGAATTGTGTTGTAAAAAACTGCAAAATTTCAAATTTCGGATTAATAACATGCCTTCTTAACAATTTAATAGTGGAGAACATTTTTGCAACAAAACCTTAAGCAATTATCATTTCATTATGTTTGAGATGTCCCCATTAAATTGATTCGAAAATAAAAGTTACAATAGTGCCGAATTGCCGCTGGGAAAATGCCCTAAAAGCGATTATATTAAAAAAGAGCAAATGGACAAAACACACATCTATTTGTAATTTTCTAAAACCCAATTTATTCAGCTTCGACAACTAATTCACTTTCTAATTTACTTTATTGTAAAAAATCTGCGTACCGTATCGAATGCCCTTAAATACATATGAATAATTATACTTAATCGATGCGAATATCCTCGATTATTGGGAGCAGGCAGCAGCGGATGTACCACTTGACCTATTCGGTGGCATATCGAAAGATTAGAGATTTACTCTAACGATATAACCAATAATTTGCATATTTAGTGTTGCGGGTCCATTCATTCGTATTAATCGCTATGACTTGTTTTTTGTTGCGACACTCTTTTAGAATTTTCCTCTTAACTTTTTAAGACAGTTAGTTTATTCCATATTCAACCAATAAATTACACTTATGTCACCTTTGGCAAAAAATAATCTGCTTCATTGTTTACTTTAGCTTGACAAAGGTATACAAGAAAAAACCATTAACCTGTCTAGTCAGAGAGAAAAAGTTCGGTTTCCTTTATCACGCGCAATCAATACCCAATATTTGCTCTTCGCTATTCGCCGTATTTTACAGCATTTCTATTATATTTATAATGCCATATGAGGGAAATCTAATATACCATATGCTCGTGTGAAACATCTGCCAGAACCAGTTGCAAATTGATTTTTTTTCTTTTTGCTTTGACACTTTTTTTGGCCGAATAAGACATTGACGGTTTTATATATAATTGTTGTTGGCATGAGGCACCTAGCATAATCTAATACGCGACCGTAACTTGGTCACCCAATTCGCCTTCACACCCAGGCAAACACAAAGAAATAGAGAAAGAAGGAAAGACATAGAGGCATACCATCTAAAGGCACGCACCCTTGCAAACACACCTGTACGCTCATCATAGTGAGTGGACTTTTTCGCTGATTGCATGTACGTACGCTGCGCGTCTTTGCCGTCACACCTTTTTTTATGTCCCCGGGAAGCACTCCTGCCTTTTCTGATCATGATCGTTTCCGGATCACATTCCCATTCCACTCTTTTTTTGCCGATTTCTACGTGACTTCTTAAAACAGTTCTTTAACCAGTTTTTCGTGAAAACTTCCTGAACCGCGCTGTTAATTTGTGATTTGTTTGCCAAACCCTACTATTAGCGGTTGAGTGAATTTTCAAATCATCACGATAATTATCGACAGTGTAAATCTATTGTCATATATGCCAATGAATTGTTTCGTGCCAAAAGAAAAGCCCATAAAAGGTAAATGATGGAACCAAATTTTTTTATATTTTCTTGCAAAACTCGGTCTTCTATGTTGAAAAATTTTGCTTTGTAGCCAATAAAACTAAGTATCGCAATTATTTTTTATGGGATATTGTATTTCCGTTGTTTCCAAAATCATTTTTGGAGGGAAGCCTCCTCGATCATCATTTTTTTGCTATTCACGTGGTCATCCATCAGAATGGCGAGTGAACTTTGCGTTTTCTCGGATTCGAAAATCTCATCGAGTAATTAATAACCGGCTTTGTAAAACCAAGTGAACCCGAAAATCCAGCTTAATCCTCATATTTCGCGGTGAGTACGAGACAAAAGACAAATGGTGAACTATCGGGGCCGTGTTTCATTTCGAAATCAATCAGGTCTCGCTCTGTAGTAGATTGTCGGTCGCGTGGGGGGGGAGGAAGAGGGAGGAACATAATTGATTTCAAAGGCAGAGCTGTTTCCAATGAACTGCTGACACTCTCGCTCCTGTCGCACCTTCTCTTTTTATTCATCTGGTTCCTGGCCGTCGCTAATACATATCGGTTAAATGTCCTGCCGATGTGGGACGGAGCCGCCATTGTGCTGCGTTTGCAATGCTAATTATTTGAATATATCTCTCGCTCGCGATTCTCTTTCGTCCATCCACCAATTTTGATGGCAAATTGAGACATTCGAAGTGGAATGTTTGATCGTCGAGTCGTCAAAAATATTTTAAAAAAATTTTTTTGCAAATTCTCCATACATTTCAAATATGGCGATGTTTTTTTTTTTTAATTTGACTGAGCGAATCTCGTAAAATTTTTATGAATTTTATGAAAAAAACAAACAAAACAAATCGAAAAACACATTGAAAATGTGGTTTGGTTTGCTTCTTTTTTTCTTTCCTATTCTGTTCGGTTTTCGAGATTTATTCATGATCCTTCGGGATCCGCTCCTCGTCCCATTTAAATGTCGTTCAACCCTTAAGAAACGATTTCATCCCATATATGTATGTGTGGGCATTGACTTCTTCTTTCTGCGGTGTTATTGATCAATAGCCCTTCGAATTTAACCCCATAAATTTTGATGAGATGTCGGTCCGACCCGGTCTCAGGTTTTTTTTTCCCACAATTTTTTCTTAATGTCACCGAATTCCAGAACTCGCATCAAAAACCGTTCAAAACGAGTTTTTTTTTACGTCTGTAGTAGCGAACAGTTAGAAATTGTTGGTTGGTTTTCAAAGAAAAGACCGAAATCAATCAAAAAAAAAAATCCGCCCCTCTACTCAATTTCTAGTGCAAACAACTATTTTTTTCTTGTTCGTAATATTGACCGATCAAGACGAGGTGGTGGGTAGACCCCCCCCACCCAGCAAACACATTATTATTTTCCAAGGAGTTCACTAGGCGTGAATACGACCTAACTAATACCATTGTATGAATGCATTCCGAATAGTGTTATCATTCAAAACCGATTGAACAAACATTTCTCTCTTTCTGCCCCCACCCTCCATCTTTTCCATTCCTTCTATTTAAATCAATTATATATGTACATATAAATCGAAGAAAGCGAGTTGATCGTGGTATATCTTCGCGCCCTTCTTTTCTTGCATCTCTATTGAATGATGGAATGTAGTTGCCAAACGATTAAAAAAAGCCTCCATTTAATGTATTTTGGTATCAATGAAAAATGCAATGAACTGTGAAATTGTTGAAGAGGAAAACGAGGATAGTTGTGAATCAGCTACTTGTTCGGCGTGGGTGTTGTCAATGTCCTGATTTATTGGCTGTGTCAGTGGAAGCGAGGAAAACCAATGAGCAAATCATATTTCCGCCGACTGCGTTCACATTCAAATATTCACAGAAACTTTTTTGTTTTATTCGTTTCTCGCTGTTGTCGTTGTTGTGCGACAATATTGATTTTATTCTTATCGAGTGCCGATCATTTCAACGCATCGCAACATATCCAACCACCCGTCTCTCGTATTTTAAACAAGTGTCGGCAAATCGTTTATGTTCGGTTTTTTTTGTTGCGGTATGCTCGAGTGAGTGTGTGTGTGTATTTTAGTGTGAAACTGGTGTACAGGGTGTCATTTAAGTTCCCGCACAACTTTGAAGACGTATATTTCTGAAACTAAAAGTCCAAATCAAACGAGACTCAAAATATTTTTTATCTATAGTATAACAAATATTTATCTATTAACTCTTTTTGATTCGGCCTCCTTTCGCAGCTATGACTTCACGGAAACGCTTCGGGTAGGATGCGACTGTGGTACGCAGGTATTCGATGGAAAGATTGTCCCATTCCGCCAGTAATGTCTTCTTCAGAGCCTCTACACTTGAATGGGGTTTTGCGTTGACCTTCTTCTGCAAGACCCCATCACGGGAAAGTCAAGCGGGTTCAGGTCTGGGGAGCAATCAGGCCATTCGGATGACTTGATGAAGTCGGGAAAATGGGTCTGGCACCACTCCTGAGTAGTTTTGGCAGTGTGGGCGGCTGCTCCGTCATGTTGAAAGACCCATTTCTGCCCACCGAAATGCGTTTGGGTCCAGGGCATCACATGCTTCTCCAAAATGTCCCGAACGTAGACTTCTTTGTTCACTTTCACCCCCTGATCCGCGAAAACCAGGGGGCACTTCCCGGTAGAGCAGATGGCAACGAAAACCATCATGCTGGCAGGATGTGAGGCTGGATGATATGTTCTTCTTTTCTCAGAAGCTTGCTGGGATGTCTGGGCAAGTACTCAATGGTTTTGTGAGTTGAATGCCGTCTCCACAGTGAACAGCTTCTCGTCGGAGAAGACAGTGACGAGGTGTTGTCCAGACCGCGTGCGAGCAAGAAGTCGTTTTGCTTTTTCGAAGCGTCTCTGCTTGCTGACGGCCGATAGAATTGCCGCTTTTTGGACACGATATGGGGTCAGTCCAAGCTTCGTTTTGACAATTTGTTCCATAGCGAAGATGCTCATTCCCATGTCTAACGCCATCTTTCTCATGCTCCTGTGTGGGTTTCGCCTGATCCTCGATTTAACGGCGTTGATCTTCTGAGGAGTGGTTACTGAGACGAGTCTTCCTTGTCTGGGACGGACACTGGTCGTATTTAGCTACTTGAATCGTTTGATGGTGTCGCAAACCGTTCTACGAGGCACACCGACCCGTTGAATGATGTCTCTCGAGCTCACATTTTGCTTATGAAGTTCGATAATGGAAGCGCAATGGATGTTAGCCTTCGCCATTTCTCGGAAACACATCCGAATGAGGTGAAACTTGGAAAGTAAGTAAAATATACCTTATTTAACAAAAATAAATTGTATTGGTGCACGAAAAGTGCGACAGCCAAGCTCTTCATGGCGTCAAACTTTTGTGCGGGAACTTAAATGACACCCTGTACGTGAGCGAAACATCGCAGGGAGAGCGAATTTGGGTGGCAATGTATAATTAATACGTGATTTGACACGAGTATGGTTTCACAAAAAAAAATTCATGATTTGAACTTTGATCGATTTTGTTCGAGAATTTTCGACACAAAAATGTTCGAAATTTCGTTTCGCAATTTTTTTTAGTGTTTCAAAAGATGTTTACGAAGTATTATTAATAATTTGCAGAAATTTTTTATTAATAAACGCAATATTTTCAATGTTGCGAAGCATTTCTCTAAATGAATAAAATTTTCCGAAAAATATAAATTTATAATAGAACTACATTGTCATACCTATCTATTTTTGCCTATTTTTCTATTTTATTTCATTTTCTTGTTTTTTTTTTTTGAATAATCAATTGCCTTCTGTACTGTGCAAATTTTCAATTAAAAACTGAACTAAAGTTTTTTTTTAAATATCCAAATAGAATTTTAGAAGTTTTGAGATGACTTTGAACTGGTTTTTGTATCGAAAATTTAGGTAGTAGGTTAAATATACAAATTAGTGTTTTTTGTTTTTTTTTTTTTAAGATCGCCAGAGCCTATTATTAGTAACATTTCTGATTTATGATGTGAATAGTAAAGAGATCAATTTCTTAATGGGCGCACCAAATAATTCTTCCACTTTTCAAGTGCTAAGTACTGCCGAGCAAACACACGATTATGACACGAATCTTGGAATCTAGACAAAACATTCATAAGAAAATTGTGACCGAGAGTGCCGGCCGACGGTAAACATTGCGACTGCTTTTGGCGACGTCTAGCTGCTTACTTTTTCGTGGGGTCCCTTGGTTACCATTGATACAAAACTCGTGTACCCTTCCATCGACGCTCCTTGCGAACAAATAGAAAGAAGATGGAAGAGGAGTGGACCATCGGCGACGGGGAGGGGGGGGAGGAAGGAATATAAATAAATATATATGTATAAGACCCATTGGGCAAATGGCGAGAAGCGCGCTCGCGTTGACATTGATGAGACGCAGAAATCGGGGTCCACAACTATGAGTATTTGACGGGAGATGGCCTACCTCCCACTAGGCAACAAATCTAACCTTGTACTTTAATCCGACACTCGATTGGCTTACATAATTGAGTCTTGCCGTCAGGCGCTTGGAATTTTGCTTTCAATGAATTATTCGACAACGATGACTCATCGATATCTATTCTATTTATTTGACATGTAACCCAGCGTTTTTTTTTTGTGAGCCTTCCCGCAAGCCTCCCTCAATTTCTTGCCTACTTTCTGATTCATTTTTGATTTTTTTTGGAATTGAACATGTGCCGTATAATTGCTTCCTCTTCTCGTTTCTTTATGAATATTTATGCACAATGCTCCAAATTTTGTTTGTTTATATTGAAAGCTTGTGAGTTGGTTTGGGTTGTGCTCATCTCTAGGAATAACCACTCCATTGAATTCCACCGCTGTAATATTTTCAATTTTCGTCGTTGACCAATGCAATAATCAAACCGGAAACTGCTTTTTATATTCAAATTTTACTGGGTTTTTCTCGGCGTCTAATGATTTGTCTATTGTTTTAGATGACGGCGGGGTGCGAACTCTGGAAGAGTTGCGCCCGATGGATGCGGGATCTGGGATTAATTGGAACCACTGATGAGAATGGCACAATGTTGGAGTTTGCATCAATATTGAGGTAAGAAAATTCGACCAATGTTCTTGAAGAATTCAACTTGCTTAATTTTCCACCTTAATTGTGTGGAATGCGATTTCCAATGAAAGAAATTTCTCGAAAACCATTGAAATTGATTAAACAAAAATCGATAGCTTTTCATATCATTGATGAATTGCTGAAATTCCAATATCCTTCATATCCAATACCAACTTTTGTTCAGAGATGGCGTGCTTCTCTGTCGTTTGGCCAACACCTTGATTCCCGATTCGACCATCATCTCAGAAGTCAACAAGCCTGTGCAGATGTCTCAAGTATTTTAACATTCAGAAAAATTGATTTCAGTTTGATTTTTCAGTTCACCTGCTCGAAAAATATCATCAAATTTTTGGAAGTTTGCAAGTTGTTGAACATCAAGGAGGAGGATTTATTCGTGCCGCATGATTTATTCTTTATGACAGGCTTCCAAAAAGTCCTGCGAACTTTATCTCTACTGTCCCATACTCCGGAATCCCTTTCAAAGGGTGTAGCGTAAGAAGAAGCTTGAACCTTTTTTTAATAATCGAATTATTATTTCAGACCCTTTCCTGAACTCGATGCAACCTTACAGCCCGGTCCGTCGAACACGTTGGAGCAAAAAGTGGAAGAAGAGGACATTTATCAGTCCCTGACGGAAAACATTGAAAATATCGATCCGGACCAAACTATCTATGGGCCAATTACTAGGTATATGTGTGATTTTACTCAATTTACTACGAGTTAATTTTTTTAGCGGTGAAGATCAAAAGAAGGAACAGCTTTACGATCATATCGTAATGACCAAAAAGAACAGCATTAATGAGAATGACGTAAGAAATCAATTATGGAAACGTTTTAATTGAAATTGATCAGGTTTCGCCGTCAATGCAACGCATGCGATGCATTCAGGAATTGTTCGACACGGAAAAGAACTATGTTGAGACGGCGCTTCGAATCATCATTGAGAAGTTTTATATCCCATTGAGGAACAAGATTCCGGACGACAAGTATGAGACCATCTTCTCCAACATTGAAGTAGAAATTCACAAATTGAATTCATCAAATATAATTATTGTATTCAGAGAATTATGGAGCTCCACAAGCTTATTCTTGAGGATCTTTATTACCCCGTACAACAAGCTCTTGGACGAACTGAGATTGTCGCCCGTCCGAATTCCCTTACCGCTGCTCCACAATTTATTGGAGAGGTCTTTGTAAAACACCGTGATGGTCTTCTCGAGTATGGACAATACTGCAGCAACTTGATGGAAAGCCGCAAGACTACTAACAAGTTGATGGAATCGGATCCAGTCATCAAGAACATGATCCTTGTATGCTTTTTTTTTGAAGAAGGATTCGAAATATTGATTTCAGGACTGCACCAACTTCGAGAATAACCAATTCAGCATGCAAGACTTGCTTACTGTTCCATTCCAAAGGATCACAAAGTATCCACTCCTCATTCGGGTATGATTTGATATCATAGTGGCTCATTCAATACGTTTCCAATTTTCAGGAGCTTATTAAGAAGACCGACGTTGGAAACCCAGAGCGCACATCGCTTTGCGATGCGCAAGAAATTTTGGATGATGTCTGCGAATATATTAATGATATGACTAGAGACAAGGAAACTCAAAAGTTTATTGATGAGATTGAGGAGAGCATTGTGGACTTGGCGATGGTATAATTTTGAATTAAACGCCGATAAGATTCCAACTTTAGCCCGACGGTGTGCGCTTGCGGGACTATGGTCGAGTCAATTTTGACGGCGAGGTCAAGATGGTCGAATCGACGGCGACACAGGTCGGCAAGCAAAAGAATCGTTTCATTTTCATCTTCGACAAGGTGCTCGTGATCTGCAAGGCAGCAAACAAGGCAATCGACTACTGATAGAAAGATTATATAAAATTGATTGATTCAGAACACCAGCTACACCTACAAGAATGCGTTTGTGATCAACGAACTTTCAGTCGACATGAATGTGTCAATTGACACCCGATCGAGTGGAACGATCACCAGAAGAACACAACATGTGATCCACTTGTACCGCGATCGCACGGAGAACAATGAAGTGGTTCACATCACGCTGTACTTTAAGCATGAGGCTCCACGTCAAAAGCTTCTTAATGCGTTCCTCCTTGCCAAGTAAGTTTGAGAGTGAAATTTGATAGTGAAATGTGATTTGGCTTGAGATAAAAATCTGGTTTATAATTAATCTTCTGTTGCCAAAACTAGTTGGTCTTCTTCAAAGTTGTTTGAAATATGAGAATTATTTGCTAACCTTTGTCATCGGTGTGTAATTTGGCCGTGTTGCCCTAGGGCTCCTGCAATGATCTGTTTCCTAATTAGTTCAAAATTATTATTGACGAATATTGATAGCAAGAAGTTAATGAGGGGATTGAATTCTTCCAAAAAGGTTCAAATTTCGAAACCTAACGAAATATCTAATAAGACTTGTTTTTGAGCAGTTTCTATACTCCAGGAGAAGAATTTTTCATTTACTTTTTCAATTCTATCCAATCCGCAACCAATATTGAAAAAAGCGGCAATATTTACAACTTTCAGTAAATCTTCTTCTAATACCAATGAAACATTTATTTGCAGAGAGAATGTTTCACCGACAGAACTGATCAAGGATTCAAATCACAAGGTGACATTCACAAACTTCATTGTCGATCTAAACCGCCCAGAAGTGTGCGGAGTGTGTCAGAAGTTGATGAAGGGCTTGTATTATCAAGGATATAAGTGCAATAGTATGTCGCAAAGTGGAGTGGCCGCGAAAGTTCATCTAATTAATTTTAGATTGTCACCTGTCAATGCACAAAAGCTGCTTGGGGCTGAAGAAATGCGAAGCAGTTCGCCGATCATCAGAGAACAGAATCTCCCACAGCTTCAACGCGAATCGTCCGAGAAAAGCTTGTACGTATATCAGGAAGAAAATCTAAGGAAATGACCATGTCATAACGACTATAGCCATATTTGACTATTGATTTCCTAGCTAGCGAATGTTCTTTCTCACATTCAATGCGCCGTAGTATTGAATAGCGGCACAGTATTGTACCAAATTGAAAATAATTTATTCAATTTATAATTCTATTATAATATGCATAATTCAGTTTTTTGGTTTTCAGTCTTCAAAGGAGAGGTAGTGATTGCGAATACGAGCTTCACCCCATCGGATCCGACGTTTTTGCAATTCCGCAAAGACGATCAAATCGAAGTAATTCAAGTGCAGTCAGGAAACCGTTTCACCGGCTGCGTGGTGAACAATCGCTCGCGCACCGGATTGGTGAACATGGATCGCGTGACGAAAGCCAGGGTAAGTTTTTCATTTTGATAGTGATGTTATCGGGACGATGTATTTGCTCTTTCCCAATGTATCGAACATATATGATCTTGCTCGTCGTCGTCCAAACACCTGCCTCCCGCGGCCACACGATAAATGATGAGTCATCCAGCGGGGCGTGCCGTACACCTTTCCTTTCGACCATTTTCACCTTACACCGCGCTTTGCTCGTCCTTCATTCGCTTCGCAACACAATTCAATTTTTCTTGCAGTCGACATCGATGATCGGCTTGAATCCAGCGATGGATAGTCCAGCTGGTTCGATATTTGGACGCATTGATCGCAAAGAGAGCACGATGCTACCGAATCGTCAAGATTCGATTCTCTCGGATGGGTGAGAACGATTGCAGCGATTTCAACACATTTCATTTTAGTTCAATTTCCAGAAGCAGTTTTGCCAGCCGCTCGCGCAGCTCGACATTGGGTAGGACCCCGTTACAGCAAGATTATGTCAATACTGTGATTTCGGAATATCCGTGGTATTTGGGCGAAATGGAAAGAATCAAGGCGGAAAGCATCCTCAGAGAGACACCTAATGGAACGTTCCTCGTCCGTTTTAGCAAGAATCGCAATCAAACCGCCATCAGTGTTAGGTAATATAAATTTGTCGTCGGATTAACCCCAATCGCTTATATTAACAATTGTATGTACAATGAAATTTTAGCTATGAGCATGAGGTAAAACACATGATAATCGAGGAGACCGACGACGGAAAAATGTTTCTCGATGAGGGCTACATTTTCAATTCCGTTGTGGTGAGTCAAAATGCTTTGAAAGCATTACATTCATGGGAAACTTCGTTTCAGGAACTCGTCCAATATTACCGCGAACATAATTTGATTGAGATCTTCCAAGGCCTCAACACCACTCTCAAGTACCCATACCTCCACTGCAAGGTTTAAAAATGAAGACAAATCGTATCCATGAATTGATACGATTTTCAGATCTTCCGTGCAATTCACGATTATGAAGCGACGCAGCCAGCGCCTGAAGGAAAATTCCTATCCCTTCGCAAAGGTGATATTGTGTTGCTCATCGATACGGTTGGAGAGGATCGAGGATGGTGGAAGGGACAGTGTAACAACCAGGTTTGTTTCATCACCATGTAGCAACTCAATTGATAACCATTATTCAGAGTGGATTCTTTCCATTGTCCTATGTGCAGCCGGTAACCGACGCCGAGTCTAATGGAAGCACTAGCCAAACCCTCACTCATCAGAGCTAGACACGACTACCTATACTAATAATTAAAAAAAAATGTAATAACCTTTTTCTCATATAATGTTGTGGTATTTTTTAACTAATAATTCCTCTCACTGAAATTAATAATGTAGCCAACTTTCACCCAGAAAAAACGTTCCAGTAACTACTCAGTTTGCCGACATCATTCATCATCTCTTAGATTTTTACGGTTTTCAAATAGTTTCGGTATACAATAATATTTGGGATGAAATTCGCTTCCCTCTCCCCCACGCTTCTCTCATTTTTGTTTCATTTTGCTTGCCCGTGTTGCCATCACTCACTCATTCTGTATAGTTGAATCACTGTCCTAATCAAATTCCCTGGTTGGTTTCGCTTGTTGTCTTATGCCGATATAATTTGAAATCTTGTGATTAGTCTCTTCCCATTTCCATGTAGAAGCTCTTCTCGAAGAAGAAAAAAAGTCCAGTTTGAGAATTATATGAGATTATAAACCCCACATAATGTATGTTTCAATAATCAATTAGCGCCGCCCCCGGTTGATGCAAATTGTGCATCACTTCAGTTTGACTGTGACAACATTATATTGACGACAGAATAAATTATTTATTTTTGAGGTCACTCAGTTATTATTCAGCCGTATTACTTGCACCGTAAATTTGTTGTTATGTAGTTGGCAAATGAGAAATTTGCCATTAAATCCAATCAATTGGCAGCGATAGTTTGCCAAAATCATTCACAAATATTAGCGGATTTGTTGAAATGTGGATCGAAAGGCCTGCAACCATTTGGGAAATTTCGGAATTAGCATACCGCAGTCTATAAATGCAGTCAAGCAATTTTTCGGGACGCTGCCCTAAGTTTGCCTCCCAGTTCAGACTACGAAGCTTTAATTCATGAATGCATTCCTCTCTGGATTCATTTAGTTCATTCTGTAAAAAAATGGCGTTTGATGGAATTTTGGGTTTTATTTTTTTTTTACCATAAGTGCTTGCATTTTATGATTGATTTCAACGCTTTTTTCTCTGTTTTCTTTCAGAAAATTGGTGAGAGATTGAATGTCGATGGCGCATGGAACGAATATGCGACCATCCACACCAATCGAAAGAATTCCATTGGCAGATGTTACCTACAATGAAAAAACAAAAATTTATAAAAAACGTTGAATGCATTTGAAGATAAATTCACGAAATGAACAAATTATTAGTAATATTTAAAGTAATAATAAAAAATATATTTTTGAAATGTTGAGATTTTTAAAAGAAATTTTATTTTTTTTTGAGAAAGTATTGACTCTTTTTGATTTAACCACTTCTTAATTTTAAGTATACCTCAATCATGGTCTGCTTTCCAGCAAGGCACAATTGCTTGGTTAGGTCGTCTCTTTTCCATATCCTCAACACAAAAAAAATCCTTGAAAATTGAAACAATTTGACTGCCTCATACCTTGTCATCAATGAGTTTATTTGATTTAATACTTCACTAATATCCTTATTTGTGGGTAGAAGTATTTGCGCTCCACCCAATGCTGCTGCGAGATGTTCGGACGTAATATTCAGTTGATCAACTTGCCTTCGTCGAACTTGATGCTCGATACACGCCTAAAATGAAATAATAAAATGACGGTTGCGATTTGTCCGACGACCTGCTCCCACATTTCCGGCGTCTCGGCCATCCCCAACTGAATCGACCCATCACTGCACGTGAACGATTCTTGACCGAAACTGATAATATCGAATTGTTTACTACACACCAACAGCAAAATTTACCGCAAAATATTTCTTGTGAAGGCATGTGATATTGCCTTTTTTCTTGAACCTTTCGACGAATCGATGAACAATTGCAGATCATTGAGACACTTTTGAATGTAAACGTCATTCAAAGACATTTCGAAAACGATCTCAAAACGGGTTCAAGTATTATTACGCGCTTTACAAAAACCACTTAGAAAAAATTATTGATTACATCTTTGAGACCAGCAATCTTTTTGAGTTCATCAATTTCATCGCTTATAGAGGAATGCCGAAAAGTGGCTTCCTTGCTTTTCCTTATGGCTTCGTCTCGTTGACGTAGTAAGGATTCTAGAAGGTTCGGCATGTTTGACCTTCTACGTAAATTCCTACAATCAATTTTATCACGAGCTGCATGGGAATAATGCTAACGTTGTGGCAATTGGGTCATCATTATTGTTTGTAAACTCGTTGACAGGCTCCGAAATCGGTTTCAAATTTTTTGTACTCAGCTGGCAAGATTCCAAAGCAGCTCTTAAATGCAATATTTTACATGTTTCTCGTTTTTATATTTTAGGTAAATTTTGAGTACTTGACAATTTTCACCGGGTCCGTTCCAGACAACTGAATTTGAATCTCCTTGAACTTGTTGGTGGCGTTACTATCAGCAATAGAAAATTGGACCTAGACATTGCTATTAGATTGACAATTCTACTAGATTTTGAACTTTAATAGGTCTTAGAAATGGTGAAATTGGGAACAAATCGTTCAAATATCCGTTGAAAATTTGTAACGCTTTCTCATTCTTCGATCTGATTGATGGGTACTGCGCGAACCTAGATGGTCAATATTTGATATAACGCTTAGAAAATGATACAAACCTGTCTGGATGGACGGCAAAAAAGAACGGTCGCAATGCGGTGGAAACATCTTGCAGTGACATAAAACGAGCCGAAGAATACCAAGTTTGGCATTGTCTTGAGCACGATTTAAACATTTTCTTCAAAAAAAATCAATTATGACTCAAATGAAAGCAAATTCACTAAAGTCAAAAGAAGAATGGAAAACAACAACAGTCGCATGTATTGACCGAGTGATGAAGGCAAGCATACAGATCGCCGCACGTGAGAGACAAAGCAAAAAAAAACGTTGTTCTGATAACGATTATCACGTTTTGGAATCTACAGCGTGCATTCTAACCTTCCACGTCAGAATATGACAATCGGCAGCGTTTCGAATTTGAGCATTTGCGATGTGATTCCCACCTTTATGAATACATGTGACTAGCTCAAACATATTTCGATGCCTTAAAAAATAAATTTCAATTTTCTCTTTATAGGTTAAAAAATTGGAAAAATAAATTGATGTTTCTGGAATGCGTCTTACTTAAAAATTTTGGTGCGCCGTCGATAATAAAAACACTTGGTTGAATTCGCGAAACGTCGTTTTTAATCTCATGCCCGAGTGTGATAAGAAGTACATAACAATAAAAGATATATGGTAAAAATAAAAATTATAAATCTGTTCGGCTTACAATTATTATTACCGTAATTAAATAAAAAATTTGACAATTAATAGGTGGACTATCTATTTGCTAGTGCTGTAAAAAAATGGAGATGATAAGAGAATGCAAATATAAAATATTAATGGGTACCCATATTAATTGTCTAGTAAAGAGCTTTTACTGATTAATAAGACAAAAATGCCAAAAAAAAATTAAATAATTTTAAAAGGAGCATCTAAAATACAATGCTTAAATGAACTTCATTCAGCTTTAAAATTGTTTCGATATGTTTTTGATTGGAGAAAATCATCGGTTTTTTTTAATCTGCGATAGCAAAGAACATGATTAAATTGTCGTCGAGAACATTCCACAAAAATCTTCAAAATTGAAAAGCTGTTAAACAAAATTACAAAAATATTTATCAAACAAGAATTATATTATTGGTGGCCCTAAAGAGGGCCGTTGGGTTTCATGAGAACTATTTAATCTCGATTAAAGAAAGAAACAATTCAAAATCAACACAACCAGTTGAAGATGGTTCTGAATGTTTTCCTCTGATGCATATTAAATATAATTATGCAAATAAGAATAATTTACAATTATTATCTGTGATTCGCTTTGAGGGAGAACACCCTCCTTTTGAAAACTTCTATGGTTACTGCAATTTCGATTATTTGGTTTTAATTATTTTATAACAAATCTTACGTTTCTTACACATTATTTCTTTTTGAGGCACTGTTTCATTTCAAAGAATTATTGGTTGTTGTATGGCGCTTCTTTCCACTCATTTTTTCCAAAATTTTGTATGTGATTAAGTTTTCGGAATTTGTTCCATTTGAAAGTCCTGCTCATCTGAAAAGAGCAAGAATGAATATGAATTAATGGTGATTCATTCCGCCTATTTTTTTATTTCCAGAACCGTGATCCAAAATAATATAAATCACCGGCCGGTGTACAAAACCGTATTTAGAATAATTTGAAGAAGCTCTTCAAATTTTCTAATGTGATTTTCAATTGACAAATTTCTTACCTTCCAATCGATTTGTCTTCTGCAGTGAACTTTTTCCATTAATCCATAGTTAAAGCGTCATTCTAATCAAGTTTCGATCAGAAAATTTCAATTTTTGTTGACTGACGAATATATTCCATTTTCGCGGTGGGTGCACCTTGTTAAGTTTTCGGTATTTGTTCCGTTTGGAGATCCTGCTCATCTAACAAAAGGGCAAGAACAATGAAGGTCAATTAATAGTTGTTGAACGGCGTTTCTTTCCACCAATTTTTTATTCCCAAAACCAGTCAAGAAAAAAAAACAAATAAAAATCAAATTTTTGTGGGCAAAAATTCGTGATTCAAAGTAAAATGAATCACCGGCCGGTGTACAAAACCGTCTTTAGAATAAATTGAAAAAGCTCTTCAAATTTTCTAATGTGATTTTCAATTGACAAATTTCTTACCATCGAATCGATTTGTCTTCTGCAGTGAACATTTTCCATTAATCCATAATTAAAGCGTCATTCTAATCAAGTTTCGATCAGAAAATTATTGTTGACTGACGAATATATTCCATTTTCGCGGTGAAATCTTTCTCATCTGACAAAAAAAACAAGAATAGTAAAAATTCAAAAATAAACAAATAAATAAATGAAAATAAAATAGTTTAAAAACTCAAACTGAGCTTAGCACAATTTTCGTTTTCAAAAGTGAAAATAGTGAAATTTGTAGACAATGCCAATTGTTTTAATATGAATGTATTCCACAATTTCAAAGACCTTCCGTGTTATCAAAAATTACTGCTTTAATTATTGATTAATTGATAAAAAACGCTATAAACACTAAAAATATATTAAAGCATTCCCCCACATATTAATATCATGTGAAATCAAAAAGTCTAGAAGGACCTTGAGCGACTGCGATTCACATAACTTAACATACATTTTATTTTGAAAGGCTAAAATATTGTAAAACAATTTTACCGCAATAAATTTTCTTTCGGCTTCTTTTTTAATGAATCTACTCATTTGATAAAAAATTACACATTTTTCTAATGCAGTTTTATCAAAGAAATGCAATGGGTACTGTAATGAAACACATGAGACAATTTGTTGTCGTGCACCATTGTTTCCAAGTTACGGTTTTATATTTTTAGACTATCATTTTTGATTATGCTGCTCAACTCAAACCCCCAATTGAGCGAAGTGGCGTAAATCTTTTGAAATACGATGACTCTAAAATTAAAATAAAATTTCATTGAAAAAAAATGAAAGGAAAACGTGGAAAACTTGAATCAATTAAAAAATAAAAAAAAATACCGTAACGTCGAAAAAACCCACTGCAATCTCAAGGGTCTCGCAGATTTTTTTCATCGTATAATTACAGTACCTTGCATTTTTTTTGCATCGCTGCACTTGAAAAATGTGCAATTTTTTTTCAATTTTTTTTGTTGCATGAATACATAATCAAAGTTATCTCAAAATCTATCATATTCTATCGCCAACCTTATAAGATAGATTTCGTCAAAAAAAAACAAATAGAAACCTGTGTATTATTTAAGCATATTGCATATTGTCAATTGTATTCATTTGGAGCAATAAAAAATTTAATTCACGCGAGTCATTATTGTAGAATTCATTAATCTTAAATTTTTATTCCCCCATGATTAGAGATTTCATGGAAGAAAAGTACTTTCTTCCTAGTTTAATTATTCCCCATGAATGTTCTTTCACAAAATTATTATTATTAATATTATCATTTCTTCAAATTTAATGCTTTTGTCGGCCGAAACCAGGCCATGCCGATTTTCAAATATTCGGTCGAGTAAGCCGAAATTATCAAGTTATTCAATTATTGAATGATTTCCTATCCTAACTATTCTGTTAAATTTTTTAAACAAATTTTTAAATCAGTCTAGAGAGCTTTAAACATTGGTCTATATTTTTCTTGTTCAAATACCCTACCATATTTCTTCAGAGTGGTTGTGTCCTTCAAAACGTCTGCTTTTTGGCCTCCAGTTTTTCGTTCGCCGTTTATTATTTTTCATCTTGAAAAAAATTCATATTTTCCCGAAATAATATAATTTAAAATATTTACATTCTTAGGCCGTTATCGTTTTCAGCATGTTGGCAAAGTTTGATGCTGAACAAAAAATCAATCTAAAATAAAACAATTTCAAAATTCGGAAGATTAAAAAAAAAAATAAGTAAAATAAATTTTAGGCCAGAAAATATGATTAAAAATTCAAATTTCTTTTTTGTAAAGCAGCGTCTTTTGTGGAAGTGGGTGGCTCTCGCCAAGAAAGTGCGGCGGAGCACAATTGCGTCTGTCGCCACTTGCAGACATGTTCCTTAAGAAGATGAATCGAAAATTAAGTTGAAGAAAATCGCATTTTTAGGTAAGATAATTGTAACTAAGTAAATTAATGATTTGAATGGTTTTGTGAAGTTTTGGGAAATTAAAAAAAATTAAATAATAATAAATGTTTATACATTTTCATTCTACATTTTCATACAAATTTACTGAAAAGCATACGAAAAAAAATTTTATTGTTTTATTTTTCCACACGAGATTTTTTGTTTTTCCACACGAGGCCCCTGCTCATAAATTTTTTTCAATCTAAACTTTCAAATAAAACAATGTCTTCTAATGTGTCTTAATGGACGTCCGTTTTCGTGCTAAAATTTCATTGAAAACGAAAAGACCAAACAATTTCTAAACTAGAAAATTACATCATTGAGAATTGTCCACACTCATTCAATTCTTTGATCGAATACCACAATTTTCTTGTTGCTTTCTTGACTACAAACTACAATATACATTTGAGCCGTTGTATCCTTGCGTCTTGCGACACTTTTTCTATTTGTCATCAAAAGTGACCTTCGTTCAACGTATTTATACACATTATTTACTTCACTAAAAGAATATCGACCACTTTCATACCTTCATTTTTTTTTAGGAATTCGTAATGTCTGTTGGTGGACCAACTTTAAAGTTTTCAAATGGCGTTGAGATGCCACAAGTTGGATTGGGAACCTGGCTGGTAATTATTATTATTTTTCTCTACATTTATCGAAATCACATTTCTTTTATAGTCATCACCGGAGGAAGTGAAGAAGGCAGTGAAATTTGCTGTCAAAAGCGGCTATCGTCTTATTGACACGGCAACATTATATGAGAATGAAGCTGCCATTGGTGAAGCCGTTCAGGAACTTATAAATGAAGGAGTTGTGAAGCGAGAGGATCTTTTCATTACAACAAAGGTTTGAATAATTGTAAATTTGTAATTATTTCGATTTATATTTTAGGCGTTTGTTAATCAATTAGCTCCTGAAAAACTGGAAGAAGCTCTTCGTGCTTCACTGAATCGTCTGAAGCTTGATTATGTTGATTTGTATCTTGCACATATGCCAACTGCGTTCAAAGTGAGGCTGAATTTTAATTTAAAAAATATGTTCATTTCATAATTTTAGGAAGATATGTCGGATAAATTGGACATTCCGGTTGAACAAATTTGGAAAGGATTCGAAAAAGTTTACAAATTGAAGTTGACGAGATCAATTGGAGTGTCAAATACGAGCAGCGAGCAAATTGAATCTTGAAGTCGGGCAGTATTCCAGTTCATAATTCGCAAGTCGAACTTCATTTATACTTCCCACAACATGAACACGTGAATTTCTGCAAAAAGCACAATATTATTGTGACTTCCTATGCTACTCTTGGTAGTCCAGGAAGAAAGGAAGCGGTTTTCCCAGGTGGCAAGTAAGTTTTATTCATTAAAATTATTAAATATGTGCACACTTTTGTAGACTTTTATGGGCCGAGGCTCCATCTGACTTGGAAGATGTGAATGTGAAAAAGCTTTCTGAGAAATACAACAAGACACCTGCTCAAATTTTGCTACGTTACGCGATTGATCGTGGAATTGCTATCATTCCGAAATCGACGAACGAGAAGAGAATTATTGAAAACTTCCAGGTAATAATTTGTAGGCAACTATTATTATTCTATAATGTTTTCTATTTCAGCTTTTTGATTTTAAACTATCTCAAGATGAAATTAATTTTTTGGAATCTTCGAAAATAAATCAAAGACTCTTCCTTCATCAATTGTAAGACATTTTTTAAAGTGTTTTATATATAATAAAAAATTTGTATTTTCAGCATGGCTTGCCACCCAGAAGACGGATTCAAATCGGAGAGATAATCTTTTTGTTTGAAATATTATGTAAAGAATTCAGTTATGTCATATCTAAATAAATGGGAGCAATTGAAAATGTTCAAGGTTTTCTGGAAATTGATCTTGGAAAGCAAAATTGATCTTTGTTGATCGGAGGAACAATTTCGTTTTTTTTTCAACCTGTGACTATATTTACAACTTGAAGCTTGGTCCCAATCTTATTATCACTCAAATTTCGATCAGACCACAGTCAATATTGCGTCAGAACAGAGATTAAAAGGCATTTTTAGGTTGTTTATAGTACAAAGTTGTGTTTTTTATGCATTTTCGTGTAGAATTATAGATACTTAGAGAGTACTTCAGTGAAAAGTAAATAAGAGGCATAAATTGGCTGAATCTGGTTTCTGAATTGTAATAAGCATAATTAAAAAATTCATTATGCATTGGGAGACTTATAAGTGTATTGTTTACCATTTCAGCAACTGGAAATCTAAAAATTACGGCTCATTATTGTATTATTGCAATTCATAAATTTTCTACTTAAATTGTTTATTCCATTTCAGAATTTAATGAGTACAATTTCAAAACATTTATCGCTCTGACTTGAAAGCATCCTCGATGTGGCCAATCATGCTGAAAATGGTGAAAGCATTTTTAGAAATGATGAATGAAATTTTTTACAATGGATGAAGGAAAAGCCGCTTGTTATACTTTGTAGATTCGAGAAGTTTAATCTCATCTTGAGAAAGCTTGAAGTCGAAAAGCTGAAAGTGACGAATCTCATTAAAATTATCCAAATTATTGTAGCCACCTGAAAATTTTCAATGATTCTCTTCTCATTAATGGACTTTGGAATGATGGCGAGCCCGCGATCCATGGCATAGCGTAGCAATACTTGCGCTGGTGACTTATTGTATTTCTCACCAAGCTTCTTTACGTTGGCGTCTTCCAACTCCAAAGGAGCATCACCCCAATCAATTTTTCTTAAAAAAAAATTGAAAACTGTAACAAGTTTTGAACAATCCGTCTTACTTTCCATCTGGGAAAACAGCTTCCTTTCTTCCCGGACTACCAAGAGTAGCGTAGGAAGTCACAATGATATTGTTCTTTTTGCAGAAATCAACATGCTCATGTTGTGGGAAGTAGAGATGAAGTTCCACCTAAAGCAAATGAAATTTATTATTTTTTATGATACTCTCTGGCTTTAATTTAAAAAACAGTTCAAGAAATCTATTAAGAAGATATGTAGAAAATACTATCTCTATGTAACTAGTTATTCTGAATTTTTCTTGAGGTGTCAAAACACTCAACATCTGCATACGGTCATTTATGTTATTACCTGAGAATTGTGAACTGGAACACTGCTGGATTTCAATATTCTAGCGATTTGATCATTATTGGTGTTCGACACACCCACAGCTCTGGCCAATTTTAAATTATAGACCTGTTCAAATCCCTTCCACACTTCTTCAATAGGAACATTAATTTTGTCACTCATATCGTCCTAAATATATTGATCATCGTTTCCGGTAAGCTGTCTGTTACATTCATAGTAGCTGGCATATGAGCCAAATACAAGTCGACGTAGTCCATTTGAAGGCGTTTCAAAGAAGCGCGAAGAGCTGGTTCAAGCTTTCCAGGAGCAAGTTCAGTCACGAAGGCCTTAATACATTAGTTTGAGAAAAAAGTGCTGAAATTCGAACCTTAGTGGTGATGAAAAGGTCCTCTCTTTTGACAACTCCTTCTTTGATAAGCTCTTGAATAGCATCGCCAATAGCTTGCTCATTTTCGTACAATTTTGCGGTGTCGATGAGACGATAGCCATTCTTCACGGCAGCTTTTACAGCAGCCTTTACCTCTTCAGGGGTTGACTTAAAAAAATTACTGTAAAGCGAAAAACTTATATGAAATACCAGCCAAGTTCCCAATCCGACTTGTGGCATCACAACGCCATTAGAAAGCTTCAATGTGGGTCCTCCAATCACCATTCTGCAATCAATTAAATGTTATAAATAATGGCTTGGAACAGATTTTGATAAGACGATTGGATGAACGTTGTCAAAACAAGTCTGATTGAAATGTTCCGATGTCTTTTATACCGACATTTGTTTACGGCAGAGCAATTAGTTGAGGAATAGTATTTAAAAAACAGGAATGGCGTCGTTTATTTACAATAAGAGGATTGCTATTTTTGAGATGAAGTGAATTGAAATAATGTTTACCGAACAGGGGCGGGTTGTTTTTGTTTTGAGCACCGAGTCAAAGTGCATACTAAGAACAATTGGGAACATGAATAACAAAAACTCGGAAATTTCGCAATTTCCCGATTATCCAAGCGTGAAAACATCCTCTTCGCGATAAAACTTGAAAGAGTGACTTGAAAAACCTGAAAATGTTATCCAAACTTTCAGAAACTCCCAGCAATGTTTGATATCGGGAATAGAAAATTAAAAATCGAAGTACGTGTCAAGCTGACTGAATAGACTAAGAAAGTGTAAGAAATGTAATATTCTCCTAATGAACACCGAGAAAAGGAAATAAAAATTATTTTAAAAGTTGAAGCGTTAAAGCAGAAGGTAAAAACAATTTAACTATTAATTATGAACAGAATTAAATTTTAAATTTTTTATAAAATATAAATTTCGCAATTAGTTTCACACTAATCCTATGATGCCTCTCTATATTTTGCTTCAATGACTGAATATCTTGAAATTATTTTTCACAAGATTTTATTGAAAAAAAAATTTTTGTTTAGGTAAATTTCAAAACCCCATTTTTTTGCTTTATGTGCGGTGAAATGCATTTCTCTATTCGTTCTTTCCCAATGCTGAATAATTGCCCATGAATGCTTTCCTTCAGGTTTTTCCAGTAATTTTCTTCACTGAAACACATCCCCCCACAAAACCAAATTTCTCTCATCTGACCTATATATTTTGTACTTTACACCATGTTGTAAACAAGGTCATTTTCATTACGAGGACCACACACGAATACAATATACGGTTGTGGATTAATCCAAAAGCAATTATCTGCTAATCGCTTTGTTGTTGCGATGAGTTTTAGGAAATGTACAGCCTAAAAACTATGCATTAGTACATACATCCTTTGAATTTGAATTTAAGCTTATCATTAGGTATCTTTGCGGCGATGTTGACCCGGATAACAAAGCGAAGAGGTGGAGTGAGTAAGTGAAAGGACAATATGGGACACCCGCATCAGAATCATCTAGGTCGTGCGAATACACCCCGCCGGCACAGTCGATTCGATCCATCGCCAGCCATCCATAGTCACTTGACCGCACAATGCGTTCTCTTGTTTGGTTACTCGCTGTTGCTTCTGCTACAGTAACAATTTCAAGTGCGGCTGTCGCAAATGATCCAGACGTACCCGTCGTAATTCACCTTCCGCCACAAACGCACCGTCCAAGATTCTTAGGACAGGTAATATTAATTATTGGCGATCGCCTTATTAAGTTGATGTTAATTATAGGTCGCGCCGCCACGTGCTGTTGAAACCCCAGCTGCCAAGGGTGTTCAAGCTCCAACCAAATCCCAGGAAGCTGCGATCGCTGTTCCACAGGCTCAGCAGCCCATTGCCTCACCACCAGCTCCACCATCAGTACAGCAGCCAGTTCTCCCAATCACTAATGGAGATCAAGCGTTTGTCGCCAGATCTGCTTCTAGCGTTGCACCACCACCACCAGTTACCATCCCACCAGATGTCCAGAATCAGCTCATTAAGTTCTTCGGACTTGACTCGTTCGGAATCCCAGGACTAACCGGAACTCATCCAAATGGATTCGCAGGAGCTGTCCAGGAATTGAGAGCCGCCGGAATTCCAGTTCAGGGACTCCCACCAGCGCAAGCTCAAGGTGTCGCCACTAAGACAGCCGATGAGAATGTGCTTGCTCAGGCCAATCCAAACTTCCAAGACCAGATCACCCAACTTCAAAACGTTGCCAACAACCCGGGACCATACAAGGGAGGAGCTTCGCTTCCACTTCCGGCTGAGAAGCCAGGAGAGAACGGACTAATCGGATTGCTCTCGAACTCTATCCGAAAGGTCATCAAAGAGAGTAAGCTTTTCGCCGAACAATACCAATATTATTAGAAATAATTTAGCCGGAGTAAGCGATGCCCTTTCCAACTCAATTCCAAACCTTTTGGGAACTGCCTCAGGATCTGGATCCGACTCTTCCGCCGCTGCAGCTTCGTCATCTTCCTCCAACATTCGTAGAGCACCAGTCTCGAGCGCAGCTGCTGAATCCAACGACGAAGCCGCCGCTCAGATCGCGACGTCTTCCTCATCAAACATTCGAAGACAACCATCCGCTGCTCAACGCGCTCTTTCTGGTTTCGCCGCTGCTCTCGGAGGAGGTGGCAGCAACTCGCCAACGCACGCCGGTCTCCCAAGAATCCCTGGAATCCCATTGTTGCCAGGAGGAATTCCAAGAAACTCGCAAGGACAAATCGATATTGTGAACCTCATCGGCTCGATTACTAAGCGCGTCTCCAATGGAACAACATTGTCCGACGTTCTTCCACCAGAGCAACTCCAGAATCTTGCTGACAATGTCACCGACGCCCTTCTCCCAGAAACGCCAAATGTTGATCTCTCCAAATTCATGGGAAGATGGTTTGAAGGAATCAATTCGCCAAGAGCCACCGAGCAGAGATGTGTTGTACACCACTGTAATACAGAGCAAATTTAACAGCTTTTGCTTATAACATAATTTTCAGACGGAGGATTGACCAGAAACGACAAGACCGCCACATTCACATCTCTCAAGATCTACAGAGAAGGATCGGAGTTCGGACCAGTTAAGTACTCCATCGGATATGCTTTCCGTGGCGGAAACAAGGATGCCATGCTTCAACTTCACTCATCGGAAACCAGCGATGCTCAGCCATGTACATCCACCGACGAGAGTGTTACATTTAACATAATTATTTTCAGTCTGGATCTACAAACTCGGCCCAGAAGGCAAAGACCCATTCGGTAACCCACAATACGAATACGCTATCATTTCGAATTGGGTCAAGTATCCAGTGACAGTGCTTGTTCGTGACCCAGATACCTTCAAGGCCAAGCATCAAAAAGAGGTATTTGGAATATTGCACGCAAGCAAATATGAGAAATTTTGAAAATTTTGCAGGTTCTCAGATGGCTTGAGGATCAAGGTTTCATCAATGGATTCATCCGCGCGTTCAACCTTCTACAGCCAGCTGGATATTCAAGTTGCCAATATGCCGACAGCACATTCGAGGTGTTTGGAAAGTAATTGTCCATCGATCATCCACCCAACCACGGGCCCTTTCCAATCAAAATCTCTATTGTGACCTCCTTTCGCCAAAAGCATCGTACTTGTACATTTTAATAATTGCCCCCCTCCCCCTTTAATAATAATAATAATAATAATAAGAACTTAATAAATGCTTTTAAATTAAAAAGGTCAACATGTATGTTCAAAACGCGATGTACCCCGATGTCATCCATTAATTACAAGGATGGAACACACAGGCACCAAATCCCTCCCGCGCTATTTCTCTCCTTGAAATTTTATAGGGGCGGGGACAACGATACGCCCGAAGGTCGCAACCTACCGCTCCGAATTCGGCCCCAGCCACAATTGTGTGGTAGTTCATTAGATCCTTCACCCATCAATGCAGTGGCTTCGAAATATTGCTCTAGCTTTGGCTATCCTCGGTTCGACGGTGAACGCGATCGGCGAGAATGCGGTACGTTGTGTAGGCCCGCCATTATCGGCGGCGATGAACGATATGAAAGCGTTGGCGTCAAGGTTATCGCCTGGCGAAGATGCAAATTTTTTTTTGCATTTATCAAGATCACCCCCGAATTCCAGATGGATTTTCGTGCCATCACCGGCATCATCGGAGGTATCGGAAAGATGTTGGAGAGCAAGATGGAGACCATCAACGTTCCAGCCGACTTGATGATGGGAAAATGGTTTCAAATGTACAAAGCTGCGATGAATTTTGATGTTGTGCGCACCCAAATGTTCTGCCCAGTCGCCTATTGTGAGCTGCAAAAGTAAAATCAGGAAATTGAGATTTCTTACAGTTTCGCCAAATCCTATCATGGGAGAGGAGGGATTCTCGATGCAAGAGGCTTATAGAGTGGTCTCGAAGACTGGACCAATTGAGACTTACAAGAGAGACATGAATAAAGTTGGACCAGGACAATATTGGATGTATACCGAGGAATACTTCTATCCAAGACAATGTAAAAATGTTTTCTCACGAATTTTCAAATTAAACAGTAAATTGCAGTCTATATCATTGGAGCCGGACCATCCTTTGACAACTCAACCTCGAACGCCACCGAACCCCTTCAATATCTCATTGTCTCCGATGCAAACCGTCTTTCCCTAATGGTCTACGCTAGAGATCCACTCGTCTTCTTCCAGGTAATCCGATAATAAAAATTGTTGTTTTTCACGAGCGTCCGTGTATCGATTCTCTCGATCCTCACTCATTCCTCAAATCTAGGTTAGCTTATCAAAAATTGCTGACCTTAATCGAAAAAGGGATAGATGAGAAATCATGATTTGAATATTTGTAGAAGTACAACAAGGAGGTCACCGATTTCATGAATGATCACGGATTCGGAGGCAACGTGTTCTGGAACAGCCCGAAGCCAATCTATCAGGGACCTGACTGCGAATGGCCATCGGAGAAGGAAGTCTTCGCTAGAAGGTTTGCCTGAATTTGATTTAAGCAGACTAGAGGGATGGTCCCATTGCTCTAGACAGAAAAAGAATTTGGATAATTGGGAAATACTTTAATTATACCAGCTTGAAAGCTAAAACGAAACAGGAACACTTCACAATTTTAAATCCCCCCCTCCAATTATTTCCATGAAAACAACGAAAATCGTTCGAAATGAGTTTGCCCCAATTATGCTAATCTTTCACGTTTTGCAACACCGGATAAACATGCCCATTATTGTAGAGTGTTGAGAAACCAGGAGCTTGCTGAGCGCAGCAAAAACGGTACCGCTGAACCAGTTCTGTCCGGAATGCCGCTCGCCGACATGATCCGCGATCCAAAACGCACTCTGGAACGACTTGTTGGTAGTCATACTCTTCAAAAAGCCGCCGCTGGAATGACCGTCGGCCCACCAGCCAGTCATGCCTAAATGACCTTGATTCGATTCCCCCCATTCATAATAATAATAATAATAATAATAATAATAATAATAATAATAATAATAATAACTATATTCCTAATTATTATTAATTATAATATTATTCACAATAATAATTCTTCTCATGTGTATTATTGATTCTTTCTCGCGATGAGTCATAAACATATCACTTCAAATGTGTTCTTGTAGTTGCGACATCCACAAAAAAAGTGAACATGTCGAATGGATCGAAAGTTGGCGTAGCCCCATTTGCAATGGAATTGGGGCCGATCGGCGATAAAGTCGACGACGTGGGAGGGCGGAGGATACGACGCGCACATAACATTCGGACAGCCTTCGTTTTCCGTGGAAGACGATTCATTCCTGATTGTATGCTCTCCATCGGACTGGTTGCGGTTCTCATCGCCGGCGTTGGCGCGCAGCTCGATGCCTTCGCGTTGCCATCGGCTCAACGGTACGCCAACAAGCCAACAGTGCCGCCGGAGTTCTCCAAGTATTTCGAGCTTGACGGGCACGCTCGCGAGCTCGTCGACTCGCTCCTCGGCCCACGTCCCGGAGGTCTTTTCCCGGAAAAGACATTCGAGATTGGAGCTCCAGAAGCACCAACTGGTGGAAACCAGCCAACACATGTTGTCTCGAAGCTTGAAAGAACACTCGAATCGTTCTTCACAGCTCCAGAAAGCCCACAAGGACAAGGACTTCCTCCAGGATTCGGCTCCGGATTTGGATTGTTCAACAATAACAAGGCCTTGACTTCCTATGGCGACATTCGTAGATCTCCAGAATCAAAGAAGACTGCTGCAAAGGAAGAAGATGAGGTTGAAGGATCCGGAGAAAAGAGTTCCATCAAGGGAATTCCAAAGGTATTTCAAATTTCTCTCGACGATTATTATCTTATTTATCAGATTTTCCCCAAGCTTCCAAAGGCGCCAATCAACGAACCAGACCCGAACATTTACAAGAAGCCGGCATTGACAGCGAGCAAGACCGATGTTGATTCGATTCCGACAATTCAGAGCGCGCCAACAGTTCCAGAGGGAGGATTCCTTCCATCGGAAATTCGTCGCGCACCATCATCCGTCTCTGAAGTATCGCATTCAATCGATGCAAAATCTGACGCATTGGAAACCGAAGAGGTGACATTTTTCAACATTCAAAAAAACTGAACGATCTCGCCGTCCTTCTTTGTTCATCTATTACACATTCGAGTCTCCTTGAAATTGATTGAACGAATGCTATCTTTTAGTACGGCGGACTCTCTGACGAATCATCTAGTTCATCTGGCGGACTTATCGGCACCATCTTCAACCTTCTCAGCCTTGGAGCTAAAAAGGCTAAAGAGGGTGGGAAAGGCGCGGCCGACGGCAAACCAGTCATCGAGGTGGGTTGTGCCTCCCCTCGCTCATTCTTCATTCGTACACCTATCGGTATTTAGGACAAGAACGCAATTGGCAAGGCTGTCTCTGGCCTCCTCGGAGGCGAGAACAGCCCGCTCCCGGGCAAGAATATTCTATCCAACATGCTCTACAAAACCCTCACCAGTGGCTCAATTGATGTAACCATTTATTCAAATGAGTAATCCAAATATTCATTCAATTCCAGAGCAATGACACTATGCCGCTTACTGAGAGAAAAGGAAATGAGTCGATTGTTCTAACACCGGCGCAATCCGCAGCGATCAGCGAGAATTTGGAGATGATCCAGAATCTCATCATTCAGCCATCATCGCCATTGTGCACTTCCAAGCCGGAGCCAGTGGAATTCGATTTGGACTCGTTCATGGGACAATGGTACCAGGTTGTATACAGTCCACCTGTCGCCACTGGACCGTGCAGCATGGTTGCCTATAAAAAACTCAATGATGTTGGAAATGGTGGTAATACAATCGTAGTAGAATTGCATCAGGAATATCGCCAAAATTCAGGGGTCGGATCAATTTTCGAAGTATTCGAATACACTACGGATGGCACCCCATATGGAAAACCAACAATCTCCTCTGGATACTCAATCATCAAGAGCCCAGGAGAGCTCATTTTCCGCACCACTGCTAACCAAGACGATGTCACCGGTTCGAACAAACTAGCGTGAAATTCAGGAATATTGACAATGATTTTTTTCAGTTCACGTCCTTCACGTTGGTCCAAAAAATAGCAACAACCAATATGAATATGCAATTATGTCAACCAATTGCAACTTCCCACTGTACGTGTTCGCGCGTGACGCCACTGTCTACAAGCAGAAGTACGAGAGCATCGTTACTGAATATCTTGAGAAGAAGGGATTGGTCAACGGCTTCTCCCGACTCTTGAATATTGTCTCCCCGGTCGACAACTCCATGTGCGTCTTCCCACCATCCCTGTTCAACATCCAGGGCTAATGAATTTCTCATAATTGAAATATTAATTTTTGTTATTGTTATTTAATAATTTTTCCTTTTCATAATGTTCTCAAAGTTACTCCCTCCCAATTCCCAAAAAAAACTCTCTCTACCAACCCTCGCGTGTCTTTCTTATGTTATCTGACAATTGTCACATTGTCAAACCTATCACAGGCCGTGGTACGTGCATTAGTTGTAAATAGAAAAATCTACATATAATCAACTACTTCTTTTTTTTTGCTTAAGAACTTTATACATTTATTTAATTTTTGTAATATTTCTGTTTTAACAGTTGCCTTCTTAATAAATATTTTCAATATCTCCAAATGTATTCTTCAAATGATAAAAGGGATTTGATGAAGGTCAACGGAAATCTGATAAACAACAATTCTCTATCAACACTTCTACGTCGGTTTTTGATCTTCTTTCGCGTGTTTTAATAGGTCACAATTGCATCTCTTTCTCTTTTTTTTTGTAATTCGAATTCCGCATCGAGTGAATGCATGTACTCCTCGACGAATCTCAATCGCTTTACGTAATTTCGAAACTTCTTATCGGATGTTACAATGGAGCGCAGAAATGACGGGTCAAGTGAAAGCTATTGTGCGACGAGGGGAGGGGGGGGGAGGCTTCGGTTAATCGTTGCATGGATATCGCTTCCATGGAATGCGCACCAACGGACACCAACGAGACGATAGTGAAAGCTGATTCATCGACACACACACAACAGAAAATTTGAGGTCATCGAATTGTGGAACAACTCCCACAACTAGTCCTCCCCATTCCATTCCCGGTCATCTCTCCAGTTTGGAAGTCCATCATTCGGATATGCAACGGTTGGCGATTGTCGCCTGCCTAATCGGCGCTACTCTGGCCCAAGCCAACAATGCGCCAAGCTTCGAGAGCCTTCCGAGTGGAATCAGCCCAAAGGTTTCGTTTCGTTTTGTTTTTTGCCAATTTCTAGAATAAACTAGAGATGACATAATTTTCAGTCAAAAGCTGAACAAGACAAGGCTTTAGTGAAAGTTGGCGAGGTTGCTGAATCGATTTTAGACAAACTTGGATTCTCGACGAAGGATGAGAAGGAAATCAGAAGACTACCAAGCTCAGTGTTTGGGGTAGTCTCCTTTTTATAGTAGTAGCAAACTCAAGTTTTCTATTCAGAGCGAGGATGTGAATCAGCTAATCGAAGAAGCCAACGCCAATCGTGTTGACCTTCAAGGAATCACCTCCGGACAAATTCCAGGGCTTGCTCCAATTCCAGTCCCTGGATACCCGGGACCACAAGACGCCCCAACAATTCCAGGTGTGAACACAATTCCAGGACTCAGCAACTTCAATTACCTTGTTGGACAACTCTTCCCACAAATGATTCCACCGGCAAACACTCTCTTGGGATCGTCCATCTCTCGTATTCTTCCAAAGGACTCAGCCAAAAATATTGCTAAGGATGTCTTCAGGTATAAAAACGAGCATTGCTGAATAGTATTGATATAAGTATTACAGAGCCGTGCACCCAGCTGCTGAAAATGTCGATGTTGCTCGAATGATGGGAAGATGGTTCCAAGTTATTAACTCTCCACATGTCATCCGAGAGGCTTGCACCGTTTCACATTGTTAGTAGTCATTCTAGAAGTGAAGAAATGTTCAATCAATATTTTTCAGTCGGGGCCCTTACCAACAATACCTACTCCGCTTCCTTCACCATTTTGAAATTCTACCGAGAGGGAAATCCCAACGGATCGCCACGATATGCATTGGGATACGGATTCAAGTCGGGAGAGACCGGCCAATTCGTATTGCACAACAGCAACTCTGCCGATGCTGAGCCATGTAATTACACTCATTGATGACTGGAGGCAATAATTTGTTAACATTTTCAGTCTGGGTTATCAAGAAGGGTCCACTCAATGAATACAAACAATACGACTACGCGATCATCTCGACATGGGTCCGATTCCCAGTGTTCGTCATCGCCCGCGATCCAGAGCGATTCAGAAAGGAGCACATGAAGAATGTGTTGCAATTCCTTGAAGACAATAGTAAAATTTGATACGATAGCGTAAAGCGTCATATTCCATTATTTCAGACTACATTAATGTAATGACCAAGGCTTTCAACATGATCTCGCCAGTCGACTACGAAGCATGCCAATACACGCCAACATTCTCTGGAACTGGAAAATAAATTAATCGTCTTCTAATGTTTCCCAAAATTTAAAATTAATGATCCATCACCATTTCGGGTAAGAACTCCCAAATCAGAATATTATGTATATTTCTGTTAGTTGTTGAACCTACAACAATTATTATTAAAATTAATAATAATAATATTATAAATGAACTTAATAACATTCTTCTAATATATTCTCAATAAACAAATTTGAATTTATTGTGTGTGTGTGTTTTTTTTGTATTAGAAACCATTAAATCTCTCTAAGAGAATTCAATTCAATTCGCAAGTTATATTGAAGATGTGAAGATAAATTTCAAAAGAATTCATAGGCGAACATTCTTTAGTTATCTCATTGTCCTATTTAAAGTTTATCCAAATCTTCATACAGACGTGACACTTTATCAAGATAGCAATCGTTTTTCTTTTTCGTTGCCCCGAAGGACGCTATTGATGATGTAAACGGTCTAACTGCAAAGGCCACCCTGAAGATTTAAATTTTTTTCATTGATTACGAAGATAGATTTTCATTACAACACAAAATTTAGGGTACAAAATTTTTGTTCTCGAAAAAGGAAAGAAATGTTGATTGAAGTGCTCTGAAACACATATAAAAGGGCAAGTTTCAAATTTTCTTTTGACACTTAAATATTATCTTTTTTTCTAGTAAAAAACGTCACTTGGTCACTTAGTCGGTTCGTTCTTCACCCGTTGAGGCGCGAACTAGAGCTTTCTAAGCTTTTCGGTCCTTGGCTTGAGTGGACCACGAGGTGATTATGGCTCTTTCAGCTGTTCTTGTGGTGATCTAATTGAAAATTTGTGATTTGTGCCACGAGCAATTAATGCAAATTAAAAATAAAGAAAGCCATACTGTCGGGTGTCGGAGAAACAAAACACTTAGCATGTAATTATAGTATACTTCCCATGGTTTAAAACATTGCCAGCTTTCAGACAGCAATTAGTTGTTGTAGCGGAGCAGGTGCAGATGTTTTATCTTTCAAGAGATCAAAGAATTACAGACGAGTAGCAACTCGTCGCTTTCATCCACTTCCTCTGGGGAATTTTACTCATTATAATAATCTGCTTCATTTCATCTTGTTCTATTTCTTCTTCTTTGACAACACTATCCATTCCTCCCGTTTCCATGACAAACGGCATACCCCAAGATGGAATGAGGCGGTCATTTCTTATCTGAGCAGCAGCTGGAGCTCATCGCTACAGTATAAATATAAATATATACATCAATCCTCTTCTCTCATCTTCATATCAATAGAACCATCATGGTAAGTGTTTTTCCTTTATCTAGAAGCCAAGCCAACTGTTAGTAATCAAAGAACCAAATAAACGCAGTAGTTGATCGCAAGAATTTTTCAAAGACATTTCTATTGGTGTGGTAATCAATCATAGGTGTCGGTAAATACTGAATTAGGTCGTTTTGGATTCTCGACAGATATTATCATTTCATCTTTGCTAAAGGCGATTTCGTGCGCAAATTGGAGATTGATCAGAGAGGAAGCGGGGCGGCAGTGTTGGAAGGGGGGGGGTCAAATTTTTGGTACCTGGTTGCGACGCACAACCGTGTTTGGTATTTGTTTCAACGGGTGGCGATTAGGTCATCTCGGATATCATGTCACTGAAATTTGAAAAAGTCATGGAAAAAGCGCGCCGGTGTGGCGGCATTTAATTGGAACAAAGTCGATAAGATAAGTGGAACATGGATACGAAGAGTTTGCAAATTCCTGTCCGGCATCAGTTTCAAGACTAATTGATATCTTGAAAAGAGAACTGGATTTCATTGCACTTTATCAATTTACCAATGTGTGGGAAACAAAAATTGGGGTTGACTCAAAAAGACGTGTAATTACGTCAGCTTTTACTCGAATCTCTGCACTAAGAATTCATAGGTATACGGTTCTTTCTTTACCAGGAACTAAGAGTCTTGAAGTAATAGCATCCACAATACTGAGAAATATGACTAGCGTGATAAGTACAAAATTTGTTGCTTCTAGAATTCCAGGAAAAAATATCCAGTGAATCAAGGAAAACAACAATTTTGCTTAATTTAAATAACATTTTCGAACAAAATTTCTAAATAGAACTTGATAAAATTGTCGTCTTGTAGGTTTCAATTTTCAAAATGCAACCTGGCAATTACTTTTCATTTTCGAGCTAGCAGGTGAAGAATAGGTGTCTACTGCATTTCTAGAATTTCAAACTAATGTTTTGTTTGTTGCTCGGATATCGAACTCTTAATCCATTGCCCTTAATTCCTATCAAAAGTAATTTTTTTCAATAAAAAAGTAAGCTAATCATTTGGCCAAATTCAAAACCAAATCCACAGCATTTTCAAAACGATTCGTTTTGCAATTCACTATTTGATCCTTCATGAATATTTCCAGTCTTGGTAAAATCGCAAAAGCTGGCAATCTCATAAAATTCGGCCCTAGTCGAAACGTTGTAAGTTCCACTTCAGGGTGAAACCAATTAAAAAAATGAAAATTAGCCATAATTTTTGGCATCGGCAAAAATAAATTATGATGAGTCAACCCCCTTGGGTATTCATTTCACGGTAAACAGGACTCGTTGAAATTGCACTTTTCGCATCAACTTTTAGCTTGTCAAAATAACTCAATGAATTTTTTGATTATGATTTCCACTAGAAATTAGGTGTTCAAAAATCAAGGATTTCTGAGCTCAGTGGAGAAAGGTCACAAATTAAAACTACGCAAAAGATTAATTAGGAGAAACACTTTGCGAATGTATTATTTTTTATTTTTCAAACACATAAAAAAAATTGAAGATTCGTTCATTTTTCTATTAAAAAAAAGTTATATTTTCATGAATTGATTGCAGTTTTATAGTAGGCGCGCATGAAGGGTTGATTTGAATCACAAGAATATTCTAGCATAATTTTGAAGTGTTATGGTACTATGGAGAATTAGGATGAAAACGCGAAAAATGTTTATAACTAGATTTTGAACATATGGAAAATGGTTTTAGAAATTTTTATGGTTTCTTGGTTTTTCCTTGACGGAATACCGCATGGTCAAAATTACTCTGGAAACTCAAAACCAATCGGATCCGATAAAATTCGGCTCCAGAATCAACTTTATCCGATTGGTAATTCTACGAAAATGATTGTAAAATTGTCGGATCCGATTCGAATTAAAATATTCAAGCAAAACGAATTTGATTAATAACAAATCGGATTCGACTGGTTTTGAGTATTTAGTTGGCTAAAAAATTAGGTAAATTTCAATGCAGAAAAAAAAACAAGAAAGGAAAGAAAAATTATTATTTTTTTTAGTAGTTAAAAGTCTTAGAGTACCGGGTGTGCCTTTAACTTACCATTATCTTTTTTTGGGAATGCGATACAAAACACTTCGGTTTTGTCAAGTATTCTTTTTAAATTTTTTTCTTTAACATTTTTAAAAATTGGCAAAAACAAATAAGGAAAAATGAACAGCATGGTCCCAAACATCAACAATTGATTTTTGGTGATTCCTTTGTTTCAAGCAACTGTTTCAATACTCATTATCGACAAATCTCAAGAACACTTCATCTTATTTCAATTTTCTCAACGCAATACTGCTCGGCTACCATCCACTTTTTTTCGTATGTACGTTTCTACTCTCCTTTCTCTCGCCATGGGTAGTTTCGCACTGGGCCTCAGCGTATATTCGTGGCAAGCAGGGTGTTGTGCATGCGATCTCGTGGTGTAGTGGTTATCACATCTGTCTAACACACAGAAGGCCGGCGGTTCGAGCCCGCCCGAGATCAGACTTTTTTTTATATGTTGAGGAACATTATGAAAAGAATTAGAGTAAAAATGCAAAATCACTTGATATGAAAAATTGGGTGGTCTGAAACATTTTTAAAGAAAAAATGCCCATTATTTGAAAAAAAAACATAGAAAAGAAAATATTTTCTATATTTGTCGAAAAGAAAAAATTGAATTTTTTTCAAATGAATATTCACGAGTCTTTTTTCAGTTCTTTTCTCAATTCTTCAACTACAACAACAACAAGCAGAGACCAAAGGTATTAATCGTGCATGGCCAACCAAACAGCGTTTTTAATTACTTATGTCGAAAATTGAATGTTTTATATCTAGGGAGAGATATACTTTGTTTTAAATTAATTGTCAAATGTGTGTCCGCTCAGGGGGGGGGGACCCTTCTACTCTGTAAAATAAAGAAAAAATCGATATGCTCGAGCCATGCTTAGGCGCTCAAGAAATGCTTTCCGCTATTTTATTTTTTTTGCATGTGTCCCTTTCCTTCCTCAATTTTGTCAAGAAGGCGACATGACTTTTTAATGTTTTCTCATAACAATGTGTATAATCACTTTATAGGCGAGCGATTATTGCCAATTACCAAGCAACTTCACCGAAATGGTGGAAATCAATGAAAGCAAGCCTCTGGAGTATTACATTGGTACTAAAATTTGGGAATGATTCGTTTGTAGTTGACCATTTTACAGGAAAAAGCACTGATGCATATTTGGAGAAGAGTGAAAGAATGAGAGCCTGGGAAGAGCTTGCAGATAGGGTCAATAGTGAAGTAATACTATGACAGGAACAATAAAATGCTTTAAGGAGCAAAATCAAATTTTCAGCCAATTTCCGCTGCAATCGCAATTGACCTTCTCGCTCATAAAATAATCAGTCCAGATCAGGATGAAGCTTATGCGGCCTTTGAGGTTCAATTTCTCGAATCTGACATTTTCAAAATAAATAAATTTCAGACAATCGATTATCTCGTCCGGAATTGCGGCGAAAAAATCCACGAAAAAGTTGGAAAGCACAGATTCCTTAATAATCTCGTGAAAGTCACGACACCGCGCTATCTTGGATCCAAGACTTCACCGGAAGTTCAAGCAATCGCTATTAAATTGCTTTACACTTGGCAGAAGACGATTCGCCATATAACCAACTTCAAGGATGTGTATGAATCTCTGAATGAGAATGGCGTTGTCACTGAAGATCCCATTATTCCCGAAGAGGAAATTATCGTAGTACCACGTAAGCGACAATTGCGCTTTTATTCCACATTTTAATTTTTCTTCTTTTCCAGCACCTGCACCAAAACGTTCATTATTTAGTGATAAGAAAAATCAGATCTGCTTCAAACACTACTTAAAAGCAAAAATCTGGAAGATTTGCAATTTGCAAATGATCTCATTAAAGTATTTGTTTATGAAGTAAGTATTATGATTTATATACGCATCATTTAATACAGGGGGCACATCAGGAGGAGACAAATGAATTAAAATTGAAAGCAATCGCTAGGAACATTGCGCACGCGAAAAAGCTGTATGCCGAGTTTGATCGCCTTCGCATTGATATATCGGCGCAGCACGTCGGAATCGGCGAATACGATCCGAACACTAGTAAAAGGCTAACTGTAATTTTGCATAGGGGTTTAGAACAATGGAAAAAAATGACATGCAGAGTGTCGCTGAACAGCTGCAGGACCTTCGTAGTGTGCTTTGTGTTGGTGTTGCGGATTTGACTGAAAGCAATGATCCGATGTTGCCGGAACTCATCAGCCTTATCGAGAAATTGAATGATGACATTCCACACGAAGATGAGCTGCAAAAAAATCAAAATCGGCTCAACAACAAGGAAAAGAAATCAGGTTCTTATCTATTTGCTGCAAACCACATGCTCATTATTTATTATAGCTTCCCTAGACCAGGAGGAGCTTCTTCTCCTCAACTCTCCAAACGAAGAAGAGGCAAAAAGCGACAGCACTGTCGATGGAAGCCTGCTAAGCAAAATGATTGCATCTGACGCATTTGTTGAGGACGTCCCATTTATTGGTTATGACAAGGTATTGTCAATTCTTTCCATTTTATGCATGTGTATGCAAAAGCAAACATTTACTTTTTTTCAGAACATGACTCCAGTACTTCCACGCCGCAGCGGAAAAAAAAACGTTGGACAAGTTTGAGAAATCAATCTTCGAAACCAATTATCTACTCGACTCTCGCATTCCGCTAACGTATGCATACCTAATCGAAAAACTAATAGCGTATATTATATTATTCAGAAAGTCAACAAGCACGGACGCGTCGAAGAAAAACGCCATGGGCGTTACTCGAGCGGATCTCGCGATTTTCGAGCCAAAAGAGTGCATCCTAGGTAAGAAATTCGAATTCAAATTCATTTAGTTTCATTGATTTTCAGCCAACAAACTCCCGATTGTTGTGCTGGATCGTGACGGTATTCGCATTCTTCTCTATGCTTTTGAGAAAGAGCCAAACTCGGCTGAGAGCAAATTCATTGCCTCCATTCAAAACTATAGCATCAATTTTTTCACCGACGTCTCTTTGACATTCAACACAACGATGCCGGTATATTTTGCCTTAACAAATTTAAATGTTGTGGTTTGAATTTTAGAACACCACTGTTCAATTCCAAAATATCAAAAAAGCGCTGCCAGGCTACAACACCACTCGCAATAATGAGCCCATTGACGTCTTCCTGAGCATTTCCACTTTACAGGATGTCAAACAAGTGAAACATTATCAAATTTCCATTTGAAAATATCGGGTTTCAGATCGATCTTGATTACTGCTTGACATACAATTATGCTACTGAGCATAGCGTTCGCGGAAATGTCTACGTTCCATTATCTTAATTTTCAATAATTCAATGAAACGCTTTATCTAACATTTTTTGTAGAGAACGTTTATTTGGTTTAACGCTTTGTGATAAAAGTTTAATTTCAAAAAATCCGTTTCTTATCATTTTTAATATCAAAAGTGTAACTCGACACAATGTATATAGTACAATTTTTCACCGGGAAAATGCGTTGAAAAAATGCTCTGAAAACCATGCCGCACATGCAAAATTAGTGCGCCGCACTTGCAATTCGATAATATAATTTTAATAACATAACAAGATGTTTTGATGCATTTCGCCGGTTTTCATTCACACTATGAACGCAATTTGAATTTTCGAGTAATCTATTGCAAATATCTTAGCACGCATAATAGATTTTTGATTTTATCAATACAGCGCGTTTGCTGCCTGCAATGGTCCCCAGTGTCATGCGGCCAAATTCAAGCATTCATTTGCACTGCCCCTCCGCTCGCGTTTTCCTTTTTTGTCTCGCTAGATTTCATTGTGTTGTTGCCGTTTTTTTGAATGGATTTTTTCAATAATTGATTGCTTTTGAATTCAGAATGGCGGGTTTCACTCAACGTGCTGATGAAAGCTCAGGAATGGTCCTACTCGCTGGAAATTCGCATCCGGAATTGGCTCGTTTGGTGTCCGAGTATGACTCTAATTCAATTAAAAAGGTTCATTTAAAATTGTTGAAATTTTCAGCCGTTTGGGCATCCGCCTCGGAGACGCCACCGTGTATAACAAGACGAATCGCGAGACATCCGTCGACATCAAACAATCGGTTCGTGGAAAGCACGTGTTCATCCTTCAAAGCGGCTCCAAGTATGTTATTGATTTTTTTTGTTCTTTTCCTATTATATTGAATTCGTAGCGATGCTTCTTGGTGTCAGACAGGGTAGTTTTTTATCAAATCAAGACAAATTTGATAAGAAATGTCGACGAAATTTTCGCTAATTTGCACTAGTAATCCGAATATCAAGAAAAAAAAAATGATTTTTCAGGAATGTTAACAACGATGTTATGGAGCTTCTCATCATTATCTACGCTTGCAAAACGTCAATGTCGAAAACGATCACCGTCATCATGCCATATCTTCCATACAGCAAACAATGTCGAATGCTTCGTCGCTCATCGATTCCGATGAAATTGATTGCCGAGATGATTTGCAAAGCTGGTAAAGAAAAAAATTAATAAAAGCCAAATTTTCGCCAACGAAAAATGGCGGAAACGGAAACCACAATGATTAACTTTTGTTGAAATATAGAAGAGACGGTTGAAAGTGTGTCGTTAAACATGTCTGAATCACCATTATTGCATCCAATATTGTGATATGCGAATGCAGAAATAATTAAAGCCAATCACTTGCTAGTTCTCAAAATTTTAACGGAATGTTGCAGATTCTTAAAAAACTTATAAACAAAAATTATGATCCAACAAATCTGGAATTATATATAAAATATAACAAATTTTCCGAAAATCACGCCAACTTTAAACAACCACGTTTTTTATAGGTGCCTCTCGTTTGGTGTCGCTCGACCTCTACAAAAAGGAAATCCAAGGATTCTTCTCCATTCCAGTCGATAATCTTCGCGCTTCACCATTCCTTCTCCAATACATCAAACAATATGTAAGAAATTAATTGCGGATTTCTGAGATGAATCACGAATTTTCCAGATTCCTGACTACAAAAATGCGATTATTGTTGCCAAATCGCCAGGTGTAATGAACAAGGCGACATCTTATGCCGATCGCCTTCGTCTTGGTATGTCATTGAATATTTGAAAATGAATGCCATGAGTTTGTTAATATTTCTTCTTTACAGGGAGTGAGTTTTTAATATAAATTCGGGTAACAAATATGTGTAATGTCATGGTTTCCACGGATTATATATATATTTTTTTTTTCATAATTATTTATATGTATATGAAATATTAGCACTTTTTCTTCTACTTCTTTATACTATCTCATTGTTTATGTTTCCGGGAAACACCGTGTCTAAAAGCAAGTTGGAACACCTTGTCTACTTCTAAAGTGCAAATCAATAATGTTTGAAATTTTTATCTGATTTCAGGTGTGGCGGTCATACACGGAGAACAGAAGGATTCGGAGGAGTCGGGTCTTGAGGATGGCCGTCAATCGCCACCACCAAATTTGGCGTCGTTCGAGCTCTTCCCGGCTCAGGAGCCAAAACAAAAACCGCCATTGAGCGTTGTCGGTGATGTTGGCGGAAGAATCGCTATCATGGTGGTATGTGTACTTCAAACCCTTATTACATAATCAGGCAAAACTAATTTCAGGACGATATTATTGACGATGCGCAGTCGTTCGTCGCTGCCGCTGAGGTTCTCAAAGCTCGCGGAGCTTACAAGATCTACGTGCTCGCTACTCATGGTGTTTTGTCGTCTGATGCTCCAGCCCTTCTTGAAGCTTCTCCAATTACTCAGGTAAATGATTCCTCTGTTTTCCAGTGAAAACTAGCAGGCCCTCGCTCATGCGAAAATGGTTGGTCCCCACGTGACTGTTATCAGTTTGGGCCAAACGGCATTTTGTGGCTCACGTGGGGGCCAATTGACGATGCGGGCTTCTCGAAGATCAAAATAGAAAAGAAACAACTATGATGACGACACAAATTGTCATTTTGATCCAAGCGTTTCACCTCGCTACTACTCACCTAAACTCGGTCAATATAAAAATTAAGCTAATGGTTTTCAGGTTATCGTCACCAACACCGTGCCACACGACCTTCAGAAAATGCGTTGCCACAAAATCAAGACGGTCGACATTTCGTTGATGCTCTGCGAGGCTCTTCGCCGCATATATCATAATGAGTCGATGGGACAACTCTTCCGCGACATCACCCTTGATGATTAAATTGTTTCTATTTTTGTTGTATTCACTTGTGTAAGGTTAATGATTCTAGTTAGAATGAGTTTTTCATTTGAAATTGTGTTTTTTTTTTGTTTGCATTGAGCCGGCGAAAATCCATTTATTGTTTCGAGCCATTGCTCCAATCAAATGGTCTCTCATTGTCTCTATCAGCAACATTTGCGGTACCAAATAAATTTTTTGTGCATTTGATGATAAGTTAAATAGTTATTAGATTGGCGCCGAGTGATAATGGAAATAATTTTGTTTCCCAAATGAAAATTGAGCTTGCTTGTTAAACTGGCACAAAAAAACGTGATTTTTCTCGTTTTCTTTGCAGCTTCTCGCGACATGCGCATGTTGTGCGGCTGCTCGAGCTATTTTTCTTTCTGTGCTCGCCTTTTGCCTCCAGCGAGCATCATCCTTGAAAATTTCCTTCATAACTCATTCGTGCGGGTTTCAATTTTTCAGCGTTCAATGTGATGTCGCGAGAAAGTAAATTAGCAAGATTCTTTCGAATATTCATCCCAATATCGTATTGGCTTCCGAGATATAATGTTAAACAAAATTTAATCAATGACGTAATTGGCGGATTAACCATTGGATTTCTCAATGTCCCTCAAGGTTTGTCTTGAAATGTTTTTAATAGCAAAGTATGCTCAATGTTTAGGAATGGCATATGCTTCTCTAGCAGGAGTTCATCCTGTGAATGGCTTATATACATCTCTCTTCCCTCCGTTAATTTACATGCTATTTGGAACATCAAGACATGTAGCCATAGGTAATTTTCCAAAAAAAACCGTTCTAAATAAATTTTTTTGTCAAAATCAAAATTCCTATTATAGGAGTGTTCGCTGTTGTCAGTTTGATGACTGGATCGTGTGTTGTTCGAATTCTAGATGAAATGCAAAAAGCGGAATCCCCAATTGAAGCAGTCGATATTATTAAAGTATTAGGATTTACTGTAGGAATATTACAAGTGAGTTTTGTTGTTGAACACCATTAAACTGAGAATTAAATTTTCAAAAAAAAAATTTAATTTAATTTTTTTGGGTCCGAAAAAAATTCGGCCATGTCGATTTACGCGAATAAGCAGTGCTGTATTTTTCAAAATATCAGCCTTAAATACAATTAGTCATCGTTTAGATTATATTTGGATTGCTCAAAGCAAATCGCTTGATCTCATTACTATCCGAACAGGTGATTTTCGTCGAACCTAATTGTTTCAATAAATAAATATTGCAGATTATTGTTGGTTTCACCACTGGAGCTGCAATTCACGTGTTCACTGCTCAATTGAACAAAATCGTTGGCGTCGATTTGCCGAGACACGAGGGATTCGGAAAAATTTATAACGTTCTCATAACGTTCTGATTGTTAAATCGAAATGTTTTCAGATGTACCGAGACTTGTATATATCAGCAATCGCCAACAAAGGCTGCAATTTTCCCACATTTTCATTATCATTTGGCGCCATCTTCATTCTTTACATGTTAAAGTATAAAATCACTCCATATTTTTTGAAGAAGCTGAGAATCCCCGTGCCTTATGACTTGATGTGCGTCGTCCTCGGAACATATCTGTCATATCGATTTGATTTCCACGGAAAGTACAATATAAAAGTGATTGGAAAAGTGCCGACGGGGTAGAAAATTTCGAAAAAAAAAATGTTTGCTATTGAAAATGATGGATTTAGAATTCCTTTACCGGTAGTCCCCAATGTGACATTGGTCCATCGTGTCCTCTTCGACGCCGCAGCCATCGCAATTATCGTGGTGGTCGTTACGATTTCAATGGGAAAATTGATAGCGAAAAAGCAGAAATATGCAATTGACACGAAACAAGAGTTCTTCGCTATTGGGATAATGGAAATATGCTCATCATTTTTCCCATGCTGGCCATCATCGACGGCACTTGCGCGAACATTGGTCAATGAGAACGCGGGAACAAAAACACAAGTAAATATTTATTTATCAAATATTTGAATATTTAGAGGTAGAATACAAAAATTTGGAAAAAATGGTTTGAAAACTTAGATTTAAACGGACTTGGCGAACAATGTTTCCTAATAAAATTTATGACTTGAACATTAAGTAGATGCACAGGATTTTTAAAATTAAAATTTTAGCTCTCTTCAATATTCTCTGCAACTGTTTTGGTGTCTGTGTTGTTGTTTATTGGTCCATATATGGAATTATTGCCAACGGTATAGTTTTTCATCAAAATTTAATCGGATATAAATTATTTCAGTGCCTTCTATCAGCTATAGTAATTGTAGCTCTTCGCGGAATGTTTGCCCAATTAAGAAATCTTTTTGTTCTTTGGAAACTTTCTAAAGCAGATTGGGTAACATGCAATTTTCATAAAATTTAACGTAAATGGTTTTCAGGCAATTTTCACAGTAACATTATTGGCTACCGTAATCTACGATGTCATTCCTGGACTCTTCATTGGAACAGTTTTCGGAATGCTCGTTTCAATCTTACGACTTCAAAAGTAAGTTGTTCGAGAATATTTCAAAAAAACTAAAAATGGCAAGATGTTAATAATTTAATGATTAATTGATTATTGCTCAAAATATTTGCTCCATTGAAATTTGAGGCGCTGATTAATAGGCTTCTGCTGCTCGAACCAATCCGAGTAAAGTTTGACGGAATGACAAAAAATTGGCTGCACAATATTACGCGCCCACCTAGAATAATTTTTAGAAGAACAATTTTGACATTCACAAATGACCCAACCAATCGTTATTATTATCGAGGCAGTTACAAAAAATGCGGTCAGCTTCCTCGCGAGCCACATGCAATGTATCAATTAATTGGTCATGCTCTAGACAGCAATTGTTGACTCCTGAAAAAAACACACACATATACATTTCAAATGTTTCGATTTCTGTCTCGACAAATACAACGGATTGAGCGTTTTGAGCGTTTATTTGCATTCTTGTTTTGTCTCATCTATGATTGAAAACATGCACTTTTGGCTTTGTTTCTCAATTTTTTATATTAAAAATTTTATTTGAAAAATAATGTAATTACTTCAATCAATTATTCTACTTAATATTTAGAGACTTCTTCCTAGAACTTTTAGAAACTTTCAAAATTGAAATTTTGCTCAAATAAAAAAATGCGCTTGAAGAGAATAATGTAATTAGAATTACTAGAGGAAGCTAAACATTTTTTTGGATTACGTAGACAGATTTACTTTTCGAAAGTATAAAATTAGAGCAAAGCAAAAAAAATTGAAAAAAGATAACATTCAAGTATTATAGTTCCCCATTTTCAAAACCTAGAATAAGCGAGAAAAAAATAAGTATCGAGTCAAAACCCTTCTTCTGAAAAAAAGTGTTTTGACAATTAAAAGATTTTTGTTTGAATTATGTATATATATATTTAAATCGTCAACTTCAAAATAAACTAGACAGGTTCAATTTTCCAAAATTTTTTCCCATTCATTTCTTGAAAATTTAACTTTGATTTTAATAAGAAGCTAAATAGAAAACTATACACATACCAGTAAGATCAGATGGTAGTGATATAATAAATGACAAGGCATTCGTGACTTTTCCGATTCCACAATTCCATGCGAGCATCGATTCAATAATAATGAAGAAGATAATCGCGATTCGCATACTTGCCTCAATAACAGCCTGAATGTATCAATGAAAACGAAATAAGATGCATTGGCTGAGAGACACGAGCTACTAAAAAAAAAAGTACGGCGAGAAATTCAATCGAATCTTCAATCAAATGATTGAAATGAGACAGAGTCTGATGGAGGTGGAAAACAGACCGCCTACTCGTCGTATTTGCTCTCCTGATTTTCACACTGCGGTTTATTGCTGACGCAAAATAACCGTTTTAAAAAACAAGAAGCACTTCAAAAGGATGTTCCCGATTATAGTGGAATTAGCAAAAAAAATATTGTGCCAACTATACGCTAATACTAGCCATGTTAAGATGGGGGGAAATGAATGCGCGTTGGTGGGTGGGTAACGAGTCGCAATCCGGAACAGACTACTTGAAACAAATACAGGGTGTCATTTAAGTTCCCGCACAACTTTGAAGACGTATATTTCTGAAACTAAAAGTCCAAATCAAACGAGACTCGAAATATTTTTTTTCTATAGTATAACAAATAATTATCTTTTAACTCTTTTCGATTCGGTCTTCTTTCGCAGCTATGACTTCACGGAGACGCTTCGGGTAGGATGTGACTGTGGTACGCAGGTGTTCGATGGAAAGATTGTCCCATTCCGCCAGTAATGTCTTCTTCAGAGCCTCTATACTTGAGTGGGGTTTTGCGTTGACCTTCTCCTGCAAGACCCCATCACGGAAAAGTCAAGCGGTTTCGGGTCTGGGGAGCGATCAGGCCATTCGGATGACTTGATGAAGTCGGGAAAATGGGTCTGGCACCACTCCTGAGTAGTTTTGGCAGTGTGGGCGGGTGCTCCGTCCTGTTGAAAGACCCATTTCTGCCCACCGAAATGCGTTTGGGTACAGGGCATCACATGATTCTCCAAAATGTCCCGAACGTAGACTTCTCTGTTCATTTTCACCCCCTGATTCACGAAAACCAGGGGGCACTTCCCGGTTGAGCAGATGGCACCGAAAACCATCACACTGGCAGGATGTGAGGCTGGATGAATTGTTCTTCTTTTCTCAGAAGCTTGCTGGGATGTCTGGGCAAATACTCAATGGTTTTGTGAGTTGAATGCCGCCTCCACAGTGAACAGCTTCTCATCGGAGAAGACAGTGACGAGGTGTTGTCCAGACCGCGTGCGAGCAAGAAGTCGTTTTGCTTTTTCGAAGCGTCTCTGCTTTCTGACGGCCGATAGAATTGCCGCCTTTTGGACACGATATGGGGTCAGTCGAAGCTTCGTTTTGACGATTTTTTCCATAGCGAAGATGCTCATTCCCATGTCTGACGCCATCGTTCTCATGCTCCTGTGGGGGTTTCGGCTGATCCTCGATTTGACGGCGTTGATCTTCTGAGGAGTGGTTACTGAGACGAGTCTTCCTTGTCTGGGACGGTGACTGGTCGTATTTAGCTCCTTGAAACGTTTGATGGTGTCGCAAACCGTTCTACGAGGCACACCGACCCGTTGAATGATGTCTCTCGGGCTCACATTTTGCTTATGAAATTCGATAATGGAAGCACGATGGATATTAGCCTTCGCCATTTCTCGGAAACACATCCGAATGAGGCGAAACTTGGAAAGTAAGTAAAATGTACCTTATTTAACAAAAATAAATTGTATTGGTGCACGAAAAGTGCGACAGCCAAGCTCTTCATGGCGTCAAACTTTTGTGCGGGAACTTAAATGACACCCTGTACAAAAATTGTTGTATGTACATATGTTTTTTTGCTCACCGCGTATTTCGTCATTCGTGCTCGCGGTTATTGTGGCTGCCGTGCACATGAGTATTAGTGGGCACACTTGTCAATCCACGGTATGCTTGATCGCAATGACCGCGAGAAGCACAGATTTTCCTTAAGAGCAAAAATTTGCGCTAAAGTGTTTGTGGGCTAAAAATTCCATTTGAAAATACGAATTGCAATTTTATTCTAAACATTTTGCGAAAATGTAAATATTCAAGATTTTATATTCAAGTAAGCTTCACTCTACCAAAACTACCGAGAATAATGTGTCCGTCATTTTCAATTAGTTAGTCGAAACATATGATCAGACAGTGCTCTTTGCTTAATTGCCTGGAGCTTCTTCATTTTTTTTAATGATTGTTGTCATTTTCATAGAGGATTATTCTCCAGACGTCGGCTGTTCATCGTTTATCGAAATGAACAAACATTTCATTTTTATTTCAATCAGGATGATTTCCTGTATTCTAGAAAGAGGGAAATTGGCTTGAATTGGCCGTCACTTAGTTTTTTGATCTCTTCTGTATGATAAAAAAAACAGAAATGTTTCTAGGATTAATCTGTTTGCTTAAAACAATTGGTTAACACAAACACAGCGCGAAAAAAAAACAGTCAAAAAAGCAAATAATCAGACAATTGAAACAGTTTTTCTTTCAGAAACCTGCCGATTGAATCCGATTTTGATGACGATGAGGGGCAACGGTATTGAATCGAATTCTATCTATAGAAAAAAATGCGGTTTCAGAACACAACTTGAGATGTTCTATGCGTGCCCACTATTTTATTTCAACTGCGAGAAGTTTGAAAAAGAGATCATCGAATCTGGTGTGGAATTCTTCAAAAATTCTGGCCCGTTTAGATCTAGCGAAGAGATGCAAATGATTGACAAAACTGTTGGAATTGGTCCATTTTTATTCAAATTTGAAAATGTTTTTAGGATGAAGAATCGCCTGCATTGAAAAAATCGTTGGTTCTTGACATGCAAGGAATTCCAGACATTGATGTTTCTGGAATAAATAGCTTACTTAAGGTAAATTGCTATATTTTAAAATTCGATTGCCAAATAGGATTTCTAATTTGAATAAGCTTTTAGTAATAATTAATATAGCTGTAGTAATAAGCTCAAAATGGCGTAGAATATTGGAAAATTCAAATTGCCTAGGCAATGGCGATGAGATATAATAAAGTATTACACTCACGAGAAACAAAATCGAGAACTCTGCGCCGATTTACGGTGAGTTTGATACGCAAGATAGTACAGTATTCGAATTTCCACTGTTTTAATGCAAATTTGAATTGTCGTCTCAGAAAACCGCTTTTCCCGTAAATTTAAGTACGTTAAAAAAGAATATTTTCATGCGACATACCACGGTTATTAATATTTTTTTCAATATCTTTTGTTGTGTATATTTAATATAATTTATAAATACCTCTAGCTTTCGCGCAAAAAAGAGAAACGAACAAGGGAGCAACGAAACTCCGTTCTAACACTGCCCTCAATTTGTCAACATTGATAGTTAACTAGACATAGCTAACGCAAAAATTAGAGAGCTCTTCAAAAAATCATATTCTTTAAAAATTAAAACCAACCTGGACGTATATTAAACCTACATTCAATATCAACTGTCACTGTTTTCAGGTTCACAGCGAATTATTTGTGCATGGAATCGCTTTCAAATTGAAGAATCCCAATGGTAATTGTATTCATTAGTATTTAAATCTAACCTCCCATCGATTAGCGGTATATTTTGGGCAAACCATTTAATCCAAAAAATCTGGAAACATTTGGATTCGCATCCAGGTGTGAGATCAAAATCACCCGCCTATAATTATTGTCATTATTACTGTAACAAATGCGTCCCACTGTGGAGGCAGATGCCAGCCTTTGACAAATTTCCGACCGATATTAGTGTTATATAATCTAAATGTGCAATGTCAACGATAAATTGCATAACTATAATCGCTGGCAATTATTTTCTCAAATTGCGATTGAGATGATTTCAAATAGCTATTCAAATAAAGGCGGTAGGTTTCTTCCGATCTTATCAAATCAGTTGTATTGTAAACGGTTACGCGGACAACAAAAACGTGCAATTTGTGAAAAACCTAAATATTATTACACCTTATGATCGAAAAATAAACGCACGATTTTGGGTAACACGTGGTAGTTCTCAGCCCAAGTTCTGCCAAAAATATGACTGGTAAAACATATCTCTCTAGTTTTTTTTTTTAAATATTTTTTGAATTAAAAATTTGGTATATTAGTTTTTTTTTTCAGATACGGTCCAACGCCTCATGAACAAATATGAGCGAGTCGTCGAATTGCTGCTATGAAACGTTTGTTGCATATTGTTGTGATTGCTTTGCTCGTTCTGTGATATGTTTTTTCTATAATAAAGTCCACAAAAATCGAGAAGCGGTTTGCTGGTCATTGATGGAGACAATGAAACGGCTATCAAATAAGATTTTGACGACGATGGTCAGGATTTGTGTATCGCGTTTCAATGACAGGCAATGCGTTCCATGTCATTCATATCTTTGAGGTATAAAATTCCGGGAAAAGAAGTTTTTTTTTTGGAAGGCAGACAACGCCTTTTTCGGTTCTTCTTCTCCCATCAACATCTCTCGTTTCATATACGATTGTTTCGTGGCGAGAAACCAATGAGAAGAAGAAAAGTGCGGCGACGCAAAAATCGTCGTCGTCGTTCTTGTTTTCATCTCACTTTTTTTCCTGAACTTTACGATCAATATTTATGATTGCTGCACGGGAACTCCGCACAACACCTTTCGACCCACCCAGTTTATTAACTGCCAGTCGAGCTTTTCAAAAGATACCGTAGGTTGTACAGAGAACTCTTCGGGTCTCGTCTTGATATCTTGGAAGTCATCACAAATCGTTTATCCGAAACGATAAGTCCGTTCCCATTAATTATAATTGACACGTGTTCCGGTAGGCCAATATTCATATTTTCTTCAAAATTTTATATTCGTTTGTCCTAACAATAGTCAGTATTGGTGGAAACTTGCATCTGTTTTGAATATCCCTATTCGAAAATCAGCATACATTAGTAACACCTGTCCCGAAAAACACTAATGACATTGCGCCACTCATTTCGCCAAACCAATTATCTGTGTCGGCTCGTAGAGTTATAACGTTATCACAAAAAAAATCTGAACGGGTTTCCATGGAGATATGCACCTCCCAACTGTTGGCTATCATCACGTCATAGTCATCTGTGATGAATGAAATTGGAGCACTCAGATGTGCTTAATTTTTCTTTTCGCGCTGTCTTCTTCATTTGCGTCTTGGAGCTCTCGCATTCTGCTTTCTCTAATCTGCTGTTTTTTTTTCAGTGTCTCTGTTTGTTAACGCCGTCGGAGCTTGGCAAATTTTTTGCAGTTTTCCTTACCAAAGCCGTCTGATTACCGCTTGAAAGCGGGCTCGAATTAAATCTGAAGCTTCGCAAAATCAATTGACTGCACCGATCAAATTCCAATTTTCTTTCGTTTGTCACCGCGGACGTATGTAATAATCCGCGATCAATTATATTTGATGTCGTTTAACGACACAATAGTTTTTTTTCCAGGTTATCTTTTATTGGGGGCATCGACTTATCAACCGAAAACTGCGTTCACATTCGCTTTCATTCACCAATCGTTTTGTTACACTCGATAGGTCGTCGAGAAATATAACGGATCATTCCTGCAGACTACCATTAATATTGTCGTCTGCGAACGTCAACCTTTCTGCTGTAGGTTACCCAAATCAAAATACTTATTGAATATCATATCAAATATTTAGAAACATGGAGGTTGCTCACCAAGTATTAAAAGGTCGCATTGATATGGCTGTGTTCATTCCATTGCTCTACACCCAAATCTCTCATTTTCTCCCACCCAACTATCGAAGAATGGTGTCGATTGAGATTTTGAGCCGGCTCGCATTTCTGCTGTCAATCCCTGTTCAGTTAATTGAGGTGAGCTCTATCTTTTAGGATTTTAAGTTGCGTAATTTGAAACTATTTCTTTTATCAAAAATTTGTGATTTTGAAGCAACCCCAAAAATCAAAAATGATAAGTTGATATCATGTTGAAATCCAAAGTTGTTATCATTGCTGTGAGTTTGGTTTCACTCCTCAAAACATGCCTACTCCTGATATAAAAAAAGCGCATTGCATTTTCTAATTGTCATTGTTAATTACAGGTCTTCGCTGCTCACATCATGGAGGTGTTCCGCGATCCGATGAATATTCAGAGACTTATTAATCAAGCTGTTTATCGGGATATTATCGATATGTACTTGACGTGGTCTCGAGCCAATCGCAATAGTCGAGAATACACAGAAACCGTTTTGCAAACGCTTTATCATCACTTGTTTCAAGCGCACATTCTACAAACAATCAATAATAACATTCCAACTAATCCAATCGTTCTGCCGGATATTGTTGAGGATCCAGCACCAGCTCCAGTTGCGAGGAATCCGATATTCAACGTAATTCAACTCGTTCCAACAGCCATTTCAACTCCACAAATTGATCGCCAACCGTCTCTCAATGTGATAAATTTCTCGATTGCGGAACTGATCAGAAACGATCAGTCTAATCAACACCAGCTGGCAAGTCGCCAAGAACCCGCTTCCCTCCAGCAACTATCGGTTCCGGCTCCAGCTCCGGTTCCAACAATCGCTATTGGAAATACGCTGCCGATTACTGGGGAGCGGGAATGGGCTCATCCCGCTGATAATGCATCGCCAGCTTTTGACATGAACACAGTTGAGACTCAAACAACTAAGGAGAAACAAAGGATTACTGTAACTCGTCCAACTCTCCATGCCAATAATGAGAAGTCACCAGTTCGGCCTCCTCCAACTGACAATAATATATTTTCATCTTCAATTCAACAACAATCGCCAGTTTTGGCCAACAAGCAACTGGAAGCTCAACGTCAACTTGTAAAAAGAACTAGACAACATTTGCGTGTGAATGAAGACAGTTTGGCAACTCCGAAGAAATTGCTTCGCAACGATTCGTCAAATTCAGAACAAGAGTTGAGAACAACGGAACGACAAGCTGCCCTTCCGCTGCTACACACGAAAGTGAGCAGACCGCAATTGCCAGCTATGCAGCATCTTTCACCACCACTTCAATCGTTATCTGAACGACAATTTGAAGAATCTCAGCAAGCGGCCGATCAGAATCCTTATTCGCATGTACCTGCTAGAACTGCACAACCAACCGCAGTGGTGCGACCAAATCCTTTGATGAAAATTGTCTCGAGACCCCATAATTGTTATCATTCGTCAGTAGTTGTGCGACCACCCAGCCCGGAGCAAATTGAGAATAACGATAGCCCACCCCCGGAGCCAATTAATAAGGACTCAAACGGAATGGTTCGATTTGCATTGCGGAATCAATCGAATTTTGCGGCAACGTGTCCACAGAACAATGAAGTTGCCGCGGTGACATCACAGGAAACCACGGTGGTTCAACGCAATCCCTATTACAAGCCGAATGCCATTCGAAACCGACAAACCGAGACGGGAAAAGCTGAATCGGCTTCTCGGAGAAGGAAAGCTGATACACCCATGCGATTGCACATTATGCCAATAACCAGCGATGATATTAACACCGACATATTCTCGAGAACGTCGGTTCCACCATCGCCAATTCCTTCGGTGGCCCAAATTGTCAGCACCGTTATGACTGCTGCGTCTCAGATGCCGATGCAAATTGGAAGTCCGGAATCACCGAGAGTAAGCCGAAAACGTTTTAATTTAATTTGTTGATTTCAGATGAATTGGGCGGATGTGCCAAGCACTTCAGGAGCTGGCTCGCAAAGCCAGCCAATCTCCAACAATGCTCACTCAGGAGGTAAATGCAGAATGTGTGATAAGTGGCCGAAACGAAATAACTAAACGCATATCAAGATATTGCATGTGCTGATTTCCCTTCATGTTGCGTGTTTGATTATTTTTCACTTCTTTTCCTTTTTGATGAATTCACATTCTCTAATTTCAATTATTAAGCTTCTCAACAGAAATGTAGTGTAGAAGTTGTGTTAAATTTTCATTTGTGCCAGTGTTGTGTGCCTATGTAAGCCTAATAATTTAACTAATTATGGAATGTTAGCTTTTTCTCCTTTTGCTTTCTTCTGTCAATAAGCATGCTTTTTGAAAAAAGTGTTTTTGAATTGCTTGAATTAGAAACTTCGCTATACTAACCTCGCAAGTGCAATAATAGTTATCTTTTTTTTCAAAATTTGTTGGTTGTTAGAAAAATAGAAACTCCGTGTGTTTTGTGCAATCCCTCCCACACATTCCTTCCTCCGTTTTGTTATGGACAACAAGTATAAACAATTAGCGGGTGGCATCATGAAAGGTGACCGCGCATATGGGTTTTACAAGTTGCCAGCTGATTTGCAAAGTTCACAAAAAAGTGATCGAGTTTATATTATCAAAAGCCACATGCGATTGTTTATAATGCGATGATCGGAGCGCGGGTCACTCTTCAATTGTCATAAAAAGTAACAGATTGCGATAAACAATTGGAGACATCGGTTTATTACCGTATCGCAGCTGTTGCGCTAATTTGCTGAGAACTTTGAAATATTATATCTAACGTTTGGCGAAATATTTTGTCGAGAGACTTTCACAATTTTGACCGTTGAGGCGAGACGCAATTTATAACAGATTCAGCAATAAATTGGAGGGAATTCAAAATTTTGTCAATTTGTTTTTTTTTTCAGACCTTGACATTTTTTTTTTAAATTTTGGCAAATAGAATACTGGGAAATATTTGTAATGAGAAAAAGTGTCTTAATATGTCACAAAGGCGCTGCCGCCGCCTAATGTGTTGAGTTGGAGTTGTGCCACGCGGGCAACGCAAATGGATCAAAAACCAAATTCTTTGTTCCATAAAAAGGTACTGAGAGGAGATTGCATACAAATGCCCTAATTGTCAGTTCAATGTTGGTTCCAGGTCCGTGGTCAAACAATAAATAATTATGCATAGTTTCACCGGCGACCATTATCGGTTATCAGTAATTAAAAACGAAATATGGGCCATTTGAATTTAATGGAAACGGGTTAAATAGGTTTTGCCGTTTCTGCCAGCGAGCTGAACACCTATAATTAGAATTCACTGGATTTTGCTGGCAGCCTATCCGAAAATATTAGACATATGTAATTATTTATTCACACGCTGCTTTGATATTTCTTATAACTCAGAAGCTCAGTTGTAATAGGATTTTCATTGCACTACTCAATATTTCGCGTGACCAATTATGATATCCCTGATGTCCTACAAGATTTTTTTTCCAAAACTCGTGAGCCCTGTTGCTTCTATCCAAGCGGATAGTTTTTTTTCGTTTTTTACGCCATTTGAACGTTTAGTGATACATTCATGGTCATCATTCGTCTCAATATTTCTCGACAAATTACGATTGTATGGTTTGTCGTTTCTCATGATGAATCAGTGGCTCTTTGCATCCCTTTCAAAAACGAATTTTTTAAACGTGTTGTCAACGGTTTTTGGCCGCGACGAGTCGGGGCGCGTATTAGACAGCGTGCGTAAGCAACAAGCGCGAAAAAAAAAAGACGATTTGAAAATTGTTTAATGCGTTCTTGCATCTATTGTTCTCATATCAATATTATTTGCGAGACATCTCAATATGCATAATGCTCGCAATTTCTATCATTTTTAGCTTGATGAATACATGAAATTTGATAGCAGCTAAAGGCCGTAAACATATAATTACATGAATATTTTTGATTCACATATCTTGTGGGGAAGATTCATCGAATAAACCCCCCCCCCCTCCCCCCTATCCCTAATAGTCCATTGCACCGAGATTCATTCAAATTTGTCTACCACCCAGTTGGCGGCAAAACCGATTAACAGACACCTGAATATTGCCAATTACCTCTAATTAATAAATATATTTTCGATTTGCCTGGTTATTGTTCTTCTGTGAGGAATTACCCGATAAGCAACTACTCGGAGCTGAGTGGCCATCTGGTTTACGGGGAGTCCGTCTAATCGACCGTAACCTGCACTCCGCATCCGGCGAACTCTTTTGCTGCCGTCTTTTTTCGGGACACTCTCCGCCTCCCGAAAATCCTCATTTACTCGGCGTGACTCGGCCATAATCTAGTCGTTCGTCATAAATGACTTGTTATTAGATGTTTCGCACCACGACCAAACACGCTATCCTATTGTTCCTTCTCCATATCTTTAGAAATATTTTTTTCAACTCTATAGAATATCAAAATGATCTATTCCATTAGTTCTATTACAAGATCTAATGCGTAAAAATAGCGCGACAATTAGGAAAGTGCCATAAAATATTATGAGGTACGAGCGCCTCTTCCTCCAGTTCCATATAAGATCCCCTCGTTTTTTGCCGTATTTTCGTGCCCTCCATGTGCGTTAAATCAGTCGGCAATTCATCAATCGCCAGCGTTTCGTCTCCAGTTCAAACAAAAGCCCTACACGCATATCAATTCGCGTTCATCGTCGACATTTGCTGGTGCTTGGCACCTCGCTCCCGCTGTTCGACCCTCCTCCACATTGTCGATGTGTAGCGCCGCCCATCGATAGCACGTCGTGCTGTTGCCGGCAAGCACGTCCGCCCGCCCCTTGCGTGTTCGTCGCGACTCATTCCTGTTTCTTATTATGCATTTTTGTGCAAGAACCCGCCACGGGTGCACGCCAACATTCTTTATTTTTTTGCCTCATCTTTAGGAAATTCAATTAATCGTTGAGGGGTGAGAGAGAGGGGGGTCTTCACCGACGTTGATGCAATAAATCACAAATGTGCTTGTGTGTTTTTCATTCTCTTCTTCAATTGCCTAATGCGTGGTGTTTTTTCGGTCTTACAATACCCATTCAATTTTGCTCGCGCGACACAAATAATTTTGCCATCTGCCCGAACATCTTTTTGTCCATCAATTTTAGGCATTTCTTGCAAATGCAGCTTCTCATCTCCTTTTTTGATGAGCATCGGCCATTTGACCACGGTTAATATACATACGCACTTTATCAAATCACTTTTGCGCTTGATTTTCTTTCAAGCTAATTCATAAAATTTCTCGTTCTTTGCTTTTTACGCCTTGGTTGCGACAGTATCAGTTAAATTACTTAATATCAAATTTTACAGGTATGCTAACCTTCTTAAAAGACGTGGCCGCAAGACTGGTTAGCCTTGCGTTGCCGACAGAAGAAGATGCGCCACCGCCAAACGCTAATGAATCCGTGAGCAATCACCACCCAACCACAGGATCTCGCCGTTCAACGACTTCTCATTCCTCGCCAAGCTCAAGATCAAATTGTACTTCTTTGCCGACCTCTGCTCGTCCCAGTCAATCCCACCGTTCGCCGTCCCAAAGCACCTTGAGTACATCAACTCGTCTATCTGCTCCGACCAGGTCTCCACCCAGCCAATCCCATCGTTCGCCATCCCAAAGCTCCTTGAATACATCAATCCGTCTTTCTGCTCCGACCAGGACTGCTCCTAGCCTTTCGCACCGTTCGTCGTCCCAAAGCACCTTGAGTACATCAACCCGCCTGTCTGCTCCGACGAAGTCTCCTCTCAGCAAATCCCATCGTTCGCCATCCCAAAGCACCGTGAGTACATCAATCCGTCTTTCTGCTTCGACCAGGACTGCACCCAGCCGTTCGCACCGTTCGCCGTCTCAGTGTTCTTCATCAAGCCCGAACTCTTCCAACCAATCAGTTTTGTCTTCTGCTTCGTCCATTCGATCACGCCGTTCAAATGCACAGAATTCCTCGACTCCTAACAGATCTGGCCAGTTATCGATGAGAAAAAAACGAACCACTTCAACGCCTTCATCAGAATCGTCGCAAAAGGAACAATTGAATGTTCGAACCACATCGCAAACGTCAAACCAAAGCAGAACTCGGCCGTTCCCCAAATCATCGGTGAATGTCGCATTTGATCTTCCCAAAAATACGGATAAGCAAATTGACAGTCAAGTTTGCGGAGAAACGCCAAATATTCAAGCGGAAATTGGTGAGAATTTTCAACTTAATAATTTTCAAAGCAATGGTTGCAGATGCCCTGGCTAATGGAAAATCCTGCGAAGCAACTCTTCTACAAATGGTCATGAAGAAAGCGATGGATAGTATTCAAGGCGTACCAAAAATTGGCGAAAGGGTGAGTCTGTATTTATGAACACAAATTCTACTTGGTTCAATGTATATAACTCCTTTACAAAAAAAAATGACTTCGTTGTATCTCAGAAATTCTATCTGCTGGATGTGCTCGAACAAGCGTTCACTAAATCTCTGAAAGGAATCTATGGATCAGCATATTCAATTTTCTCACAGGAATTGAATGTCGAAAGTGCTGAAAAGCAAAAAGAGTAACACTGCGTTAATACTATTCATATAATTTGCCAATAATTTAAGTTATATCGATAAAAGAGGTTATTACCGAAACGCTGGAATTTTCCAGCCTGATAAGGTTGTAAATGTGCAAAGTGAGCCAGTGTATCGCGACATGGCCAATATTTTCATAAATGGGAAACGTTTGGAGAGGGAACTTCACCCAAAGGTTCGAGAAATATAATAGATATATTTGCATTAAAATTATTTCTTGTCAGATGGACGACACGGCAGAACCGCACAATTTTATGAAATACCAGCCCGGATCGCTCGTATGGGTGAAGTGGAACGATGGCCACAGATACCCCGCAATAGTTGAAAAAGTTTTGATGAAAGAAAAAATGATGGCACGTTGAATTCCGCTGAAATGTATTTTACTTTTTTTTTAAAGATTGAAGTAGTGTTTATGGACGGGCAGTCGTCATTGCAAGCATACAACTCGGTTTATCCATTTGAACTATGCTTTGGCAAATGTTTTGAATTTGTGAAGTCAAGAGAAGATGAGGATAACAAAATTTTGGACTTGATCGTGGCAACCGGAAGAATTGGTTATTTTGAAGAGTAAGCTTCAATCATTCTGATTTTCATTTGCCGATGATTCGTTTCAGATATATTACTGTCGATCAATTTCGCCGACTCGAGCAAAAAGGATGGAATTTCGACTATCTTCCGGAAATGGTCAAATTGTTCATGAAAAATCCGTCGCTTCCCAATCCGCTCGTGTTGGCTGAAACATTCATCAAGGCTTCGACAAATAATGATGCTGTCATCCACTTTGACGATATGAAAATTGCAAAGATGAACAAGGAGAGGCTCTTTGCTAAAGTATCTAAACTAATGTTAACAGTGGATTAGTGTGATTTACAGTATTGGGAAAATGTCCGCATGAACGCCATTCTGTACGCCTGGAAAGTCGAAAAGAAAAGCCCTCTGATTGTCAACATGTCAAACCGAATGTCTAGATTGTAAGTTACATTCACTGCAAATCCTTAATCAAAATTCGTTGGCATTTTCAACATGTGAATATTTCCAGCTTGAGTCAGTTCGAGCAGTTCCATCAGATGCCGCAGACGCCGGGAAAAGCGCCTCCTGCAAAGAAGTCGGATGAAGACGCGCTTCCATTGTCGCCGGAAGAAGAGCAGCAACAACCGAAGAAGCGTCGTCATGAGACGTCTGAGGCTGTTGATACGCGACCGAAACGAGCGAGAGTGAGCCCGAAAAAATATGTCGACTAAATTGAATGCCCGATCGCAACCCGTCTAATGTATTTCGCATATTTCATCCACATTCATCCTGTTTAATTTATTCAAAGCCTGTTTGTCACGTTTACTATCGAGCTCTGAGCTGTCATTTTGATAAGGTCATTCGATGTAGAATTTCGAGTTACAATTCAAGCTTCCTTTTGTTCTTCAAATGATTTCCTCCAATGTTTCATTTTTATTAACCGATGGCTTTTGAAATGCTTTTAATAATTTATAATTAATTGTTATTCTTTTTCCTCATTTTTCCTCAATTTATTGTATTTGGATCTCAAAAAATTCCAATATTTCTCCTTTTTTTTTCTTTTTTTTATGTGTTATTTTGTTGCTCTCTCCTATCGTCTCGTTTTTCCCCATAATCCCATATCCTATGAAATATGAACTCAATTTGTCGTATGCTTATATCTTATAAGACCAGATAATTATGGTGAGATAATTTTGGAGAATTGATTAAAAAATTTCTACTCTTTTCACTGTCAATTGTTTACCATAAAGTGAAAAACTTAGAAAAAAAACATATAAACTTCAAAACTTAAAAGTAGCGAGACGACTGTCTCAAAACTATTTTTCAGAGGATTTGTTTGAGAAAAAGACAATTGTGAATAAGATCTGGTTCGAAATAAAACATATGATAAGATATATTACAATTCTTTTAAGGAACTTTACTCAAATTCTGATTCTGATTATCTATTATTTATTCAGGTCTGGCGCTGTCAGATCTGATGTTTCTACTATTATGCGTTCCCTTCACTGCCGTCGATTATGCAGTGCCAACGTGGATATTCCCCGAATGGATGTGTTCAATGATCAATTTCTTTCAAGTAGGCGCATTTGATAATAAATAAAAAAAAATAAACCGTTGATTACGTTATGTTTAATGCATTTCCATCAATTAAATATTTAAATGAAACGTATTTTCAGCACACTTCTGCTTATTGTAGCGTATGGACGCTGACACTAATGGCATTCGACAGGTATCTCGCTGTGGTATATCCTGTTGAATCGATGACTCTCCGGACTCCTAAAAATACAATGATAGCTCTTGTTGTCGTTTATATTATCATAATGGCTTCTCAGGTCAAATTTTCAGAATTTCCTTGCATCACACAATCGATTTTGATTTTCAGATTCCCGTTGGACGAATGCATGGAATTTATGAGTATAACTTCATTATGGAGCAAAGATCAACCTGCGCTATACTCAGTATTGCCACTGAAACCGCTTCACCATTAGAGGTATTCCTTCAAATCTATTGGACGCACTGCCAATCGCAAAGTCTAATTGTATTTATTTCCTGGGAGTCAGGCATGATGAGATTCCAAAATCAAAACAAATTGAGTTTTCCATTCGGCTTTTCTTTTTGTTTTCTCTTCCCATTCTTTTTCAACTTTGCGGCAAATAGAATCAAGTGGTGTTCGAAGAGCATGCTGTTTGTGAGAAAGTCAGTAAAATAAAATACAACAAGGGGGGGGGGGACGCCACGCGACAATATGTAGACTAGTGTTTTCATAAATCATTTACAGGCAAAAACCTATTTCATGACGTTCAACGTGTTTGGCTATGTTTTGCCACTTGGAATATCAGTGTTCTTATACTGGAGAATGCTGCGCCGACTTTGGTACACCCCTCGGCCCGGATTAAGCACGCCAACAATGAACCCAGTAGTTTTACAATGAAATTATTGAGTTCAATGTTTATTGCAGAACACTGCATTCAGCAGCAGTTCAAGTCTTCGCGGAAGGCCGGAAGCAAGAAGAGCCAAGAAAAAAGTATGTGTTGAAATTTGCATACATTTTTTTTCGGTTCTCATTGGAATTTCGAATTTTCATAAACGAAATTCATAAGGACCAATGATCAAAAAATGTGTTTCGATAATATTGAAATCCCTATTTATAAATTGCCCTTTTATCAAAATAATTAATTTCAGGTTACAAGATTAGTCCTTTGCGTTTTAATAATTTGGGCCCTTTGTTGGTTGCCACTGAACGTCTGCTTCTTCATGTCCGGAATTGCATATCCACAATCGTTAGTGTTCTCCTATGGAATTATAATGGTCGTTGTCCAGATTTCTAGTCAGGTATTTCCATAAATAAAAATTAATAGATATTAAAAAAATGCCTAGGTGCTCGCTTACATGAACTCTTGCCTTAATCCAATTCTCTACGCGCTGATGTCTGAAAATTTTCGAGAAGGTTCTCACCTCTTCAAACACTGAATAATGAATAGTTCAGGTTTCATTCGGGTATTGAAAAAGATCATCTACACAATATCGTGTCGCCGTTACTGCACAAGTGTCAACAAGGTAAGTTGCTTATGTGCGCCAGCTTTTATGTTCATTCGAATCCAGTCACGTTATCGAATGGAAATGACGAATTGCAATACAGGTAATAGTTTTGCCACAATGCGGTATATTAGCAATGAAAGAAGTGCTTTATTGCGAAATAGCTCAGGTGCCGTCACACCTCAGGCAAGTTTAACTGCTGCTCGAATCCATCAAAATCGAATGTATGATATGGAATCAATTTAGAAAGGACGCAGTAAATCTGTGAGAAGTTACAATTTTTGACCAATAGTTTCGCATTTTCATCAACGGTTCACTTTTTTTCGCAACACGTAAGCTTCATTCCGACTATCAAAATTTATATTACCAATTTCCAGAATAAATGTGATTGGAGAGACGGGTGGCATTATGATTCATCACAAAATCTGAACTTATGTATCAATAATGCTTGGTGTTTAATAAAATGTGTAATCAACATAATTTTTATTCTCTACAAATGTTGGCATGCCATCAGGAAGAGTATTTATAAAAGCAATGAATGTGTTACAATGCATATTACTTGAAATGACAAGTACGAATTTATTTGAAAAAACCAAACAGCGATTATGCGTTTCTCATTGCTGTTATTTTGTTTTGCCTTCCAAGTAGTATGTTGTACACTCGCCTTTTCCCTGAAACTAAGAACATGTGTTTTCTTAAAGGTTTGAAAACTGTTCAACCTTGACTTCAATTTTTCCTCGTTCAACTAGCTGAAATTGCGTGAAGAAGCAATGAAGAAGATTGTACGAGCTTTCCGAAATTTGGATTTTGTTTGCCACTCCGGTGCTTTCCATTCTCGATGCCGTGTTAACAGTATCGCCGAAAAGGCAATAGCGCGGCGCTGAGAGGCCGACAACTCCAGCCGCCACCGGTCCACTATGGAATCCGATTCGAACCATCATCACTTCTTCGGGTCTATGGGCAAGTTTGAAGTTGCAGATGAACTGAAATTCATAAATAACGTCCAACAAATTATTGTTTTTTTCTCTTACCGCTCTCATTTTCAACGCAATATCCGCGATGTGCTGTACGTGATGATTGCCATTTTCCGTTGGCACACCGGAAACGATCATATACGCATCTCCAATCGTTTCCACCTGAAAATCCACATCAACGATGCACATTCCATGTTATTTACTTTATAAGCATCGTGTTTGGCGATAATCGCATCAAATCCACTAAACATGTCATTAAGGAAAGTTACGACCTTAATTTGAATTAGTATAGTTGATGATTCACTTTTGTTTGATACTTGAAGAGGAGTCGATGTCGACGATATTCTGGTGAATCCGCGAATGTCTGAGAACAAAACCGTCGCGCAGCTATACAATTGCGGTAACACTGGCTTTCCAATCTTGAGATCCTCAGCAATCGATCTGATTATCATTATTCCATATACTAACACTGATATAACCAAGGGGTTTACTTTGGCAACATGCTATTAAGTAATCTGTCGGCCTGTTTCTGGGCCTCCTCAAGCAGCGCAGTCCTATCTCGCACCATATTCTCCAAATTGGCTGTGTACTCCTCCATCATCTTCATCATTTGATCCACGAGAGAGCCTTTTCCGCTGAATGTGGACAAACGCGTAAATTGTCAGGAACGGATTGCGACTTACACTGATTTCAAATTGGCGTTTACCATTGTGCGCACCTTTTTGATTGGCGGACGCATTTCTGGAATTTCGAGCCAACACGCCTCCAAGCAGGAAAGAAGCTGAAATTTTTTTCTGAATATTGGGTCCAATGCCATCTGAGCCAACCTGCAAGTTGTATCCTTCATTCTGATTCGACGACGGAAAGGTTGGACGAATAATTTGATCATCTTCGCTAGCCATGGCGAGAAGTTCCATCAACTCTAAAATTTTGTTCACTGTGTGCCAATCATTGCAGTGTCAAAAATTACTGTTAATGCTCTTTCCTCTCTCATGGAACGGCTCGACGCGGAAAAGAATTTGATAAAGAACCATTCCGAGCGCGTAAATGTCGGCAGCTTGTGAGCCCGGCGGAAGTGTTTTAGCAGTCACGAGTTCACGAATAATTTCCGGCGCTTGTTGCAAATACTCTGAACACACGTACATTAGAAATTCGTCGGCATTCCTCAATAATTACTCTTTCGCGCGATATCATTCTGCTCGCTCGCATCCGTGCTCTCATCATCAGGACGGACAATCGGGCGAATTTCATTGTGAGCTAACCGATCGGCAATAATTTGTTCTGTTGCGAAGTTTGTCAATTTCACGGTCCAATTCGAATCAACGAGACAATTCTGGAGGCAAAGAAGCCCGTGGTATAGAATTGGAGAAGCATGCAAGAAACTGAGGCCCTAAATCAGCGCGGTTTTAATATATAGAAATATGACTTGTTTGCATGCTTTGACAACATCCTTAGCGAACGAAACTTGAAAGTTTCTTCCCAATTTGAGCTCATCATTGAACAAAATATCCTGAAAAATTTGTTTTATTTAGAAAATATTATTTGTAAGCTAGTTTAACCTCAAGACTTCCACGTGAGCACAATACCCACATGACGATAAATTCGTTTTGCTGATTGAAAGAAATTCCATAAAATTTGTTGAGATTCTCGTTTTCAATTATTTTCAACTGAAATTCATTTACAATTTTTAAAAGAACCTCATTTCAAACCTCCTTGAGCATTCTGAGCTCAGATTTTGGAAAAGTCAAATTTCTGACTTGTTGGTATCGCTGAATTCAAAATTGTGCATTAATTGATATAAAAAATTTCTACCTTTATCGCAACTTTGACCCCATTTGACACCGCCTGTTTGGCGGCAATAAGCCCATTTTGCTTTGAATTCATGCTGCCTGAGAATGAACCCGAACTTTGCGATTTGCTGGCTAGCGAGTGTTCAGATTTCTAGAATTCGTTACATTTAAATAACCTTAAAATTCTGCCTGATTACCGATTTGTTCTCAAGCAATTTGACGGTATCTCTCGGGATTCTCCAAGTCATATCATAAAGAAGACGCTCTTTCCTATAAATACCTCCAGACTAATTCACCCCTGTCATACTCAAAACTAACTGTTTAATGTATATGAAATAAGATACGGGGATTGCAATTATAAAGAAGACTAAGACAGCTGCACCAATAATGTACGGCCGATAATCGCATTCGGAACCCGTGAATCCACATTTTGGCACGGATGGCGGCAATTTACCGGTTTCAGAGTTCCAATAGTATTGAACCATTTCATGAGCGACCTGAAATGATAATGCTCGTGATAACTATTTAAACATTCAAAACATGTACGTGTTCGGAACACATGTCTTCATTCTTTTCACAAGCGCCGCGATCATTATTTTTTGCTTCAAGCTCGACAACGATCTGAATTACTTATTAAGACACATAACGAATTGCTTAAATCAAACCTTCAGCGTTCCATTGGTGGAATAATATGTAGCATAAGATGGGACTCGAATAGCCTTATTATTCATTAAAACATGACCAGTTGCACCTTAATACATTTTTTGGACTCAAGTAAAATTTTCTTGCTTACCAATGAATTGACGATTTGTCATTCTCGACCATAGAAGAGAACCATTCACATGAACATTATAACTACCAACATCTTGGAAAGCATCGCGAAGAGCCAACCCGTAGAGGAAGAGAGCATCGTATAACGACATGTAGGAAAGCGTGGCATACTGTAATGACGATTTTCCGATTGGGCAAAATATTTAAGAGTTTTACATGGCTTGCTAAAACTCCCGTCGCTGAACTGAATTTCTGTTGGAATATGTCAAAGAAGGCTTTGTCGTAGCCATGAGCGGTGATGATTATAACATTCTCAAATGCTGCCTTCACTTCTTGCTTATCTACATTGGCGGCTTCCCATGGATAATGGTCATTGATCTATATAGAATTTAAATTTTCAGATTTTATAGACATTCGGTATTCATACATGAGCAAGCCATGGTAGAATGAATACGAAACCGTCAGACTTCATGTTTGTGCGATGGATAGCCAACATGAAATTGGTGACTGAATGCAAATCCATTCCAAGCTCAACAACAAAAACTGAAATATTTCGTGTTTTTGGCAATTTCTTTGTTTTTCAGACAGACTTCTCGCCGATGCTTTCATTGTTGCTAATTTTCCAGAGGCCATTATAATCTCAGCAGTTGTGAAAGGCTCAATATCGACTATAACATTCAACTCAATATCCTTTTTTTTGATCTGATGTTGCAACGAATGCACCGATAGCCGTTCATATCCTTCTGAGGATCGCACAATTCCAATCTAAACGCCGTATAGTCGATGGGATCAAATATTGGTCGATGAATGCATTAAATGCCATCGACAGGAAATGGTTGTTTATGATGCATCTGATAAACACTCCAAATTCGATTTAAGGGATAAACCGAAGAGCAATTTAGTAATCAATTATTACGTAGCCTCGTTTCGTAATGCGACAGCTTTAAATGTGTATCGTTGAGAGGAAGCGCCGTGATTCATGGAGAAGACAAATTAAGCTCCCACTAATTCGTGCCACATTATAATAACATCTACCGTATACCCCCTTATGACGCGAAATTTCGACGAGACTCCCAATTTGTAATATAATTAACATTTTCTTAGTTATTTTTAAACAATTTTCTCATCAGAAACCGCTAAAACTTTTAAATGTTTTGAAATTATAGCAGAAATTCATTGTGAAGAACGCTTTTCTAAATTGCCGCTGAAGACATATTAAATTTGAACTTTGATTTAGAAGCGGGTTTCCGTCAATTAGAAGACAATTATGTACAAGAAAATAGAAAATGTTTGCTTTTGCATCATGCCGAAGAAGTCAGGAACTACGAATCTCAAATTGGGAAAAATAAATTGGAAACATTAATAGGCTGTTCAATTAAATATGTTTTCCAGATTCTTGAAACTATTATTTTCTCAAAAGTGGTGGATTCAATATTTGAACTCTTTTAATGAAAAAATTTCATTGCTAATATGACGTTTAAAAGTGCATAATCCCCGGCGCAAAGAATTTTGCAAATTCGCCTTAAATTTTTTAGGAAGAGGTAAAATATTTTAACTGTTCGAATGAAAACATTCAATAAAATTTTTAACTTTTTTTAAAATACAACTTACCTGATCCCAATTGTTGAGCGTCAAAAAAGTTACGGTAGCCTTTGCCATTTCACTTGCAGATGTTAGTGCAACTGAGCCAAGCGTTGGAAATTGGGATCGATCTGATAATGCATCGTCACCAGACATGTGAGCAATGATTGGCACATTCCAACGTGGAGCGAGTTTTCCAATAACCAGAATCTCTGAAATAATTCAATTTAAATTTTTTTATGTATAAATACACTATGATTAATAGCGTACCATTATTACAGCCGGGTCCAAAGTATACGGTAGCATTTTTGATGTAATGTAGAAATGCGGCATGTTCAACTCCGGAGAATTTGTTGCAACTTTCCATTGTGTAAATTCTGCAAAACATAGATAACTTAATGTACTTTAAGCTTGAAATTCCTACTGAAGGCTGTAATTTTTTGGAAGAATATTTCGGGTTTTCAGATCTTGAGCGCACATCTTCAAAACATCAGGTTCATGAGCAATCATCGGATCGGATGGGTGAAGGTGACCAATTCGCACAACTCCTTCGGCTAAAATTTGAATAAAGTTGAACATTGTTGAATAGATAGTTTGTCTTACTGCTTGTTGTCGGAGAATGGAGTGACATCTCTTCATGGCTGATCTTGTTAATGCCACGCCTGGCTTCAACAATAAGAAAGCCTAACAGTATGAAATAGAGAGACATTATAGCATTCTCCAATGTAAATACTCGATTCGTGGTAGGTGTGTGTGATTGCGATGAAGCTGATAGACGAATATGAGCGATTTACCAAGAGTGCAGCGATGCTCAACTAATTCGCTGTCTGGAGATGTCGGCCTACTCGTATAGATTGCGTTAAGAGCTTTTCATCAAACCGGAAGGACGAATCGGAAATGTGTGGATGCTTTCTAATGGATTCGACACCTTAGAACTTTGAGATCTCCATCAAATAAATACTATATGTCACGATTTTAGTTATATAAAATTAAAAAAAACGATAAAATTGCAGAAAATTAACACGAAAAATTGAGGAATTGAAACGTTTTAAGAACAATTTCTCTCACAAGAAAAATATGTAACCAGACATGGCAAAAAGTTGCAGCACGAACTAGGTTAAATGAAATTTTTCTAATCGAGAGACGTATCTTATTAAGTACAGTTATTCCTGATGTTTACAGTAATTCCTGATGTTTACAGTAATTCCTGATGACTACAGTAATTCTACAGTACAGTAATTTCTGATGACTCATATTTGCTATCCAAATTAGTATAGTCGATCGAACAATATTATCTAACGTCTGACTCATCGTTTCTAACAAATCATGGCCTGAGAATTTGGCGATTTTGTAATATGCTCTAATCACATTAGCATTTTCAAATATTAGGTGCTTCAAATTATTAATTTCCGTTTATCATTAAATATTTTATGGCATATTGAATTTAAGTAAAGCAAATACAGTAACGGAGAACAACCTCAAAAGTTAGGAAAATTACTCTCAGAGTGGAGTGTTCGTTTTTTGTTGCGCTTATACCAAATATTGTGCGATCCTCTTCTTTATCTACCGACTCCATGGCGAAGAAATCAACTGATCTAGCCAAAATCCAATGTTTCTTTTTTTAATTCGAAAAACTAATATCTGTATTTAAATCAGGAATCAAAACCTTTGAAAACTTTGAAAGCTTTTCCATTATTTTTTTTTGCAAAAACACGGAGTCAATGAAAATAAACAAATTACATTTTTTGATATACATTTCAAAAATCGTTATTGCATATGCATATAAATTCTAATAAAAAAAACACAACCTTCCGAAAAAGAAATAGCGCATCACTGGATAGTTACGACACGCGACAATAACTCCTATAATAATTTTATTACGTGCGAACGGCAAACCTTCTTGGGAACACATCCGTAAAATGTTTATTTGGTGGAATCGGCAGTGAGTCACATTGCAAGAAACTGTAAAGAGGGAGAGTAGCGATATACAACGACAGTTATTTATTCGTTATAGTCAGTTTGTAATTGGCGCCCGCGTGGCCTAAAGGAGAAGGCATCGGACTTCGAATCCGGGCATGCGGGTTCGAGTCCCGCCGTGGGTTATAGATTTTTGCAGAATAAGAATAATGAAGCTCTGACGCAAGGTCAGATTGACTAGACTTTCTGCTGTACAACGACAGTTATTTATTCGTTATAGTCAGTTTGTAATTGGCGCCCGCGTGGCCTAAAGGAGAAGGCATCGGACTTCGAATCCGGGCATGCGGGTTCGAGTCCCGCCGTGGGTTATAGATTTTTGCAAAATTAAAAAAGAATGAAGGGATTCGGTAGCCTCATGAAGAAAATAGTGGACTTCGTGTCCGGGTAGAAAAACTCATGTTTCTTAGTGAACTAATTAGCGGTCTATTTTCTGAGCCTTTAGGGTTTATTTTTGATTGGTTTATTCTTCAAACAACGAAACAAAACTTAAAAATTAAACGTTGAGGAAAAATCAAAATAAGCCAGTCATACAAAATGTGAGAAGGTTAAAGTAAATATTGGCAATTGTGTCCAGATAATACATAAAACGCTCAGTTATCTCATTTTCTATGGATATTATGAGAAATATTTGGTAAACGTGAAACTCATGTTGAATAATGGAATTTATACCACGTTTTAGGATTTTGTAAACCCATCCGCTTCAGTGCTCGCAAGTGTGGAGAATTGGATGCTCCTCGTTGATCATAAAGGCGAGACGGTCGACAGCGAATGCAAGAAGGATAATCTCGTCTTCGAGATTGATGATGTGCTCCTATAATCAATTAGTATTTTTATTTACGCCTATGGTATAAATGTTCAAACAGCTCACCTCAATAGCCGGGTTTTCGTTCATTATGTAGTCGTCAATGTCGGCGAGCAACATTTCTGTCCATGCTGCAACGCGATCAATCATCTGGTTCACCGAGAGCTGCTCCTCCGTTAAAAAATTTGGCACAAGTGTGGCCTTGTAAGCCATTAGACGATCGAAGTCCAAAGAACGAATACGATAGTGCTCCTCAAACCAAGACCATTATGAAGAACTGGAATAAAAATTCTTACAGCATGTTCCAGATTATCGATGCGACGAATGATGTGGCAGATTGGAGTGTCCGGTAGCTCCATAGTAGAATGCGAACTCTTCAAGCGTTCGGAAATGGAATAATAGAAGAGGGCGGAACTGGCGGTAAGCAGTAAGAGAAAATATGATGAATGATGGGAGGGCGCGGTCGCCAAAAAGGGCGTCGTAAAAGTGCAATGTATGACACACAAGAGTCGGCAAATTCAAAGAATTGTTATATGACTTGAGCGCGGTGAGCCTTTCTGAGAACACACACGTAAACACGTGATTTGAATCGAAAGTGCATCCCTCGTCTGCATTTTCTCGTGAACATGAAAGATAGGGAAAATCTTGTGGGCTACAATATCTAGTCACAGTTTTTTTTTGCAAAAATCTAGAAGAACGGTTGGACTCGAACCCGCATCCCAAGGTTCGAAGACGAATGCCTCTCATGTTTTCTTTATATGGATGGCAACGTTGAGCAACAAGTAGTTGCTAAATTGTAGGTAAAATTAATTTATGGATATAATGAAAACTATTGAGAGTATCGAGAATTTTAAAACTATTTTTCAGCATCTTTAGCAGATCCTTAATTTTTCGCTTTTTTGCCTTTTATCTAAAACCACAACTTTTTGCAACTATCAAAAAAATATTTAGAGGATATTTATAATATTCATTACAATAAATTATTTTGAAAATAAACATTTTAAATTATTCTGGTGATACATGAACTTTCAAATGAGCATTTCAATTTCACCCATTTCGACATGTTCTCCGTTTTCGAAAGTAACGACTTCTCCACGTGGCTTTGCTGTCTCCAACTAAAAGAAATAATAAATATCGACACATTTCATTAGAAATTTACCTGATAATTTTCATTAAGAAATATCTTGAAAACTGCAATTGTCAATTGCGATGCCACCGTTTCATCCTGATCGATCACGAAGGACAAAAGCTGAAGACCATCTGTAAAAACACAGATGTATATTCAATTTTGTTTAAAATCCACATACCAGCGCGCAGGTAATTTTTAAATTCGGTGATCTTCTCTGAGCTAACTTCACTGTCGAACTAAACAAAAAAATTAATTGAGGATATCAAGATGACTTTTTACCGATCTGACATACACCTCCATGTTGTAATGATTACCAATATGCAATGTTGCACAGCTAAGGTCGCAGAGTGTGAAGAAAATATCGAAAATCAGCCAAACCCTAAATTGAAATCAAAGTAATTCGTTTTGCAAAATACCGTTTACAAAATCAATTTGAAAATTGAGTCATCGAAATTGTTTATCGCTAGAAAGCAATAGATCGGACGAATGGCTGGCTGCATAGTTCCCGGAATTTGAAAACGACATCTGATACTGCGCAAGTGAAGCAATGTGTGATTCATTTGCACTGGTGACACCAAATTGATGACACTCTGAATTTTACAAACTAGAGGTTTGCTTCATTAATTCAATTATTACTTCAACACTATCCATTATGTTATATTCAGTGGAGAGCATAAAGGCAACAACGAAGAATTGAAAGAAGGCCATGAGAAGATTCGACATTTTGAACAGAAAATAGGCAATGATCAAGCTGAAAATATTTTAGATCATTGAATATTGAAACAAATATTTACCTGTTTCGGTTTTTAGGTTTTTGAGAATGCAGACAATCCACAAATTGATTGGCCATTTCCTCAATTTTTGTCGTATTTTCGTCATCGGGAAGAGACTTAGCTTTTCTGGCGTCCGAGCAAAACTTTTTCGGTGAAAGAGCTGAAATTTGAAATGCGGGCATTGGTATTATAGAAAAATACTTACGAAGATACCGCTGAGCAATTTGCCAACAGACTCTCGGCGTGATAATGAAAACAATTTGAATTGCAATGAACATCGGCACCCAATATAAGCGCTTCTTGTCAATGTCATACTCGGTGAGATATTGGTGAGGAACTATTTTTGGATAGTAGCAGAAGAAAACATTTACCAGACCCTCGAGATCACAGTAAATTGGATTGGCGTGAATGAGCTTGTCAATTGCAAAATAAAGGCACAACAGCAAGAAGAATGGAGTAACCGTCCAATTAGTCAAATCGATCAAGCTTTCGATGATTGTGAAGGGGAGAATTTTCTGGATGGTCGAGATCACAGACATCTAAAAAAAATGTCTTATCCGAAAGGCAGTTAGAAAAATTCGCGGACTATTCGAAATAATTTACAATACATTTTGAGTTCAACATGGTCAATTTCAATGGACAAATAATCAACAAACATTTGTAAAAATTTTTCGAAAAGCCCATAAACTATTTAGAAACACATAAAATGGTCGCGAAAAATGAGACGCTCGCCACTGGTCTGTCGATAATGAAAAAAATTGTCGAAATGCTAGAGACAAGCTAGCACATTGATTAGAAAAAAACATTCGTTACAAGACCGATTTTATATATGACTCATATTTTCGCGGCAGTTTAAATTGTATTTGATTGCACTATTATTACAAAATAGCAATATCGTACAGAACAATTAAACATGTATTCCACTGTTTATCAACAGGAGGTGGGAAAAAGTTGAGATGCAGCGGAATTCAAAAAAATATGACCCATGGATTGACATTTTGCTTATTTATTTGATTTCTTATCCAGTTTCAACAATATTCTTATAATTTTAGAAGTTACCGCAGCCTTTAATTGAAGAAATTAGAAAAACCGAAAAATTCTTAACAGCCGGCGACTGAAAAAAAACTAAAATAAGAGAAAAATTGAGAAAAATTCAATGGTTTTCGTTGAACAAAATATCGTTGTTGACTTAGCATGATCAGAAAACCATTGTTTTAACTTATAGAACATTATTTTATCAAATATAAAGTTTGGATCATCTTGAATTTCTGAAACGCCTTAGCATTTCGTTACAAAATAATATAATTATTACCGTAATCTCTATATGCCAACTTTTTTCTGGTGTTTTAAGATGCTTGTGATTTGGAACATCCGGAAAAGTATCGGCGTGTAACATAATTCGTAATCGTCATGGCCTAAACATGACATTCAATTTGATTCTCACTGAAGATTACTGAAATGATATTTAATTTAAACGCATTGTGGTGTTTCTGAATACTTTTTGCGACTGGCTAGGTCGTTGAGAACCCGCCCAAAAGAGAAAAAAAACCTCAATCTGCGTGAGACGGTGTACCGATTAGCCTGACTCGGCCCAAAAAAGGACCGAGTCAGTTGATCTCCTTCGCCACGTAGAGGCTCGGTACCTGAAGGAGAGGCTCACCAGCATCAGGCCGAAACCTAATGTGGGTCATCGCCGATCCCACCATGGGGATCACACAAGGACATCCCACAACTATCATCCGAGGATAATAGAAGTAGAAGTGGTTGTGCAAGCCACGTCTGGCTGGGCCCCGGGTCTACTGGTGATATGGTAATTTGGTTTGTCTTCTCAGCACAGCAGCTTACTACAAAGTAGTAGCAAGCCACTACAATGTAGCAAGCTACTATGCCAAGAAGCACGGTCCATGTGCACCCGAAAGGCTGGACATATTGACATAGCTGGCCAAACCACGTCAATATAGGTCAGGTCCAGATGACATCCTAACTAGTATGGAGGACACCCGGTGAAGCAAATTTCTAAAGCATAACCATCCATAACGCCAACTAGTACTCGAAAGTACTTGAAACGGGCGTTTGGGTAGGGTTCGATTCCCGGCTACGGAATCAGGGCTGAAGGGCTTGCCAGGCCAATCACCCGAATTTAGGATACAGCGGATAAGCCGCCATCCAGCCAACGCCTCGGCACTACAGGGGATGGGAAGCCTCGGCGCTATTGGGGATTTGCCGACTACGGCCTAAAGAATGCCGACTACGGCCTAAAGAATGCCGACTACGGCCTAAAGATTGCCGACTACGGCGGATTAAGTAGGCTAGGGTCACTTAGGATGTTAGATTCTAAGTCTTAGTGGTGTGATATACCTAGTTGCGGTATCCTTCCATCGGCGGAAGCAGCAGTGTAATACCTAAAAAAACATACGCACACAGATCTGAAAAACAATTAAAATTCTGAAAAAAATAGATCTGAAAAAAAAAGAACTGAAAAAAAATTAAAAAGTAATACGAAAGGGGAAGCCAGTCATTAGTGGAACGACTGGCATAGCCGTAAGTGGTACGACTTTCCCCTAAAAAAAAGAAGAGATGGTTGGTCCCGAACGGTAGGACCGAGAGAAAGAGATGGAGAATCCCAAGTGGTGGGATATAGAAAGGGGAGCCGCAAGTGATACGGCAGGAAGAATAGGGAATCAGTCGACTGATGGAGAGAAGGGACAGCCGCAAGTGGTACGGCTGGTGGCAAGAAAAGGATAGGGAAGCCGGCATTCCCAGAAAAAGAAGAAGAGATGGTCCCAAACGGTAGGACCGGAAGGAAGTACAGACGTAAGTGGTACGAATGTACGGAGAGAAAAGGGTATCCCAAGTGGTGGGATATAGAAGAGAAAGTCGTAAGTGGTACGACTGGGGAAAGTGAAAAATAATAAGAAAAATAAAAACAAAAAAGTAAAAAAAAATAAATAAAATTTACCAAAAATACCAAATACCCCACGTTTTTGCCTTTTCTTGTCGCTCCTTTGAAACATCGCTTCGATTAGATTCCTTTGATTCAAAATTCCTGCAATGATTCGAGTTATTCTGATAGATGATGACTCCTTCCTTACCATTAGATTTCGCTTCCTCGCTCTACTCGATGCCTCGGGCAGCATCGACCTTTCGCCATTTCTCTTTCTTACTCATCTTCACGTGACATGTCTACTCATGAATATGGGTTTAACGTCAGCCTGGACGCGGCACTGCAGTAGGGTTAGTACTGGCTGACGGAGCCGCACCAGTCGAGAATCCCCGACACTTTCAACAAATCACATCCGAAGAGCTCGAATGAGAAACGACTTGTGGCTCATCGGATCTGTAATTCGAGGAGTTAAGAAAAAGGATTGCGATGAATTTTGACATACCGAGTGAATCCTTGACCACGACGAACCCGCAGGATAGGCGGGTAACGGCTAGCCCATAGAATATGCGTACCACGACGAGGAGCCCACAGGTTATGCGGGGCACGACGGGTCCGCATGATATGCGGGGCACGACGCGGAGCCCGCAGGTTATGCGGGGCACGACGCGGAGCCCGCAGGTTATGCAGGGCACGACGCGGAGCCCGCAGGTTATGCGGGGCACGACGACCCCGCATGATATATAGGCTGCTCGCAACTCGAGGAGCTGCGAGAATGACCAAATTGCAATTTCGCCGGCTATTTATAGTGCCACTGGAGTCGGTGCAAAACTTGCAATGGAGTGCATTTGTCCTACCGAACTGCAAATCTACGCCAAGTCATCGCAGGTTCTCTTGGGTTAGCACACTCTCTTATCACAGACAGTGACGCGCTTTCCCGATCGACGCTGTTTTACGGTAGCGCGTTTGCTATTAGAGCGGACTTGCATTGTGAATTTATAGTTCGATCTTGAAGAGATTGGTAAAAACCTCCGCTTTCTTGTTTTGAAATTGTTGAATCTCCAAAAAAAACTTTCTCGTATTATTTTGAAATCGTAAGCAGAGTATAAAATAGTATATAGAGAAGAAGGTGTTTTAATAGGTCGAATTATATTTCAAATAGTTTTTTTTTTTAAATCAATATTCTTCTTTAGAATTAGTTTAGAATTTGCTTGAAATTTTTTTCATCATTTTTCCATCTCTGTTTGGCCGTTTTTCTTCAAATTTATTCTACCACGATTTCTTGTGAGCAAAACAATTTGCTCTTGGTCACGATTTCTGCATCTCTTAATATTTCTCACTGTAATTGGCTTGGGATACACTTTCAATATTTTTCATTTGAATATCATAATATCATTTAATTGCAATAGGAGATTGGCACAAATTATTGGTCATCTCGTACATGAAAAAAATGCTTAAGGTTAGTTTCGTCTCAATAAAGAAGAAAAATAATGGGATCATTTCAGAATGAAAATCTCAATGCAACTATCAAGAAATATCAGGATCTTTGTTCCCTATTTGGAATATTGTAATACGATGCAAAAATACAGAACCACAAGCTTTTACGGAGAGAAAAGAACAGAAAATTTTATATACATACTGTATCATCCTCTCTGTTTATGTATTTCTTCATATTATATATTATACAAAATAAAAATTTTGAAAATCGAAATAATTTTGTTTCGTTAAAAGTTATATTCGAACGAAGAAGTATTCTTGTCCTTCTGCGCTGATCATATTGTTAACCATTCACATGATACTCGCAACTATGATCACTGTTGGCTTTCGGCGACTGGACCGTATTCGCAAAAGACCCCAAAATGAGAGGGAGATGCTCCGAACGTCGACTATAAAAACGGAGCTTTAATGGTTGTTTTTTGTTGTTTCTGTTGTCGACCTTTCTGATCTGATTTGTTGATATTGTTAACGATTCACGCCTCCAATTCGATAAGAGAGTTCACGCATTTAAATGGGTATTCAGCAGTAGACAGATCGATCGAATCATGAAAGATGTAGAATCGACGACGGAGGACACCAGTCTCGGGATTTTCGGTACCGATCAAATTTTTTATTACTTAAACAATGATTTTTTATTTTTATTTTTTTTATTATTCACTTGCGACAGTCGTATCACTTCATTTAATATTATCTTCGAGATCTTTATAAACTCAAAACATGCGGAAATAAAAGGCAGGGCGGACGATGCAGCAAAAAATTATCTTTCCAGTGCTCTCAGAAGCTTGTGGTCCTTTTTCATGCATCGTTCGCTGATTAAAATATTCCAAATATGCAACAAAAATCCTGATATTTTGGATTGATGCATAGGGAATTGCATTCTGAAATATTCATCACTTTGTAGTTATTATTACTAAAACAGTAGAAACTAACTTTTGGGTTTTTTTTTTCAAATGATCAGTTGTCCTTCAAAGTGTGAGATAACCAATAATTGTGGCAATCTCCAATTGCGACTGACGCAAAAACTGAAAAGTTCAGTTAAATGTAGATACTAATTTTAGGAATTACCTTTGATCTGTAAAAAATAATGTTAGATTTAGACATAAGAGCCTAACTAAAAAAATGGAATAATACTATTCCTACCCTATAGTGGGAACGATGTTTCCAATGTTGTTTGAAAACTTGAGACAAAAGCCATGGTTTGCGATTACCAAAGACGGTTGTCTCATAATTTTCTCATAATAAAGCATTTTATGTTCTGGAATTTTCATTTTTTTCAGATATTCTTTAAATCATTACCTTCAACTTTAAATTAGACTATTTCAGTCTTAACTTAATAGTCTATCTAACAGAATAATACAATTCCAAACCAATACTGGGAGCAATGTTTCCTATATGATAAAAATGCGTTCCGACATTTGATTAATTATACGAAGTTGTTAAACTCCTCTTTTGTGAATCCACATGCATGTGAGAATATTGCAATTATATTGCATGAATACTGAGCATCTATCATTTAACAGTAAAATGAAATAGAATTCTATGTATACAATAGTAGTATTTTTCTAAAAACAGTCAATCAAAAATTAAATTTTCGACAATTTCTATAATATAAAAATGAATATGATATAGACTAACATCAGAATTGAGCATGGCAAAATATTGTAGAGAGAACGTGCTAGAGAAATCGTAAAAATTAGACATTTATAAAAAATGTACAAGACGACATGTGTTCGTGCATTTTTGCCGTAAAGAAAAGGGGAGCAAAATAATACAAAAAGTTAAAAATATAAGAAGAAAAATTTTCAAGCTTTTCATCGGTAACTGAACGGATAATAATTTTTTAAATGTTGCCTTTTGGAATAAAACTGGAAATATATGCACATCAAAAATCATATTTCTACAATTTACTTCAACCATTTTATGTAGTGAAAACAAATTCTGCAACGTTCTTTGCTTCAAATACAATTTAAACTCAAATACAATTTAAATCAAATACAATTTAAACTGCCGCGAAAATATGAGTCATATATAAAATCGGTCTTGTAACGAATGTTTTTTTCTAATCAATGAGCTAGCTTGTCTCTAGCATTTCGACAATTTTTTTCATTATCGACAGACCAGTGGCGAGCGTCTCATTTTTCTCGACCATTTTATGTGTTTCTAAATAGTTTATGGGCTTTTCGAAAAATTTTTACAAATGTTTGTTGATTATTTGTCCATTGAAATTGACCATGTTGAACTAAAAATGTATTGTAAATTATTTCGAATAGTCCGCGAATTTTTCTATCTGCCTTTTGGATAAGACATTTTTTTTAGATGTCTGTGATCTCGACCATCCAGAAAATTCTCCCCTTCACAATCATCGAAAGCTTGATCGATTTGACTAATTGGACGGTTACTCCATTCTTCTTGCTGTTGTGCCTTTATTTTGCAATTGACAAGCTCATTCACGCCAATCCGATTTACTGTGATCTCGAAGGTCTGGTAAATGTTTTCTTCTGCTACTATCCAAAAATAGTTCCTCACCAATAAGAAGCGCTTATACTGGGTGCCGATGTTCATTGCTATTCAAATTGTTTTCATTATCACGCCGAGAGTCTGTTGGCAAATTGCTCAGCGGTATCTTCGTAAGTATTTTTCTATAATACCAAAATCCGCATTTCAAATTTCAGATCTTTCACCGAAAACGTTTTTTTTGGATGTCTGACGCAGGTTGAGGATTTTTATTCTCTTCTGAGCGGCTTCTCTACGACCTAGCAAGTCGCAAAAAGTATTCGGAGACACCACAATGCGTTTAAATGAAATATCAGTTTTGCAATCTTCTGCGAGAATCAAATTGAGAGTCGTGTTTGGACCATAATTACCGTCGAAACGCATTTTTACATTTTATACAATTCTTACAGTTTTTGGCATTTAAAAAAAAATGATAGACAAATTGAATCCATTTCCAAATTTATAACAAATGCAATGTCCCTGCATAGTCCAGTAGAGCGCATATTTCTTCACATGACGGGTTTATGTGACATTTTTCAATGGTCCCAAAATGCAATTTGTTTATTTATAAATAAAATAATTTTCTCGTGTTTTGAAAATTGCTTTTATAACAATGTTGATGGTTTCAGTTTCAAATCCTCGCTTTAGTATTTAAATTGGATATATCGCGACCTCCTTGCATCCTCTAGTAGAGACAGTTTTTTTTATGTGTGTGCGTTTGTGTGTTGACCTCCATCCACCGAATTAATCATCGACAAATTGTTCTCGCGCTCCGCTTTCATGCACACTCTTTTCTCGACCTCGTAGTTGTCTGCGCCTCTTTTGAGATAAACGTTGTGCACCGATGACAGTTTCATTTCGGTGTAGCCGACGCCGCCATTCAATTTTTCTGTTCAAGAGCTGAACAATGTAGCCGCGATTTTCAATCAAGATAAATCGTATTGAGAAAGATACAGCTTATCTTGATCGGCCTTCGCGACCTTGGCACACTCTATTCTCAACCAACTCTTTCATTTCTTACTCTATCATTTTTCTTGTGTGTAACCTAATCTACTCATTCTGGTTTACAGGAATGTCGTTCGATTTTCTTCTTCGTGAACTTCCAATCGGTGACAAGTCGTACAGATATTACGATCTTCGAGCTCTCAATGACCCAAGATACGGTAATGATCAATAAAATGTAATTAAATTATACTAATTTACTTTTTCAGCTGAACTCCCTGTGAGCATCAAGTATCTTCTTGAGGCCGCCATCCGCCACTGCGACGATTTTCACGTATTGACGAAAGATGTCGAAACAATCCTGGACTGGAAAAACTCTCAGCGCGTCCAAGCTGAAATTCCATTCAAGCCGGCACGTGTGATTCTTCAGGACTTCACGTAAAAAAACTTGAACGACTTTTTTAACGATAAAAACGTTCTGAAAATTTCAGCGGTGTTCCAGCAGTTGTCGATTTAGCTGCAATGCGCGATGCTGTGCAGAACATGGGAGCGGACCCAGCGAAAATCAATCCAGTTTGCCCCGTCGATTTGGTCATTGATCATTCTGTTCAAGTCGACCATTATGGAAAGTACGCGTCTCTATCATCTTCTAAAAACACAATTTCCATTATATAATGATTATTTTAGCCTTGAAGCTCTCAGCAAGAATCAGCAAATCGAGTTCGAGAGAAACAAGGAGCGTTTCAACTTTTTGAAGGTATGCATCCTTTAATGAACCCTTCAAAAAAATTGTATTGAAATCATCACGATTGCAACGTTTCGACTTCTCACGACATTTTTGATAACGAACACGCTATATCGTTTTCGGTGATAAGAGTGCAAAGAACTAATGCTTTCAGTGGGGTTCGAAAGCTTTCGACAATTTGCTGATCGTTCCACCGGGATCCGGAATTGTTCACCAAGTCAACTTAGAGTACTTGGCTAGAACTGTCTTCGCCGATAAGGTTTTTTTTGAATGAAATTGCATAAGCTAGTTAATTATTAATTTAGAATGGAGTACTATACCCTGATTCGGTTGTTGGTACTGATTCTCACACCACTATGATCGATGGATGTGGAGTTCTCGGATGGGGAGTTGGTGGAATCGAAGCAGAAGCCGTCATGCTCGGACAGCCAATTTCTATGGTCATTCCAGAAGTAATTGGTTACGAGTTGGTGGGAACTTTAAGCGACACTGTTACGAGTACTGATCTCGTTCTTACTATTACCAAGGTAACTAGATAATCTAAAACTAGTGAGGGTTATATTACGAGAAAATGGTTTAGAATCTTCGTGACCTTGGAGTTGTTGGAAAGTTTGTCGAGTTCTTCGGAACTGGAGTTGCTTCCCTCTCGATTGCCGATCGTGCCACGATTGCCAACATGTGCCCCGAATATGGAGCCACTATTGGATTCTTCCCAGTCGATCAGCGCACAATTGAGTAAGGATACTGGATAACAAATATTTGAAATTCATTCAACCTTTTAGCTACCTTGTTCAAACTGGTCGTGATGAAGAGTATATCAAACGGGTTCACTGCTATCTCAGAAACACTGGACTTTTCGTCGACTACACTGATGGATCATATCGTCCATCATACACAAACGTGTTGAAGCTTGATCTGGCCACAGTTGTCCCAAGTGTTTCTGGACCAAAGCGCCCACATGATCGGGTCGAGCTCGCTTCTCTTCATGAAGACTTCAAGAAAGGCCTAACTGACAAGATCTCGTTCAAGGGATTCGGTTTGAAACCAGAGGAAGCCTCGAAGACTGTTAGCGTCACTAATCACGGAAGAACCGCGCAGCTAGGACATGGGTTAGTTAGTAAGCAAAATATCTAGAACTAATTATTTCGTTAAGATCCGTTGTCATTGCCGCAATCACATCATGCACGAACACCAGCAACCCGAGTGTTATGCTAGCTGCTGGACTGGTTGCCAAAAAGGCCGTCGAACTTGGCTTGAATGTTCAGCCGTACGTCAAGACGTCGCTATCACCCGGATCTGGAGTTGTTACAAAGTATTTGGAAGCGTCCGGACTCTTGCCATACCTCGAGAAAATTGGATTCAACATTGCTGGATACGGTTGCATGACCTGCATTGGAAACTCTGGACCACTTGATGACCCAGTTTCAAAAGCGATCGAAGAGGTAACAGTATTATTTTTCAACCAATATATTAAATTTCTATAATTACAGAACAACTTTGTTGTTGCTGGAGTTCTTTCTGGAAATCGTAATTTCGAAGGACGTATCCATCCATTGGTGCGCGCTAATTATTTGGCTTCTCCGCCACTTGCTGTGCTCTACTCGATAATTGGCAATGTCAACGTTGACATTAACGGAGTCCTTGGTAAATGGTCATTCATAAATTGTTATCATATTTTTTTTTCTGCAGCCACCACTCCTGACGGAAAGCAAATTTTCTTGAAGGACATCTGGCCCACTCGTCAAGAAGTCGCCAAGTTTGAGGAAGAATTCGTTAAGCCGCAATTCTTCCGCGAGGTTTATGCCAACATCGAACTTGGATCCACACAATGGCAAGAATTGAAATGCCCAGAGGTCAAACTCTATCCATGGGATTCCGAGAGCACCTACATCAAAAAGGTTCCATTCTTTGATGGAATGACCAGCGAGCTTCCAGCTCAAGGCGACATCAAAAATGCTCACGTTCTGCTCAATCTTGGAGATTCGGTGACAACTGATCACATCTCTCCGGCAGGATCGATTGCTAAGGTAATTTTCAAAAAAAAACGAAGACATTTTAAGCGGACTGAATGAACACAAAACTTTTAGACATCCCCAGCTGCTCGCTTCCTTGCTAGCCGCGGAGTTGCTCCGAAGGACTTCAACACCTACGGAGCTCGTCGTGGAAACGATGAAGTTATGGCTCGCGGAACGTTCGCCAACATCCGATTGGTTAACAAATTGGCGTCAAAAGTTGGACCAATCACCACTCATGTTCCAACTGGAGAAGAGCTTGATGTCTTCGACGCTGCTCAGAAATACCGCGACGCCGGAATTCCAGTCATCATTCTTGCCGGAAAAGAATACGGATGCGGATCTTCTCGCGATTGGGCTGCTAAGGGACCACTTCTTCAAGGAGTCAAGGCGGTAAGCTCTTTATAAAAACTGAATAGAGAATAGAGATTGTGATGTAATTCAGGTTATTGCTGAAAGCTTTGAGAGAATCCACAGATCAAACTTGATCGGAATGGGAATCGTCCCGCTTCAATACAAGGACGGTGAGAACACCGAGAGTCTTGGACTCAGTGGAAAGGAAACCTTCAAGTAACACAATTTTTTGATTTTCAAATTAAAACAAATTTTTATTTCAGTATCGCCATTCCAAGCAACTTGAAGCCGGGACAACTTCTTGATGTTATCGCTTCAACTGGAAAGGTGTTCCAGGTGAAATTCACAAATTCGAACTTCAAGATTATATTAATCCAATTTAAATTTTAGGTTGTCTGCCGCTTTGATACCGAGGTCGAGATAACTTATTATAGAAACGGAGGAATTCTTCAGTACATGATTCGCAAACTTATTCAATAACTGCATTTTAGAATAAATTTCTAGACGTTATAGCTGTGATAACGATTGTGATTGTTATTAAACTCAAATAAATATATGGCTATTGGACACATTTAAAGTATTTTTGAGATTTTACAGACTTAATATCGGAAGTTGAACAATGCGTTGGCCTAAGCGGCGTTTATTTTTCGAGGCGGATCACGTGAGTTGAGAACTGGATTCGGAAACTTATAAAAACACCGCTGTGTAAGCATTGCATGACGAATTTAAGATATGCTACATTTGTTTTCAAAGTTTTTCATATAGATCCAGAAAGTTTAAATCTGCAATCTACTTGGCTCTTAAAGTGCTTATTCGATGTTTGATTGATAATATTTTATGACCCCTAGTTTACGATTGTTATTTTAGCGTTATCAGTTACAAACCGTGGCTGAGAGTCTACGTGCAAACATTTAAAGAATCCTAAGCTTCTGTACTTTTCTCTGTTCGACATGTGCGTTTGATTTTCAAATCAAAGTATAAATAAAATTTTTAAACAACAAACTTTCTCTTTTTATCAACTTATCTCTTTAATACTTTATTTTGTTTTTCACACCTTTGAATCAACCCTATATGTACGTGTACATAAGAGTAACAAATTTTTGCGCCCTTGGCGCTGCTGCCAATTGTTGAAGTGCAAGGGTGTCGATCGGTTTGAGAAATCGCCGAAAATTTGTCAAAGTCACGCAATGTTTCGCGCCTATTATTTCAAACAGCGAGTGTGTATTTATAAGCGATGAAAGCCATTATCGACGTGAGTTGTTGTCCTCTTCCAAAAACATTTGTAAACGTTTGGTAGTGAATTTAATTGCGTCAAAGCAACACCACAATTCAACACCATATAGAGACGTGTGCATTTAATCAGAAATACATGTTAAAGACGCAAGTGCAATTATTGCCGTAGTGTTGACCGCCTAATTTACTATACTTTCTGATTCTGAACTTTTTCAATTTTGATAATCGCATGAAATTATTTCAACTTGTTGATAATATTTTTTGAAGCACAAATGTCAATTAAATAAAAAAACAACAGCATTATTGATTCTCTGATTTGCAACGGCGAGTTGTTAATCTAATTATAAATCGTCATGACATAACTTCTGCGATACACTGTGTTTCATTAATATTGATTGGTTTATAAAAGTTTCCAAATTAGGTTATATTATTATTATTCATGTACTGTAAATTGGCTGAACTTTTGATGTTTCGCTATATTCTTTCGTTTGCCTTTGGTTCAGAAGCAAGGCATGGGTGTAGGCGGAGCTTATACAAGATGGGGGGATGGACGCGGATTGATAAAAATTATGTTTAAAAGCGTTATCGATGACCGTTCTTTTATTAAAAAAAAATTTTGCACATCCCATGATTTTGAATAAACATCTCGATGTCAACGACATTGAGCAATTTCTTCAATTGTTTAGCGTCAAAAATCATAAAACCGAATAGTTGGGAAATGAATGAACAATAACATTAAATTTGATGTTCTTCCGTGCATGTCGAAACTATTGCTTTTTGCACTCTCCGCCCCTCCCTCTCTTCGCTTTCTTTCAATTTTTGTTTGTTTCGAATTTCGCTCGTCAATGTTTTTTGGTTATATACATGTATACATATTATTTTGTAAATATTTCAGACAAAATCACCGAAAACCGGAACACACTCATCAAGTTTCTTAGTAAGTTGCCAGGTATGTTTGAAGATTTACATACTAAATTGAGAAAATAGATTTATTTTATGATGAAGCAATTACACGCGGAACTATTTCGTTTCTAATTATTAACTAAAAAAATAAATAAAGGCTATTATGGACCATAGAGAATTTACGCAAAAAAGGAGATTTCAACAAATTCGACCGGCTTAACTAAGAGCAGGGAAGAAGCCTCTTTCCAATAAATCGGATCCTTCTCGGTTTTTTCTCGAATTTCCATTCAGTGGGTTTTCACTTCGCTTTAGGATCTAATGTAGAAAATTGTGTGCGCGTGAAATTCACCTCTAGTAAAGACTAAACTAGAGACATTTTCCGAGTTATATATAGCTGACTTACTTCGCTTCCTCATCAGTATCGATTAATCGCCGTTAACTCATATGTCAAGAGTTTATAATGGTGCAGACATAATGGTTTCAATCTGTGATCACCATTGTCAATTTTCATTTCTAAAATGAATAATATGCCCTCAAGCAATGAATTAATTGCCATTTGGTTCCTGGTTTTCTTTTCTATGCGGTTAAACAAACATTATCACAATTGATGATTAATTATATGAGGCAAAACTCTCACATTCGCTTCACTTGACAAATTATTCATGCCTCTGTTAAACAAACAAAAGTAGTGGTAAGATGAATTCTCATTTCTTAAAGTTTACTCGTTGATTTTATCTTAAATAGATAGGAGACGGTTTTCTAGAATGCTATGAACCTATACTAAGAGATGACATTGAATGTTTTTTTGGTTTGATTGATATATATTTTTTTTTACCTCTCCATGAAACATGGTTTGAGGTTTCAAGGAAACATTCGGGAATTGTCACATTATCTAGTGTCCGAAGAGGTAATGTTACGCTTGCTGTCAGTTGGCCATCAAGTCGAAACAAGCCCGATTTGTCGTCTAGGCTCTCACCGTTCCGCTTATTATTTTCTGTCAATTTCGCTTCATTTGAATTTGTTTCAACGCCAATAACTTTTCTTTTGTTTTTTGTTTATAAAATGCCTGCGTTCAAACATTCTTCGCGAGAATCAAAAAGAAATGCATTAAAATTGAAACTTGTCAAAATTTTTTGTCTCAATTTCATGATTATGATTGATTGATTACGATGAAAAATTTGGAATTTTTGTCGCAATCACCTTCTCAATACAGAAAATTTCGTTTCACTTCGTTTAAAATCAGCTTTCCACAATTGTACATGAAAATTTAATCCTTGATAAAATATTGGTTGCCAAGCGCGTTTCATTTTGCCTTTTTTTATCAGCTATGTCATTCATTGCAGTATGAGCGAACGACTTGTAACCCTCAATGTTTACACTTATTTCGCTCGTGATTTTTGTTGTTTTTTTTTCAGTGCCAATTAGCGCCTTTGAGGAAGTGTATCTCCAAACGTTTTTTTTTACAAGTTTAAAGTCGTGAAGGCTAGTTATATTTTTCGTGTCGGGACAAGATTAGAATGTGACTCTATTTTCTCATTTTAAATTTTTCCGAACCACTTCTATTCTCTCAGAATACCCATTCATCACATAGATGAGCATTTGTTGTTTGCAAATCGTTCTTTTTGTTTCTTTTTCTGCCTGTTAGATTTTTTCAAAAAAATTCGCCCTTCATAGAGTGAATGCCAAAAAATTCTCTAATGATTTCCTTTGATAGATTACATCAGCGGGTTTCTAAATTCTTCTAAATTTCATTCAATCTTAATACATTATCTGAAACAAACTACAATACTGTTAGAAATGTCACGTGATTAATATAACAGTAAGTCAATTTTGTGATTGACAGCAGACACAAGAAAACATTAATAGCTTGACAAATTTATTTTTGGAATTTGTCTTTAGTCTTTCGTATCTCTTTCTGTTCACCAATCTGTTTAAGAATGAAAAATTAAAAAAAGCGAATTTGATTAATTTGATTGTTTTTCGAAGCTTCAAGCTCAAAAATTCCAGGAAATTTTCTCCGAAAACATTGTAAACACAATATTCTCTGTTTTCGTTTTTCCTTTTGCTGTGTCATTTGATCTACACTAAACAAGCTGATCGCTAAAAAATGTTTACTACTATCGATTGTGTGAAATAAATTAAAATTGAATATAACCAAAGAATTTCAATTTCATTATAATACATATATTTGAATGCTCGTTATATGTTTTTTTTTCTTCAAATATCCCTCTGATTTCAAAATAGAGAGGGAAGAAAACACATGACTCAGATTTTCGCCTTCGATTTTTATGTATTTCTCTCTTGATCGATTTTGACCACTGCTGAGCTTCGTCCACTCATTTGCTTATATATATTTCAAATTGCTAAGTATCTTTATTTTCCAATTTTGCCTATAATGAATTTCAAAAGAAATGATATATTCCAGGTGTTTTGTTATGTTCTGACCAACAATGAGCGAAAGTGTCTCCAACGAAAATGAGATCAAACCATTGGGAATTCCACCGATTCGTGTGAGTTTTCTAGTTGGCCACCAACACTTGGCAGTGTTTACTCAAGAGAAAACGATTCGCTTTCGCTAGTATTTTTATGCGTTGTGTTGTTTCAGAGTGACACTGAGCTGTTCCGTGCCGCATTGTACACTAATATGCCGCAAGAGAACCATCCGCTAATCTACTCGGACCCCGAGCTCACACTTTCAATGGAGTCACCCGAGCCGGTACGTTTATTTACTATCACAGCGTATAGGAAAGGGGGGGGGGAATCTTTCTTGAAGGTCCACGAGTAATTGAAAACATGTGTCCAGGGATACACATTTCAAAGATCGACAGATATATTGGCGTAAATTGTCAACAGCTAAAAATAAATTTGAAATTGAGTTGAATTGTTATCTGATATAAAAGATATTTAATAATGAATCATCAATTCATCTCCATTTTTTAAATTGAATTTTGATAAATTGAGTTGATCCAATGAGGGTGTATGAGGGCAAACGTAAAATTGAAAAAATAAATACATACGAAAGTAAAAAATGTGCACAATTTATTTTGTTCAGATTTATACTTCAAATTTTTTACTCTCAATTTGTTTATATGTCCATCATCGAAACACAAAACTATTTTCCCGGAGATCCATTGCTTTCTGTTTACCCGTTTATTTTTTCACGTGAAAATATGTTGCCGATCTCGTGTTGCTCATATCCTTCACGAAGAACACTCATTCAAAAAAATCGAAAAAAAGAACATCGAATTTGCATCACAATAAAATAACTTCCCAGCTTAATGGGACAGGCAGTTTTTCAATCCCGACTTTTTTTTGGAATTTGACTTTTCAAAATTAGAAGAGGTATGTTTGAACAAATTAAAACAAAGTCGTTAATCACAAACAAAATTTGATAATTCCATTTGACGGGTAAATAAATGTATGAATGTTTTCAGATCGTCTCAGAAGCGCCATCACCAGTTCCAGTTCTCGATTCGGGAACCGTTAGCTATGTACCAAGCAACGCATCAGTTGACGATAGCTCGAGACTCAATCCGTAAGATTGACATTCGATGTTACAAATAAACACGGCAAATAGTTAATATAAAAAGCCAAAGCGACAAATAAAATCGCTGTCTGATTTATTGATTTTAACAGTAAAAAAATACGAAAAATAATTTATTTGTATTCCAGATGGAGTTGCCTTATTGTATAGTTAATGCGAATTCCAGAACCTCTGCAAATCACGCAGCCCGTTTGAAGAGTGAAATGGAAATTCGCAACCAACACTATCAGAAACAGAAACAATATGCGCCAAAGGAGCCAAAAAAGTTGCTTACCGACATTGACTTTGAAGGTATTCAAAAATGTTTACATGTTTGCTTTAGAGTGATAGTATTTGCGATTGATAGAAGCTATTAATGTTTATTGTAGCCAAAAAGAATTCAATTTTTGATATTGCACTTGATGGTCCAGCATTTTTCATTTCTTCAGGAATTCTCAAAATTATTGGAGGATGCTCGTATTGGCAGATTATCATCTACTTGATGATTTCTGTGCAACAAGTGCCGCATGCGATGTTCAATCTATCAGTGGTTTATATGATGTACCAGCCAGATCATTGGTGCAAGGTAGAAAATAGGACGATTTATTGAATTCTATCAAATGCATTTTGAAGATTCCATTCTTCAACGAGGAGGCGTTTTCGGCGGAGACTGGCTTCACAAATTATACTTGGGATCAAGTCCTTGGCTCTCAGATTGCATACCCAAGGGTAATTACACATATCTCGCTATTCTTGAAAATGAGTCACACCAAAAATCATAGGTCTTCAATAAACAGCGAAATCATGAGCATCACGATCAATGTCACTATTATCAACGGGATTATGTGCACATTAAATTGTCGCCATGGTCAAAGGTAATACCGAAACGTTGATAAATTGAACCCAATTTTAATTTGTCGATACAGGTTAAAGATATTAACAGCTCCGGCTCGAAGGTGGTGAGATGCCAAGAGTGGGAGTATGACAAGTCGGTAATGCAAAAAACGGTGGTGACCGAGTGGAATCGAGTTTGCGATAACAATTGGAGTCGTGCTCACGTCCATATGAGCTATTCTCTCGGTTATCTAGTTGGCTGCTTTGTTGGTGGTTTTGTTAGTGACAGGTTTGATTTTTATTCGAATAATCATACAAAACGTTTTGTAGATATGGCCGTAAAACAGCGATTTACGGTTTTGGATGTCTCACTCTAATCTTCGGATTTCTATTAACTTATTCTAGAGAGTTTGAAATTTTCCTAGTTGTTAGGTTCTTGTTGGCAGCTTCAAATGAGGCTGCAGATTTGGCTGCATACGTTCTTTGTATGGAAATCACTGGTAAGAGCAAACAAGGCAAACCAGTAAATATTAAAAGCGTTTTTTAGGAGTCAAGTACCGTTCTTTGGTCGGCTCATTGATGCAAGCTCCTTGGGCTTGTGGTTACGCTTTTCTTGCTCTGATTGCATATATGACCAAATCATGGATTGCAATTCATGTAAGTAGCTATCATGGAAAAACATCATGAATTAAATCTAATATTTCTTGGAGATGATCACCGTCGGGCTTCACCTCATCGCTCTAATCCTAATTCATTTCCTTCCGGAGTCTCCGAGATGGCTAATTCTTAATAGTCGCGTCAAAGACGCGGAGAGAATTATTCGAAAAGCCTGCAGATACAACAATAGTCGACTTCCAAGTGATTTGGGAATTGTGAGAATTTCTGAAAAAAAAGGGAAAACGAAGCTCAATGTTCAGGTGCGTCACGCTGAAAAAAGAAAATGGATGAGACGAAATGAGAAGCCGTCATACTTTCACTTGTTTAGATCAAAGGAGCTCACGTTTAGAAATATTGTTCTCTTTATTATCTGGGTGGGTAAACGGCATTCCAGCTAGATTCGATGCGCCCACATTTTCAGACGGCTACAGCTCTAGTTTACTATGGTATCGTTATTGCCTTGTCTGATCAGTCATCCCCAGGAAGGTTTAAAAAGACCGGTTATTTGGCCATCAATATCCACAATTAATTCTCAGGCGCGTATTCGACGGAAACTTTTTCCTGAACAATGCAATAGCGGGTGCCATTGAACTTCCGACACTTCTTCTATGTGTGTTCCTTTTAAAAATGGGAAGAAAACGTTCTCAAATGCTCGTCCTTTTTGGTTCTGGAATTCTTCTTTTAACTTCGGTTCTTATGGTTTACTCAGAAAGGACAATGGTGAAAAAAATTTTATTCGATTTTTCCTTGCAAAAAAAAATTCAGATGTCTCTGGTATTCATGCTTCTAGCAAAAGCATGTATTCAAGGATCGTTCAACATTCTTTATATCTTCACATCCGAGCTCAATCCCACTGTGGTTAGAAATAGCGCTGTTGGAATTTCATCAATGGTTAGATACATATGTAAATGCAAATTGGAACAATTTTTGCAGATTGCTCGAATGGGAGCTGGAGCAGCTGGTTACATTGCCATTCTCTCCGATGTGACACTTCCACTGGTGCCAATGATTATTTTCTCAATTTTTTCGCTCATCGCTGGAGCTCTTGTCGTTTTCCTTCCCGAAACGCAAGGACTTCCATTGCCGGAAACTATTTGGGTATTTTCGATTTTTCTTTTCTCATTCCTTTTTTTTTTGCAAAATCTGGCTCTTCTAGGATGCGGTGACAATTATCCGCTTGAAGAACAAACCATGTGGCACTCTGACCGGAACATTCGTCAAACCGAGCGACGAAGATGAACAACCCTATGGACCCGAGGTCAGCAAGACGGACTCATCGGACTCGGAAGATAAGACGAATTACGAGAAATTTGAGAACAGCGTCGAAGAAGCGAAACCATAAACGGAAAATGCTATTAATATTTCAATCAACGGGATTGTTAAAATTGCACATTTATTTTTGTTGAGAATAATCTAATTATTCACGGGAGCTTAAATATTCCATGCCATTTTTTTTATTAATTGCGTAAAAATTTTGTTGGAGATATATTAAAATAATATTTGAAATAAAATTATGTTTAATAATCTTCTTATAAACTCTAATCATATCATGTGCACACATCCTTTCAGGTCTTCCATTGGATTAATTGAAGATCCCCATTCAAACAACAAAAAAAGTCGTGTATATACGTGATTTTTTGAAAGATGGTTTATTCTTTTGTTTGTCGCCAAATTTCAATTAAAATGAAAAGTGGACCATGAATATCCATCCTTGCTTCTTTTATTCTGCCCTCACGAATTCATTCGTCTCAACGATTGAATTGAGAGCTCGTTTTATAGTGCGGTTTTCCCCAATTTCAATACTCTTTCATTTCCTCTCAAAAAAAAACTCAACATTGGAATTAATGAAGCTTCATTATTAAACATTTTAAAATATTCTATTCATGCCTCTATAATGGTGTTTCCATTCAATTTTGGAACACTAAATCCCTGCCGAGAAAACTTTGTTATTTGATGGCCAGCTAAAAAAGTTGTTGGTACACTTTCGAGCTATACATCTGCCATTCACACCAATCAAAATTTCGGCTTACAAGTTTCCATAGAAACTGATGTGTCTCGTTTTTTTTTTTGATAAAAAATGTGCGCATCTCCAAATTTCCGTCTAAATTAATCAATGGCGTCATTTTGTTCAATCGCTATCCAAAATTCAACAATCTTCTCTAAAATTCCTCTTGACCATATAATAGTTGATTTTCATAGTGAAATCCTATCCTGATTAGTTTTCGCGGAATAAAATCAATTTTTCGAAATTCTTCGTCAGGTGCTTTTTAGGTAATTAAAATGTCTTTCGACCTCACATGACGACCTCGAAATTCTGGCCCGAACAAGATTTACTACTCACTTATGGTTTATATGGTTAAGAATATCGAACAACTTTTTCATATGGAACCACCAAAGCCCTGAATATCGGTCATGTTAGGTGCACAAAACGGTCATGAAAAAACATCCGACCTTGAAATTTTTTTACTTAGTAAAATCTACCAGAATCTCATCTCACTATAGATCAAATATTGTTTCGAATTTGTTGAAAAATCAACTCGCCATATATTTTCATTATTTTCAGCTGCATTCAAAAATGAAAATGACGTCGTACTTTCCAAATTCTCCAATGGTATTAACACAATAATTGTTTTAATATAATATTTTATTTATATTTCTAGCAAATCACTGACCTACCGAACATCATTATAATCAAGATATTGGAGTTGCTGCCATATCATTCAAGGTATTACAATTAATGACATAAAAATGAAGCGTTTATTATTTTAAGGATCTCATTTGGATCATGCTCGAAGAAAATTCAAACGATTGAGCACGAAACGCACTATCGCGTTTTGAAAATCTCAATGCAAGATGTTTTCGACCAAAATAAGATGCCGCGTAAAGTGAGCTAATTTATATAAAATTGAAACGTCTACAATTGAATAATTTAGAAGCAAATCGTCATAACAATTACCCGCCCTTTTGAACGTCCATACATCATACGATTCCTCAAAAAAAGGAACGACACCAGAGTCTACTTGTAATTTTTCGAACTAACTCATAAACTGACATTTAAACTTTCTTTAGGGGTCTCAAGAGCGATGCCTATCGCAGTATTCGTTCTGAGCCGTACACGTGGATTTTGAAGAACACTGACTTTGTTGGGAAGGCATTAGCCTTCTACGAAGGATTGACAATGCGCTCAAGAGTGTTTTCCGGTCAAAGTTCGTTGAAATTTGTAAGAATTCTGTTTCAAAATGTGAAGTTTGAGAAATTAATATTAGGCGCAATTGGGACTCGAATACCCAATGATTCTCGATATGCTCAGAATGGATCGAATCGATGTTCTTGAGGTGGGAGTCCACACAATGGATCAGATGAATTATGTGCTCGATCGCTTGCAAGATCTTCGACTCAATATCAAAGTGACTGAATTATTTATGAGCTCAGACTCGGAAGTTTTCGATGCTCAACTTACCTATTGCATGCATTCGCAGCCGGTAATCGACTTCGAAAATATTTATCGAAATTTCTAATTTTTTTTTTTCAGAATTTCCGTAGGAAGCATGTCAACTTCATTGCGCATCATGAAATCACGATGGAGTATTTTTTTAGTTTAAAATACACAAGAATGTCATTTTTGTATTCTTCGATCAACTCATGGGCGATCAACTACTTTATAAAGGTTTTTGCTATAGTGACAAATTGGAAGAATACACGAAAAATGTTTTTTTTCAGCAATGGATGGAGGGCAATGGAATAGCGGGCTTCCAACTATTGGAAGTTATCCCAAGAGATCCACTTAATGAGCGGCATATTTTGCGGGGAATCACTTTTTCCAGATGGAGTGTAAATGGCAACTTGCCAAGGTTGATTTCGAATAAATATCGAACTGTCAGTGATGTGCAATTATTCAGAGTTGTTCGATCGCTGGTTAATCGCGAGCAAGAAGCGCAAAATTGTGTGCAAATTGAATCGTCGAATGGAGAACACACGGCAACATTGGTGGTCATGGAAAAGCATATCAAATTTGCGGTGACTGGCAAAATGTTAGCGGATGGAACAATCGAATTTGGATTCCCTAACTAATTTTCAATTTTCTTTATTGACAAATTTTTTCTTCTGAACTCATAACTCATCACTAACCTCGTAGTTCGTTCTAATTTAAAAAATGCCACTTAAGCTCAAATATTTCCAAGAAATGAGTAAGACGTTTGAATTGCCACCAAAACAGCGTCGCTTGTGAACTAGTGCTATTTTTTTACACATTCGCGCAAATATGTTTTTATTTTTGGCCTAGATATTGATTAATTTGCATTTGAGTTTTGGAAGAAATTTAAAAAAAATGGCAATAAGAGGAAGTTCGGGCTTCACAACCTAAAATTCCATCACATTTGAATACCTTGTTCAGTCGATAATTTGAATAAGCAAAATTGAAATTTGGTAATTTTTAAAATCTAGTTTATAAATAGTTTTAATGGCATATTGAGTTTATAGGGGTTTTCTTTAATTTTGTAATCCTGGCATTATATGTTTTATATATCTGCTTAGAACAGAAATACTTTTAATTTCAATTGTGGGAACTCCAATTTGTATGCTTAAAATATTTAGTATCAATGATTTTTCGTTTTTCTCAATGCATGTTATACTGTAATGAGCGTGATCTTGTTTTTTCCCCAACACCTCCACTCGTCATTATTTTTTCTTGTTATTTTTTCCCATTTTCTGGAATCTTTAGAATTTCGACCCTATTGTTTTCTAATAAACAACTAGCGACAAAATTTAGAATATGAACATGTCGGACGATTTCGTGCTTGTCCCAGTGAAAAAAAATGAAAAGGGAATTGGGTAAGCACGAGGGAGCGGCGGGTTCGGAGAGAGTCGCATAAAGAATCACGCGACACGCGACAAGAGCTTGAAATTTGTCAACTTTTCCCCGGATTTGGAACCATCAATCCCAATGGACCAATATCTACCACAATTTCGGCATCATTTAATATGCAAACATTTTTGGAACAATCCCCCCCACAACTTTTTTTTAGCTCCTCCGACCATACTACAGTATGCTCTGCGAACAAATTTCAAATTATTTTTTTTAGAATAAAGCCGAATGCTTCGCCATCATCAAGTTATATTGAGCATAATGTGTGGTGTGTTTGAGATAAAATTGCCCTTAATTGTACTGCTTTTTGATCATGAGCCATGTTTGCTGATTCTCAGCATGGATTTGAAATGAACAAAAAGCACTATGACAAGTGTTGGGCCAACAATTGGCGTTCACGTCAAAAATTGTCACGGAAACGATGAGATTTCACCAAAGAATGTTTTTTGAATGAATTTTGCTGAACTTAACAAGAAGCACGCGCTATGACAACGCCTTCATCGAGTCATTGTTCTCAGTACCTCACTATTCAAACCGCTTTACGTCGAAAATTATTCTACTGGCGAGGCTATAAATTTGCAAAACCTTTAATAACAGAGAGAACAATAAAAAAATGTCTTTCTTCACGTTCGCTTACTTTTTCCAAAAAAAAATAGTATACCTCATTTTGCCCTCAAAAAAATGTGAATATTTTGTAGGCATCCGTAAAAACCAATATGTTGTTCACATAAATCTTGTACGCTCATCTTCGACCAAAAATTTGTGCATTTGATTCGGCGGAAAGATATGTTCAGAAAATTGAGTTATTTTCTCAAAATATCCATAAACATCTATGTGTCCTTAAGAGCAGCACATTCTATTCCCAAATTGATTTTCTATTGGCTCGAGAATGCCAATTCTTAATGAAATATTCTCGAATAGAGTGAGAGATGCCGAGCTCATTCACATCCAACCATATCCCATTCATTCCAATTTATTCATCTATGTATTCTTCCCTTTATGTTCTTTCGTTTTCATTTCAATTTTTTTCCTTCTCATTCAACCAATTAGTCACGATATCCATTAATATTCGAATTCGTTGTGGCTTATATGTGTATACTAGTCAGACATTCTTTTGTTCGATTCTTCATCCAACAGAATGCATAGTTTTTGACTAAGCTCGAAAATGAGAAAAAAAAACATCTAAAAATTGACATCTGGCTCATTTTGTGTGGCAAATGGAAATAGCTTTGTGTTATTATATTTTGCCTCGGAGTTCTTTCTCTCACAATGTTCATTTTTGCAGAGAACTCATGCTATATGACCACGAAGATCATGATCTTTTTCTAACACCAAAGGTATGATTTAAAGAATTTAAAGAAAATACTGGAAATTATTTGCCAAACATTTTCCCAAGATTTTCTAAAATATTTTAAATCGAAAATTTCACAATAAGTTTTAATCAATTTTTAATTTCTTTATGGTTTTCTTATTATAAACATTTAAACATCATATTTCAATTAAAATTAGCTTATAATAAAAATGAAATCGCTGTTCTTATTTTTCAGATTTTTGCTCTTTCAGATATGCTATTTCTCCGCTGCAAATGGTGGCGCATCACGTCATATGATGGTCAATGGCAGCAATCATAGGTAAAACGAACCCAAAAATAATTATAGATCATTCCAATTTTGATATATAGTTTTGTTCCTTTTCAGAATGGCAATAAAGATCAAATGCAGTGACAACGAGCTGTTTCGCGTCTCACCCGTTTTTTGTTTATTGGAGCCGGGAAGTGCTCAAAGATTGCAAGTAAGTGTAATTCGCTTTTTTTTTCTACTTGCCCCATTTATTTAAATGCCAATATCAGATTGTACGAGACCCTGGACCAGCTAAAATCGACAAAATTGTTCTACAATATAAAGCGACATGTGCAACGAATCCAAGGGACGCTTTCAACAAGGAAGATGACACAGGTCTAAAAAATGGGAAAAAAATTATCGAAAATTAGAAGATTGAAGGAATCGAGAAGCGACTGATCGCACTGATTGCTAAGGATGACATCACTGTCTCCATAGCACCAACCACGAACTTGAAATCAATACTACGGCAACAAGGGGTTCCCCATAATAATTAACGATTCCGAATTCTTATTTTGAATAAAGCACAATCGTCCACTAATTTACAAGCCCATAAATAACTATGCACGCATAAATAAAAGTGCTAGGTCACCAAATACGTTCATTAGCGCGATTTCATTGCCATTTCTGCCATTTTCATAATTTCCGGCGTTCGCGAAACACTTGACCTCTCATGTGTTGTCTTGATTACATTAAACGCACAAATCGCCGGAACTTAATTCAGGGTTTTGGTGATTTGAGCGTCAAAAAGCAGATGTTGAGCGGATGGCGGCGGTCAGTTTGTTTCCGGAACGGGGCGCCGCCGGTCCGGAGCTTGAGATTGAATCTCGCGCAATCACTTGCTGAATCTCTATCGGCAATATGCTAATTTTGATTGACAACCCAATGTGTTTTTGCAGTGGCGAGGACCCGTCCGAGCGCCTAAAACAATTTCCATGCAAATTCATGAATTGGCCGCCATTTCATTTTTCATTCCTTTGTGACTTCTTCCTTGCCGACGAAAATATTCTTTTCGATATAATATATATTTTTTTTTGTTTCATGTTTTGCAAACGACCATTCCTCAGGGACTTTTGACCCGGTTGCCCTTTTCGAGAATAAAAAAAGGACAACTGTCATAGAGATTCATCAACCTGACGCGTTTATGAATATTCAATCGGACCGTTTCCCGAAAAAACCGTCTTCAGAGATCGTATAGTTTGGTGATGTCTTGATGTTTGTACTAGCAAAATATACAAAACCATTTCCGTAGCGCGTACCTTGTTGACGGCCTCTTCTCAATTTGCATACAACCAAGCTTTTGTGTCAAGTACATGCTCAATACCATCTCAAGTATTTTTCCTATTTTTATCAATTTCTGACGAGAAAAAAAAACACGAGAAAGATCTATTTTGATAACGAATCTCATCCCTTTGGACAATGATAAAATCACTTATATCAAACCATCGAATTCAATCTTGTCTAGGCTGCAAAATATCGCATGTCCCCAATGCACCATAGAATTAAGTTGTTGCGTAACGTGGCAGATGTACGGTGCGAGCCAATCAAAAATAAATACGCTCCTTCGATAATTGTTTCTTCAATCATTCGCCGTACGCCTTCGCATAAATTATTCATACGCCCAATTTCTTGCCGATTGTTCTTCATCCCGACACCTGTTACTGTATTGATTTCACGGATTCGCCTTTGATCCATGCTTGAAATTTTCCGCCTCGCTGCCAACATAAGTCCATCCATATGCGTTCCGAATTTCCAACGGAACCACATTATTTTTGAATGTTTAAAGAGGACCAAAAAAAACTATTAAAATCGATGTTGATGCGCAATGAATCATAAACTCATTTTTATTGGCTTACACAGCATATTTCTTTGCGCAATATTCGCTTTTTTCTGTGGGGGTCTGCTGCTGACCGGATGCCAAAGACCCCGGCCAGATTTAAAAAAAAAAAGGATGACTTGAACAAAGAAATGAATAGTGAAAACCACATGTCACCATCCCTCGCACAAATCCAGAACGCTCTCCATAAATCTTCGCCAAAATTGTTGCGTGCTTCTCAAAAAGCTAATTTCGAATTCCATTCAATTCATAATCCTTGCAAGACAATGGACCCCTTAAATTAGTTGCCACACACAAGTCCGAATTGTAAAGGGAGGTTGTGAAACGCCAAATTGGGTAATTGGTGTTTCGACACACGACGTTTCGTAATCTCGTATTCACGCCAAATTGGTGCATCACAACCAGCTCATTTTCGCAACTTGATTTGTGCCAACCCATTCGACCATCATACACATCTTCCGAGAAAAATTGGGTATTGGTTGGTTGGATAATTGAATTCAACAATGGAAAGTGATGAATGACTTGAAGCTCAGGAAATGGAAGAATTCCATGTCGTGGTTACAAACAATCTAATTTTCTTCGTAATTGCCACGTATATGGATATGGTATGTAACCTTTGATTTGGGATACAGCCTTCTCCGTTTTATTGTTTCTTTAATGTCAAACAATTTGTCAACTGGTTCCTTTCTTCAACAAACCGTTGCAAGTTTTCACCTGACGGCAAAAATAATAATCATAAAAATGTTCATCTGATAACACTCGTGTTTATTTTGGCCTACAAACGAATCAATCACGAACGCTTATTATCATTATTGACATTCGGGACAACAAACCCACATTGCTTTGTATATATTATAATAGTGAAATTGAAATCGTCACGAGGCGATGTTATAAATGAGTTGGAGGGCAGTAGTGGGACAGGAAGTCAACATTTATTACACAAAAAAATTGCGACCGCGCAATCTTACATTAGTCAAATGTCGTAGCTCACCGGTGCCTTTTGAAGACGCCGAATTGGTTTTATGCGTAATCATTTACCAACAATTATTTGGTTCCAACCGCACTCAATCAACCACCAACGCCCTTTTTGGGATTTATGCCCCGCCGATAATGATTAATGTTGGTTTCGCGCACCTGCCCGCCTCCACCAATATCTCGAATTGTTTCAATTTCAACCACTTCTCATCTATCCCACCAATTTTTCATGATGTGTCGCCCCGCGATAATTAATCATACCACGCGCATCAAACCCATTCAATTGGTTTGTGGTTTTTGTATCGTGGATCGTCTTGACGCGGATTAGTTGATCGCTGCTGCCTGCTTTGCCGATCCACGTCGGATTGGCCGCCAACAAAAAACAAAAATAGTGCCCATCTCCGATAGTCCTTGAACTACTATAACTAGTAGTCGACCTTTATTTGCGCGGCCATCTATACCTACATGCGTTTATGCGCAATGAGTTGCATATCATTTGTCGCTTCTTTTCTTTCCATTGTGCCATCACTACCGACCTCGTTCGCGCATTTTACGACTAAAATCAGTCATTTTTTGAGGTTGATAATCTCCGAATCTTGCCATTAATTTGTCTAATGAGTTTGCCGAAACAATCGAGAACCCCCGACTTGTCATTTTTTCTGTCCAATATCATTAATAAAAACAATAATTTGGTTTACATTTCAATATCAATTCTTATCATTAAACCAGAATTTTCCATCAGAAAGAAAAGGAAAAAAAGCGGTTTAATTAAAAATTTCTAAAACCTTGTGTATTCATTAAACTTCTTTTGAAACCATTTCTTACCAATTCCATCATTGCCCGAATGTAATGCAGTTTCGAACATCTCAATCCAACATACAGTTTATGTTCCATTGAGCGTCACATTATTGATTTCATGCAATAGAAAACGACCTACAAGACAGAAATGACCAAATTTGGAAAAGTGTTCCCATCAGTTACGACCATCATCTTCAGACAAAAAATATATATAAAATTCGTCATCGTCGGCGGAATGTTTGCATGATTGTTAAATATTTTATCATTGCCTTTCTCTCACTCAAACCGTTCTGTTTAAAATGCCCATGCATGTGACTCACATGTATGGACATCTTAATTTTTCACGATTTTTAATGGCATCATTTCCTGCCGAAATTTTGATAAGAAACAAACTCAAGAGACCTTTTTTTACCATCTGTTGCTCATTTTAAATCCAGATGTAAAAAAAAACATATGTTTGCTGATTGTAAATTTGATGCGCTTTTGAAACTTTAGCATATATTGTCTTAGCTTGCCAATCCAAAACTCCCAAACGGTCATAAACAATGACCCATTTCAGTTGGTCGCGCATGGCTCATCAGTATTTTATTGCATTTTTGGAAAGCTCGCCGCCTTGGCGCGCATTTTTCGCGGATTCCCTAATGAGCCCAGACGCGTTTTGCAATGCACAATGTGCATTATATAATATAAGAAATTGCTGCCGGCAACATAGCAGTTAATGTTGTGTTGTTTTCCGACTTCAAAAGGAAAATGAACATTTTATGAGTCGATTTTATTATTGCTCAAATTTATGACTTTTTGAAGCAGCGATATTCAAACAGACTGATAAGAACGCATTTCTTCAATCATTCATACAATTTTTGGATTATATCTGCATATTTCCGATAAACGAAACCAGGCGACCCCTTTGAGATAAGGTTGAATTCATTCTAACTTTCGTTCTAAAGGTTGCAGGTGTTTCGGACAAAAGAGGCTTTCATTGTTTCATTGTGGCGCATTTCCTGAAAAATAAAATTCGCGCTTCTTCCAATGCCACGCGTCCATACACGATATCTTATAATCTAGCAAAAGGGGGATGATGAGTGGGAGGGCTCGACGATGAGCCGCCGACACGCTCTCAATTCGCGATTAAAAACGCGATAACAAAAAATTGGCCTAGGCCGCCCCCGACATTATATCCATTGCGTAATCGCAAAGAGCTTCCGCGAATCGTATCGATGTACTGCGGCCAGACGAGATCGACGACGAGAGCTCTCCTCCCGCGTTTTGTTTAACCATGTCATATGGCGAACCGTTCGCCGTGCATTTCTGCACTAACATTGACTTGGCCATACTGATCTCTTCGCGCTTTGATGTATCAAACTCATATTGCTAATTATGGATGGTTCGCACCTATCCGGTGACCTGGCTTGAACGCCAGATGTATGGTATTGTCGTGTGCTCAAGAAAATAAAAACTTGCGCAGATGTGTGCCCCTACATTACATAATTCTCCGTTCTCTTCCCTTCGTTGAGCTTAAGAAAAATGCAAATTTTTTGGTTTCACCCATTGTTCAAAAATGTTGAGATTTCCGGCGTTGAGCCCCCCCCCCATCCATTCTTCCCCATTTTTCCTTCTTTTTTCTTTCATTCATTTTTTATGCGCATGAAAAGCACTATTACAACAAATCGGATATTTACAACCAACTCGATGCAAATTTCATTGAGGGTGGGTTTTGTGGAGAGGAGGAAGATGAGCGAAATCAATTCGAATTCGCTTCCGTTCGTTTTTCAATTTAAATAAACTACGATTGCCGACCAGCCGCGTTCATTCATTGTTCGTGATATTCTTAATTTTATGCTGACTTCTCTGATGTGTACATTATGCATCTCAATTTTCCAGTTCCATCGCATTCAATCGTGCGGGTCCAAAGAAGAAAACCCCAAAACGCATTTCAACATAGTTCTAAATTATGTATTACCATTTTTTTCATTTTTGTTCATCCTATTCACCATCCACAGCATTCAATAACCCCATATGAATCATAACCAAAAAAAACCCAATACTTTTTATTTTCTCACTGTTATTTTGATACAGCACAAAATGGTAACCTTGCCATATACGGTTTTCCACGCTTCTCACCTTGATTCACGGCAAATCAAAAGTGACAAATACATATTCGCACGTTACTCGTCTTGCTGGTACAACAAGGTGACGAGCGACGGGGACAGTTGTAGGCGGAGTCACGAGCTCGGCGGCCAGAGCGAGCGGTCGGGGGGCTGACCAGAAGCCAATGCATCCCGTCGGCAGGGCATTGTCCGAATTTTTATCGCCACTTGTTCCTCTTTTGTTATCCACGTTTGAGAGGGATTCAGATTATTTCTAATTGATAATTCCCCGATGAGGAGATCTCGGCGATGTTGCGCGACTCGTTATCATTTGCCAATAATTCATTTTTACGATGATTCAATCCTGCATATTCCCATCATCGTCATCTCATTTTCCATATTTGTCCAATGGCGCCGCATAATTATAGTTTTTCCATCCACTTCTTCCTTCTAATACACATATGGTATCAAATTTCCGGGCCTCGCACCCAAATCTTGACACCATGTGCGTATCCTTCTTGTTGATACAAGTGTGTCATTAGCTGCCCAGCTGTTGTTGTTATACTAAATCGTTGCTCCTCGGCATTATCATTGTCTCATTTCAGGCATGTACGATCCGGAAGAGTTTCCCGACTACGACACACCCGGATCAAGCCAATCATGTCTTCTGGCTCAGGAATCGTGGTATCATGGAAATGTGACGCGGTTGACTGCTGAAACAGCGGTGCTGTTCAATGGCGACTTTTTGGTGAGTTGTAATAGATACACCAATTGTTTGCACCCAAAAGTTTGCGCAAACAGTTTGAGACAATGGTATATGACCCGTTGAACAAAGCGCCAGAGATTTTTAATCCGACACGGTTGGCAACGGTTAGGTCAACAGGCGGATGGTGAGAAGCTCTGCTGGTGTTATTTTTTTTTGGCGGGATGATATTGTTTACTAATACTTGATATGGTAGAGCGACTTTATAAGAAGAACGTGACAAACTTGCCAAATGCAAGTTTTTGGCCTTATAACATCAATAAATGAAGCAGTCAAAAAGACTACACAGTAATGTCAAGATGGTATGATTCATACCATAACCACGCTTATGTAAACAGCAGCCGGAAATTTTGAATAATATGGCCACCAACTTTGACACGCTTCATAAATAGTAACAATTTTCAGGTTCGCGATTCAATCTCTGAGAAGGGAGAATATGTGCTCACCTGCCGCTGGAATGGTCGACCACTTCATTTTCAAATCAACTCGACAATCGAGAACGGCCGCAAAATGTACCATGTGAGTCGCAATTCTCTCATCAAAAATTCCGTTCGCTCTCATAACACTTGACACATGAAACACATGAAGCGTGAAATGCCCCACACTCTCATGCTGTCATTAAATCGGTAGAAGGGGGTACCTCGTGCGCGAGCGCGAAATTCCCTAATGACACCTTCTAAAAGTATGCGTGTTCGCTAGCGTTGAGCCGACAAATGGAACACGCCATGGCCATCTGCGCGCTTGAATCTAGATAAAATGAGAAGGTCGGATGAGTGTAATGGAGGTGGAAATTAGGTGTCGAGTTCGATTGAACAAATAAATAAGAATTTGAACGTCTTCGAAATGTTGTATGACAAAATGTTGTGGGACAAATTTTTAGTGAAAAAAACCTGTGGTTTGAATTGTGTAGACTATAATTTTACTGAAATATCTTTCTTTTTTAATTGACAAGTCCGTTTAGTTTTGTTGGGCTTAATTTTTCTATGACAGTACGCCTTGGAATTATCACATTGAATTGACAAAAAATCCAAAAATAATATTTTTATTTTGAATTGTTATTTACGCCACTGGATAGCTCATAATGAAGCAATGAATGCTCCTAATCTTCATCGGCGAATCACTAATCTAATTACAATGCTCGCGTTCAATGTTTTGCGGTAATGTGCGCAGGACCCCGGGTCGCGTTGTGACAGATGGAGCCACTTATGCACAAAACTCGTTAGAAATGATTACCAAGACAAATGTTTATGAAAAACTCGGTGAATCGAAGGGACTAGAATAATAATCCCCCGGAACATACAAAAAAGTAATCCTTGCATGATGAAAAATGACTCGTTGCAGTTTGAGTTGGAGTCGTTCGCCACCGTTGTTGATCTCATCAACTTCTACGTCAATCATTGCCGTCCCATCACATTCGCGAGCAAGTGTATCATATCGGCACCTGTTACCAAGCCGGAGAAGAAGGTTAATCAGTCATCGAAAATTACAATTGTGATTATTAATTGTTTCAAGATCGACTGCTCAAGTCCGCGCGACATCGAAGCCTCCTACATGCACATTTTGCGTAGGGACCAGAAAACGACTCGTTAGTGGCATCATTTTGTTTATTATGGAATTTATTCAATGATTTCCAGCTGTGCGAAACACGATGACCCTTCAACAGAAAGTGCGTCTCAATCAGGCGAATCGTTTTCACAAGCCGGTTTTCTCGAAAAGCTCTCATGATTTGTGCATTATTGATGATGATAGCTGCCCGCCGCTTCAACATAGAGAGAATCTACGGTTTCGGGCTCTTCCAGTGCCGAATAGAAGTGATTCCAGCTCGCAAGATGAGGATGATGTAAGCATCTAGGATATACATGGACTAAAGAATGCATTATATTTCAGTACGACTCGGTTGATTATGCAGCAATGGATGAGATTGGAAATAAGGGTTCGACAAAATCTGGAAAAAGCTTCACATTGAAAAGTATGTATTTTTCAAATCATCTTTTACAGAAACATGAAAATAATGAAAGTATTGAAAAAAAAAACTTATAAACTTGGCTGGAATAGAAGCTTAGAAGCTCCTTAGAATTTATATTTTCAATCGTCGTTCAATCATATTAATTTTGCAGGAGATTTCATAAAACCAATGTCTTCATCGTGCCATAATCTTACAAGAACTGCTTCTCCTTCTGCTCCAAACCAGTACGTGAGAAAGCCTGGTGCGAAACCAACTCCTCCACCAGTTGGCGAAAAACCTCCACTTCCACCAAGACCGAATGATATTTTTGTAAGATTTTGACCATTTTCAAGATAATATTTTCGATGTTTAGAACGGTGGTCTGAAATCGGCCAAATCTATTGATAAGAATCTGGAAAGCGAAAATGAAAATGACTATGATGACGTCCAACGATCGCGCATCTCTCGCCTTAGCTCTGTTATGAATGTGAATACGGACACCGAAAAGCTCAAAAGACTGAGCAATGAAAGCTCAGCTACCGATTATGATTCTCTTCCAAGTGATCGTTCCATGACTCAAAGAGATTCTGGAATCTATGGGTACTCAAAACAAACCTTGTTTGAAATAGCAAATGTTTATATTCAGATCTCCATCTCCACCACATGATAAGAATGAGGGATTCTCAGCCCCAACCCTTTTCAAGTTAAAAAACTTTCTGACCAATTCTTCGGCGAAGGATGTGGCTTTTGCTATTACTTATGAAGACGCCATTTTGTTCCAAATGATTGGAGATGAGCACAATTTCCACAATGCTCTTCAATTTTTGATGTTACCTAAAGGTGCGAAGATTCGAGAAACACTTTCAGAAAGGTATATTTAATTAGAGATTTATGAATTTCATGTCATAAATTTTTAGATCTCGACTAATCACTCTCTCGGTGATTTTATCTATTGTGACTACCAAGGATGGCGAGCGTCTCAGAGCTTGGTTGGACACTTGCAAAGAACTTTTGAATTTTGGAAACTTCTATGGCTTCATTAATGTTATGGATGCCATCGTATCTACATTGGTAAAAAATTTAATAAAACTATTCGTGTTATTCCAGATTTTTATTTTAGATGCAAACCCGCTATGCAGTTTGGTATAGCATCGACGCTCAACGACAAACGCTCTTTGAGGATTTAAAAGCCACTCGCCAGAAGCTGCGACATTTTGGTTGCCCACCGCAATACACCATGGTCATCCCCATGATTCAGCCAATTCTTGAGATCATGGGTGGAAGCGATAATCAATTCCTCGAGCAGGATATGTATGTTACAGATAATGGTGAGCGAGTTCTACGCATTCAATTCATAGTCGTTTTTTTTTCAGAAACTCTTTTTCGCTGGATTGAAGTTTGTCGTGATTGGATCCGTAAGTCCGACGATCTTGGAATTGCGTTGAAGTCAAAACTTGGACCCAAACAATTGCTAGAGAATCCGATCTCACTTGCCAATCTTCGCTTGTTGATTTTCAACCATGCCGACACTCAGCCTGAGCGTTATGAAATTGCCATTGATCGCCTTGAGGATATGATCCAGAACAAGCGTATCTCCCATTAGCTGCAAATTGATTTTTATTGCTGATACTATGTATTGCCCTTTATTTCTTCTTTTACCTGTATTTGTCATCTAATGAGATTTTGTTAATAGTTTGTAACGGTGCAATTTTTTTCTTTTGGTTACTGCTTTGTTTTGTGAATGTATATACCACGAATTCGGAATAAATCTGTCAAGCAACTGACGACGCAAAAATTTTCTTGGCTTTTTGGGTTCAAGAATTGTTAGTGTCACGATTTACTAAAGCAAACGGCTATTAATCAGAATTTCTAATTTTTCTGAAAACAAGCTCATTTTCTGTTCTTTTGTCAATTTCGAATTTTAGAATATTTCAATTTCTATTAACCGGTTGATTTAATGTTTATTACATCCCGAAACTATTCAATACTCTAAGGTTGTTAGTAGAGATCAAATAATTGACAGAAAATTTGGAGAACAGTATTTAAAAGTTATTTTAAAGAAAAGTCGAAACCAGTTTGAATTTGTGCAATTGTTTTTGTTTCTCATGAACTCTGAAAGTTTCATTTTCGTATGTACATATTATTTTTGAGATGTTATAGAGATTTGTTTTTAAAAAATTCTGCTAAGAAGTTTTCTGTTGGATGATTTTCCATCCAATCAAAATTTCTCGTTTTAATCTCAATCGCTATAGTGGTCAACGAAGCAAAAGCCGTTAGCATTGTAAGTTCAGCAACATACTAATTTCAAATGCAATGTTAGTGGTTTATGGTAATTTAAATTAAATGGGTTGGTTAAATAAATTAAATGGGTTGGTTAGTCTTAAAAATCATTTACAAAAATCCAATATGTATCTTTAGAAATGAGTGATAAATTGAAGGGGATTAGTAATTCATCAAGATTACAATAGCATTAAATATACATACATAAATATGAGAGCGCGTCAAGAAATGTTAACCTTGTTAACCATCGTTATTAGTGACAAGCAAAATTAGTTCGCGACTGAAATCCTTCAATCCCATTAACGTCGCCTTATTTCTGGTAACTTGACGAAATTTTCTTTTGGCCGCTCGGCGAGCCTCCTAAACCACTTTCAAATTAACTTATATAATTAATCAATTCCGAATAACTACCTCGCTCCCAGTGGTTATGTCGCGAATTATGATTTGCTCAATGTCACTCGATTGCGCCATTGGATATCTACTGTGAAGTATCCAAATGGTGTTGAAGGCCCTCTTCTCGCATTCCGTGAACAACGGATTTCCTATCATGAGCCATGCGGCTCTTCCAAGCGCTTCATTGAAGCCAGTCTCGTCGAGATATTTCAAAAGAGAAGCGCTGAAAAGCTTCTTTCTTGAAACTTCGTCGTTATATTGACTGTTGTATCGGCAGAAGCTGGTCATAATGAACGAAGTAACCATGCGACTTTTGAAGTGCTCAACTGCCTCATAATCATTAAGATCAGGCAATGATCTTGGATCCAGCGCCTAAATCATCAAAATGTATTTCACATTATTTTCGAACACACTTGCCGCTGTCAATTGCTTGAACCAACTCGGAATAGTACTTCCGTAATTGATAGGAGCTGTCAAGTATTCTTCTTGTTTTATGAGCCATGAAAACACATTTTCGATGAGTCTGATTTGTCCAATATTGCGACTGTAAATTATTACCATATTCTTTTGAAAAACCATTCGAATACACTTACTGTGCGTACGGATGAGTGATGGGAACCAATCCTGCTTCCATGCAGATATGCGATATGAGATTGGTGAGTGCACAATAGAGCTGTAAAGCCTTCTCTGAAAATATTCAATTATTATTAAAAAAAGATGTATATATGAAAGTTTTCACTGACCCGGGGTTCTGCAGTCCGGTGTCGCAATCAGCTCATCCATGAGAACTCCGAAATAGAGATTTTGTCTATCCTTGATGTGCTCAATGAGTGACACCTCTTTTAACATTTGAATTACAGCGAGCACCATTTGAAAGTTGGCATCTTCATAGATGCTCAATAAGCAATAGACCGCCTGAAATTTATTTGAGATGATGAATTATAGTGGAAGCTTCTCGAACCTCGAACGTCTCTCGAAGCTCAACGTCGAAATGTTCAAGATTAGGAGATCTTGCCATCATAACCATGTACTTTGTCAGCACGTCAACAAGAAAATTTTTATCGAATTTCATCATCATCACACGAAAATCGGCTCGGAATTCAACGTAATATTCCGGCAGCGGAATATTGCGTTCGGTCATGGCTGTCATATATTTGAAAAATGTCGGGCCAAAATGGAGGATGAGATCGCCCGTCAATCGATATGTTTCGGCGCCCCTCTTCATTATTTCGCGAAAAGACTCGCTGAAAATCAGCTCTCCAAATTCTTTGTCAGACTGAACCATTTTTTCAATGATTTTGAAAGTCATAAAATGCTCAAAGACAAATAATCCATTTTGAATGAGGACACAAACGTTAGACATGAACCATCTCCTATCGAAGATCTGATCTGGAATCTACTAATTGCAGCAATATTGAATTGCCAACTTCTAACCCTGCTCGCATTTCAGCCACGCGACGAATCGACTGACATCGGTTTTTCTGTGGATATAAATTCCTTGAAGGCATTTTGTAATAAAGCGGAGTTTGTAGTCATCGGAAACCGTCTCGTCTCTCAATGAAATTCTGTCCATGATTTGGTTGTAAAACTCCAGCTCGAATCTATAAAACACGCATCTTCTGTTTGGAGCATTACCGAGAAGCATTTGGATCTGAAACTGTTCAAGTTTATCAATGCTTTGAATCCAAAATCACCGAACAATGATAACATTTGTCGAGGCCATTTGTACATGCCTGTAAGAAATAAATAAAAAAAGCTGAAGTCCCCCTACTGGAAACTTCTTACCACAGTACTCATGTTGAACCGGTAGAATCGTTGAAGCTTGTGCTCGGAATTGTCTCGGCACAGAAATCTTGACAAAAACTGATATGATCGAATTTAGTGAAATTGCCGAAACCTATCAAAAACAAAATTGTTTGAGAAATACGACTATTTTTCCCCAACTCGCAAATAAAATCGATAAGCGCTGAAATATGTGCAAATCTGGAAAACCCATAAAAACTGATACAATTGTTTCGATTTTAATTTCAAAATTAAAAACAATTCGTAATAAAATATTGTTTACGAAAGAAAAGTGCGAGCACTGATAAGTTTTATTGGTTTTTCATTATTTTAGGAACGCGAGCACTCGATAGAGGAAAGTGCGCTCCTCCGCACCGCGTTGCGGATACTCAATCCAACGCCGACAACCTTCATTACTTTATTGAAATTTGCTCTTGACAACATGCATTCAGCTGATATTGCTATACAGAGAGAAGAGAGGCACAGAAAACAATAGAATAAAACAGAAAGAAGAGGAGAGTAGGCGGAAAAGAAATGTAAAATGATCGATAACACGCTGTCTATTGAAACCTAGAATGAGGTCAATTGAACTTCAATTCACATGAAACATATTTGGCAGTTTTATCGTGGAAGAGTGGCAGTGGTGTCGGGACTATCAACATCATCTTCGTCTTCAGAAGTCAAGTGCTCGCTGACGGCCTTTGTTGGCTCAGGGAGAGCTGGAGCTGACGGCTCCTCGTTGTCCCTTCGCCTTTTCTCTTCTTCATCGGCCTTGAACAAGCTGAACATTTCTTGAAGCATAACAGTAATATAGTAGTCACCAGAATTGCTCTGAAAAAGAAACAACAAAGTTCTTGGAATCGATTTCAAATTGTTGCCTGAATCAATTGGCAGATAAATACACCATCAGCAGTGAGGAATTTGTCGACGAATCGTTCAGCGAGGTCGCTGTTCTTTTCCTCCTCATCTTCGAAAAGTGGGGTACCGGCGAGATATCTAATAAAATAGAAATCAAAATCAAAATAGATACAAAAAGAAACTACCCGAAAATAAAGCTACGTCCCATTTGAGTTAAATAGCTAATGGTCCAATAAGCCAATGATATAAATGTGCAAACTCCAGCGAAAAGAAGCCAGAACCAGAAGAAAATGTAGACCTTCTCAGCTAACATGTTGATCACAATAACACATTGAATTGTATGGTGATGGACAGCATTCAATTGCATAACCTACACAATCAAAACGTTTTCATGCTGAAAATTAAGATATCGAGACTTACAGCAAAATCGCACATCGTAACTCTTGGGAATAATCCATTAGTCTCCCATTCCATTCCATTGTAGATATCCTACATTTTAATTTCAAACTTTTTAATTTTATAGGAAAATACCATGAATGTGTCAAAACCCCAGAAAACACTTTTAGTGTTGAGAAATGCGTAAAGGACGTAGAATTGGGCGACAATGTTGAAAAGGTAGAGAATTTTGGTAATAATAAAGAGAAGTGGTAGGAAATGCCCAGATGAAACGAATGTCGATTTTTTCTTGAAAACTGAAACAAACACTAATCAGATTACATCATTAATTATTTAATTACCTTCCGCTTGTCCACGGAACGCGAGCTTCTTGTAGAAATATCGTCCAAAACGTGTGGCCATGACTTTGTCATTTGAGAAAGTTTGCTTGGTTTTTCTGGCGGCTTCAGAAGCAGCAGCAAACTCCTTGATTTTTAGTTCTAAAAAATTTCCGAAATTCTAAAAAAGAAATTTAGTATCAAATTACCACAACTCTCGTTGAACATTCTCCAAATAACGGATGGCGCGTAGAACATGAAAGCTTGGAAGAACATTGCGATCGGAATCCATTGATAATATCCAATATGCTAAAAAATCAAAACAAAATTCATATCGCTGAAAGTCCAAAACTGATTCTCACATTTTCATCTTTGTCAACAAAATAAGTCTCCGAAAGGGTGTCGTTGGGCAAAAAATAGGTTCCTTTAATAAAGCAGTAGGTCTCCGCATATTTTTCCCACATTCGGGTGAACTGCGCTGGAACCCAACATTGAATAGGAGTTCCCAAATATTGTGAAGCAGCCATCATCACAGCAGAGATTCCTAACAGCATGGCAGAATACTGGTATGAAAGACGATCGACAATGTCATTGGACTCGGCGGAACGTCTAAATAAATTGTTTTTAGAAAGATTAAAAACAATCTTATTATTGCTTACTGGAATTTTTTCAAGTATGGTAGAAAAACCCCAATCATCTTTGAGCGGAGCCCTGCAAAATTGTAAACTACATAGGAGAGAAAACAGTGTAAAAATGTTGCGTTATCATTAAAAAATTGTTTTTTTTAGTAAATTGAAGAAAGAAGAAAAATGGCGGCGAGGAATAAAATCAATAAAACCGTCGGGAGGAAAACAAACGAAATAAGGCGGGTGTTTTTCTCCGGGCCATAAAAAAATATATATATATAAAAGCGTGACGATCGCCAACATCTGCTTTAATTAGAATGATGCACGGTCTAAAAAATGCTAATTTGGTTGTGATGCAATTCGAGACAAATTCACCCAATCGACAAATGAATTAGAAATAGTGGCGACGCGAAGGTCACCTTTATTCATTAGCGATGGTGAGAGGATGTGAACGCATCGATCGGAATCTTTCGATTACTCCTTTAATTGGTTTGAAAGGGCAATCATATTATTTGCAATTCGTTGAAAACAAAATCAAACAACGAGCAACATTGCCAACCCACCCCCCCCCCCTCTCAAAATGGTGTTAGTAGTGAATATATTAGTTGTGGCGCAAACAAGGCAACTAGACATGGTTTCCGAATGTTGCCGCCCGATTTTTGCAGACCTCCGCGATCATACAGACAATTAGAGGAAAACGGCGAAAGGCATAACTGTCAAGGCACTGTAGGCAATTGAGAGGCGAATCGACTTGAATTGCATGAAATTACAATGTTATTTTTTTTGTTGCAAACTGCACTTTTTTTCTCGAATTCAATTTCGCAAGGTTGAGTTGACACCTGAGCGCTCAGAAAATCAAAGTATCAATATACATATACATTTGTAACAAGAAAATTTCAAATTATTAAAAAAATTGCTGTCAAATATTTGTGGATGGTTTGCCATCCAAAAACACGAGCAACCTAGGTGTTTACGGACCTGCGCATTTCTTTTTGACGCGGTAACTCAAATTTTTCAAAACAGATATCGTGCTCCTTTTTTGTGATGGTAATAGAAAAACACAGTGTTCACATGTTTTGGCCACAAAGAAACGATGAATGAACATTTTCGCTGACGTCTAAAATTTTAATGGGATCGGTCGGACACGATACGAATCGCTCGTAATTTTTGTTGGTGGTCACGAAAATAGTATATACTTGGAGAAGTTATAAAGATCGCAAGGTCTTACATTAATTCAGAAATCTTCAATCCCTCTGCGTCAAAATTGGTTAAAATTCGTGTCATTTCAAGAGTGATTCCGAAACCCGAAATGTTATAGAATCAGGGTTCTAAAATTGATGGCAATTAAGTATGGGTGGCATAGAGTCACAAAAAATAATAGTTTTTAGGATCATTGCACTTATAGGGTAATAATTTTTAGTTCTTTGATTGACTAAAAAAAACAATTTTTGAAAAATTAGCATTGCATCATTGTTATATTAGGTACTGTGAAACTCGCTGGGAAATCAATTTATTTGAAGTGTTAGTTCATACTTCAAGTTCAACCCTAATATGTTTGAAAATCAAAAATCAACAGTTGGAAAACAAAAATGAGGGTTGTACGGTTTGCGGGAGCGATGTGAGGTGGGGGCACGAGGGGACGGTAGGCGATAAATGGGCATGATTTGCATCAACGACCTTGTCATCTCATCGCGGATTGCCGCGAGTCGGCAGCAGTTATTGATTCGGAATCGCTCTCGATGCAATTTCATGTCAGAATTTGACATGGCCAAGGATGTCATTACGGTTGAGCGCATACGCAAAATAGTAAGGAATTCTTGACCAAGGTGGAAAAATTGAGAAAATGTTCTAGTCGAATGAAAAATTCACTTGTTAATCCTATTTATAACTCGTCATTCAAAATGTTTCAATTCTTCAATCAAAAGAAATCATTGTCAGAAAAAAAACCTAGATGGAATTGATGAGAAGCCTCTACTGCACGCTGCTTTTATGTTCAACTGAAATGTAAATTTTTTATTAATTATGTAAGCATTGTAAAGAAAAATTAATCCCTAATTATATATACATTTTATAAAGAAAAATTAGAATGTGATTAGAAAATGCTTTCTAAATCAATGCAATCGTTGGAAAACTTAGGAAAAAACAATAAACCAAATCGTCGCCGCCGCCGCCGCCACGATCGGCCCATCACAGTAACATTTCCCATTACTTATAACCCGTCCATCGCCGTACCGGCACCACACATTGTACAATGAAAATCACATTTGGTGTGAGAAGAACCCAACAAAACACAATGCTAGTTGCTATAATCAAATGCAATAATTTCATATTCAAAACTGGTTGGATTAGGATGGAGTTTTGTAAATAAAAAAGTGAGAAATGAAAACTGAATTGAGTGATGAAAACGGACGGGTCTTTGATTGTAGAGTCGAATATGAAGGGCGGGATGTTTGAAAACAGTGAGTCATTGGACACAGCAAGCACACAATCATTGTTTTCATGCCACAACTGCGGTATGAAGCATTCCCTTTTTATTACATAGGTTTCAACAAAAAAATAACAGCTACGAATATTTTGATTTTTGCTCATTTCTGATAATTTCAAAGAAAAATTCATATAAATGTTAAAAAAAAAAATTTGGCGTTTTCACTGTTTTGAAGTTATGTTGTGGCTAACCGACGAATTCGGTTGAGCGATTGATTTATAATTTTAATGGCCGTCTAGAGGTCTTGAATGGAAATCTCTTAGAAGCAAATATTGTTTCATTTAATAGATGTAATGCGAAGAAGAATAAGTTTTCGTGAAATTTAACTACTGAGTTAAAATGATGATCCAGAAGTTCATTTCATTTTAACTAAACCGATTAAAAGGAAGCCCGCGCAACCCAAATTTTTAAATTTTTTGTCAACGACGACATTTATAATAATTTGTTTAATTACAGAGGGGAATCTCATAGAAATCTTTGTTAAAATTTCTCCAATTGTCCATATAGGTCAATAATGTGATGATTTTTTTTTTCGAAAATTTGAATAGTCACGCAAAATTTAAGCCAATTTGTCCTTTGAAAATGATGCAATTTATAAAAACGAATAAATTATCACTATCGTAAATTTAATAATACAATTCTCCTAGGGAATCGGAAATGACATGTTCCCATTGGCTATTCTCTTTAAAATTTCCAGCCCATTAATTCCAACAACCGATAAATATGCATTTTACCGTCACTATTTATACTATTCGAGTTCGAATTATAAATTTATGAAAAAGATTTTCAAAATGTTTTTGCGAAATAATTAAAATAAGCATAATTATAAAAATTGAAAGATGGAAGAATAAGTAAAAAAGAACCCATAAATTTTGTGTCAATTAAATTATGTCGGGAGGGGGTGGGGAATTTTTGTTTAAATAAAATCACATTTTTTAATTAGGTAAAATTACAAAATCGATAGGAAGACGAGAGCAGAAGCGACAATAGAAGCTACAATTGAAAGCATTGGTGATTCAAGCCTTGATTCATTTGTGATCGGGTTCTGGTGGATTTTTTGCCGAATCGCCGAATCACCTTCGTTCGCGTCGCGCTGCATTTTTTCGTAGGAGCTCTAAAAAATAGGAACAATGAAATGTATGTTTTTTTTTTGAGTCTCTGTATTTTTAATTCAAAATGTCTATATAGTTACTGAAATTAAAAGAAGTAATAATGGATTAGAAAAATTAAATGTTTTTAATCAAAATTGAGAAAATCCGCTAATTATTCGAAAACTAATTTCAAGACGAAATTTTCCAGAATAATGATTAAATTATAGTAATAGTTGTATTTTGTTATTCATTACAACATTTTTCTTGATTTTCTAAGCCTAAGCCCGAATCTCATTCGGTAAAACCATACAAAAAACCAAAATTTCCAATTTTTGATACATTTTGTTTTTGAGCGCAATCTTACATTTAGCATTTTTCCAATTCGATCCGTTTCGTTTGCCGGCATTTGTTTGATAATGTCACGAACTTTTTGTGCCACCTCTGGCCGATTTTTGGTGTCCCTCTGCACTATAGGGACCAGTTGGATTTTGCCCGGAAATGAATTTTCCTCATCTGCAATGACGAAAAAAAATGTTGGCCTAACAATTCCGAATCGACGAACCTTCATCATAATCATCCTCCCGATCGTTTCGCCGAGTTCTCGGTGCTGACGACCCGCAGGCAACATCAGTCAATAAAAGAAAGGAAAAAAGCATCAAAGCTGCCGATTGCCTCATTTTTTTTCCTGCTTTTTGTCGTCCTAGCCGTTGATATCCTTCAGCAAAAAGTGAAGAGATCTAAAAGTGCATACTTTGTAGCGGCAGCAACCAGAAAAAAATGTCTGTGTTGTACTTTATAAGTGCGTTCAAGAGTGTAAAATTCATTGGATAGAAACGACAAAACAGAAAATATTCTCGAATATGTTGGTATTATAGAATGGCAATAGAAAAAAGGAAAAAACGTAAGTGAATTCGAACGAGACGATAACATAATCAAATGTGGTTTTTTTCCCGTGTCGAGAAATAGAAGAAATGCAAAAAAACGCGTAAGAAAAGCGAAAAAAAACGCGCCAAAATTTCTACTGAAGTTTCGGCAAGAAGAGCTGTGGAAATTGAGATGTCGAGAACTTTTCATCTTACACGAAGGAGAATCCCGAAAAAAGAGAAGAACCTCGATGACGATTCCTTTGATGTGAATGGATTGAAGCACCACCATTTTTAATGGAAAAATGACGCGCGATTCTAATGAAAGAATTGAATAAACAAAAAAAAAACATCGATGGCATCACGTGTCAGAAAATATATCAAATTGCTGAATGGAATCATATAGGTGTTATTAAGAATTCTAGAAATAACGCGGAATTATTTAAAGAAAAAAAAAATATATAATCTTATTAATCCTTCATATATTAAAAATAAATAAGAGCTAATCGTATAAAATACTCAACTAGTTTAAAATCGATGGCCAATGTTTTAAATATAAATGTCTCGTGTTCTCATTTGGCTTAACGCGAGCACATGTTTTTTCTCTGAGAATCATTGAAACAATTTCCAGGTTCATTAAAACATTTCTTCGAAATTGATCTACAAGAGGTAAAGGAGGCTTCGGGAAAACGAAAGCTGTATAACAAGTGTATGACAATATTAGGGCAGTACGAATGTGGGAAAATAATGAACTACTAACATCTTCTTCGTGTTCAAGTGGTGTTCAAAACGAAGTGAAAAGCGTTGAAGGAAGGGGAGGGGGCGAAAAGAGTTGAAGCCATAAAATTTGGCTCTTGGGCATTAATCCGGAGCAAATTAGTTTTGAAATGGAGCAACAAAAAACATTTAGTGGTTTTTTTCGCCGCTTGAAAATCTAGCTCACTTTCTTGGGAACAAACGTTAGGCATGTAGCATATGTATTGTTGGCAAAACATTGGGTGAATGGGAATGTGCGGACGCTTTGCATAAGAGCACCCAATTTAGGCAAGTTGTGCTCGAGTAACGCCCTACCCGTCCATCTGTTCGCTTTGAGGCTGAGCTTCTCGCGAGATTTTTCCTTAATCAATTCACTTCTTCAACTATCAAATTACAAATGGAATAAATGAATAAACAAACAAACATAAATAGAAATGGTGTAGTAAGGAGAGTCGGGGGCGGAAGAACAATTGAGAATCGCAAATGCTGCGATTTTCACTAATCTTCAAAAACAAGCGTAGATGGCCGGCTTCCACCTTCTTTTCCTTCTTCTTCAGAGTTCCCCGAAATAATTTATGTAAGTCGGTTGGTGAAGAGTATGGAAAACGAAGAATAAAGGCGGTGTGCGAAATGTAAACACAAATAGGATTAATCTAATCTATTATGCGAAAGTCTTTGCACTTTTATAGAAAATATGCATTGGTCTGAGGGTAGAGGAGGGGTGGGACCCGAATTTTTTCCATTACACATCCAGCAGGTGGTCCACTGAAAATGAATCATATCGCAATTTATGAGGTTACACATGCCCATTATTTAGCATTCAAATTGCTTCACAGCAAGCGGCTTTTGAGAAGTGGAAGCTTGAAAAAAATATGTGCATAAGAGCTTCTGGCACCCGAAAATTTGCATATGACAAATGGGTCAAACCGCAAAACTAGTGGCCACCAAAAATTTGATGGACGATGCAAGATTTGCCTAATGGGTCCCATCTGATTGGTTGAAGCAAAACATGGGCCGTTAATTCTTGTTTTGATGAGATTGACTTTATATGCAATGGGTATTCGCTTTCTCATAGAAAGCCGGAACCCTGTTCTGAAAAATAATGAAAACCATTTAAAATTTATAAATAGCTTCGTATTTGGGCAAAAAATAATTGAAATGAATTTTTTTTACTCATTTACTATTTATTAAATTTACTTGAAAATTGGTTTTAGAGAAGTTAGCAATTTTTTAGAAAAAAAAAATGTTATTTACACTTAAATCCGAAAAAAGCTGAATTTAAAATGGCGCTTAATTGTGAAAAAAATATGCACAGAATTCGTTTTAAGCCAACAAACAAACATACTGGGCAGTAAAAATTCTGCGGGCTAGTTTTTTCACACACGATACACAATTTTTTGGAAGTAGATTTGAGAAATGAACCAAATTGTATTGATTGAAATCAGCTGAGGTGCATAGAAATGTGATGATAGGAAGAAGAAAACAAAAATGGAAAATTCAAAACCCAACACAAAGCCCAACACGAAGGCCATTGAATTGGAGCACGATTGAATTATTCGGTGCCGCACGGATTGAGGCGTTAATCAACGGGAAGGCAGTACGAACGCAGCGTGAAGCCAATTAAGTGCACCTTCGCACCCTTCGTTTGAATTGAAGAGCCTCATGGCTGCTCGTGTTGAATGCCACACGCGTGTCCCATGATAATTGATAGTTCTCGGTTTTCAAATCCGTTAAGTAACTAGATACCCACCTGGCAAATCTAACGGCTATTGATACCAATGTATAATTATGGCCGAATTGATGGAGTTGACGCTGCACGTAAATATGCGCAATATGAATATATTGAAATGTCGAATGAATACACTCCAAGGAAAGTCGAGGGATGAATAAAATATTAATGGATATGTTCAAAGATGTACCTTTGAATGTTACATGTGGTACTGTGCAAATATTGGAGAAAAATCTACAAAAATTGGGTGAAAGTAGTTTTTTTTCAGCAATTTTGTATAATTTTTGATTTTTGAACATAAAAAATAAATAAATAAATCATCTGAGGGAGAATGTTTTCTTAGACGATTTTGTTAACTACGTATAACCAATTTGGGAACAGCCGAGAATGATTGACAAATTATATATAATAGAGCTACGTCGAAAAATGGAGAAATTTGGCTTCTCCCAATTTGTGAACCTCAAATAATGAAAAAAATACTAATTTCATTTTTTTTATATCGAGTCAGAAAAAAGGTTGGTACGAAATTTTGAAAACATTGAAAAGAGCACATGTAATATGGTTCTAATTGTTTCCAAAAAAGGTTTAATGCAAATGGTTCAATTCGCTAAAAAAAAACCGATTTAAAACCGACAGAACTCCGCATTCTATTTTTCTTTATTTCCCTTCGACGTTCAATTTATTTGTTTTTTTTTTCGCAGTATGCCAATAGGATGTAAACAAACTCTCCAACAATGGTGGTTCGCGTGCGCGCGGTTACATTGTATCTACCTTAGTGGGGGGAAACAATATTGTTTTGATTGGTCCCATCTCATTCGCTGCGATCAGTTGGCAGTCTTGTACCTTACATTATTTGACGCTTTTTTCTATTGCTATCATGGCGTGCAGGTAGTAAAAAAAGAGTTTTGTGAATTTTCCAGATTTTTTTTTTGTTGTATTTCCAGAGTTACCATCAACCCTAATAGTGATATTCCGATGGAGGAAGCGCGCAGAAGGCGGCAACAAAGCGAATCAACGATACATCAACGAGCTGATTATGAGCTTGCGATTCAAGTGATCTGTGACGGATGCCAAGTATTTAATGGTAAATTTTTAAAGTTTTATAATTTGGTGTTTGAAAATAAGAAGAAAATAAAATAGATCGGCCGAAACTCAAAATAATAGTTTTCAGAGATTGAGTCGAGACGACGCTCGAGACACATTGAGAGAACTATCTGGTGCATCTACGAATGGTCGCTTTGGTTCTTCCTACCGCTCTCGATTTCAACTTTGATCCAGTACACTTCAAGGTCCGCATCGCTCGCCTACATCCTTTCATTTGCACCGATTCTTGTCTGCTTAATGGCCATCGAGGTTCAAGCCATTCGAAACCGCAATTTCACTGCCATGCTTATCTTCAAGTACGCCCAACTCCAATTGTACACTTTTGTATTTCTGTATCATATTATCTGTTTTGCTGTCATGTACTCCCAAGTGGATTTCACATTCTTTGTTGTTTTTTCAATTCATTTCATGTTTTACGCATTTGCATTACTTCGTGTTTACTTGATTGGCGAGATTCACAAAATCATGATCTACCGGTTCCAAAAGAGTCGCTCCGAGGTTCACCTTTGAATTTGATGTATTTATTTTTCTTCACTTGTATTATTTTTTATTATCTGGTATATTTAATGGCAATGAATAAAAAATAAATAACTTATATGGAATTAATGCTATGTTAAGCAGCATCGTTATCAATTTGAAAATCGGGGTGATAGTGATAAAAATATCATACTTCAGCAATAATGGCTGGTTTCGAGACAGCCAACTCTTTAAAGGAGCATTTTATTATTACCAACATTGCGAAAAGGTAAGAATACACTGGTTTTCGAAAAAAATGGAATGGAATTTAGCGATGCGGAATGCAACCAAACAGGGCTTATTCTTGTTTTTTTAATATCTTTCAGTATTTTTTCAATGCTCTTTATAATTTATCGGCCGCCGCAGGTATTCAAAGTGTTGTTTTTTTCAATTCATTTAATGTTTTACGCAATTCTGAATTTATTTTTAGGTTATTCAAGATGACGAATTTGGGGATGCAGAACTATTCGATCTTTTCTTAAACTACGTTAAGATGTTTTTGAAAACGTTTAATTTTTAGCTAAATTTTTATTTTTTAGGTTTGAAAAAAATTATGACAACTCAGATTTTTATTATCGTTTTGATCAGTTCCGATCAAATATTCGAGAAATCAAAAAATCGAATGAAATGTAAATAATTATAATTTTTAACTATTCATTTTAATTTCCATGCAGGTTTATTGATACCCATTTCTTCATGACAGAATTTGCTGATTGGACCGAAGAGGAAATGCGAAATGTACATGCAATTCAGAAAAAAAATTTATATGTGCAATGTTCAGATTCTACTTGACGGTTTCGAGGAAGAAGCAGCTTTTCAAAAGCCTCGTTTCACGGAAAAAATTCTTGATGGAAATTTGGAAAGGCCGTCGCAATTTGACTGGACTGCCAACAATTCAATAACGCCGGTTAAGAATCAAGGCACTTTTTTCTATAAGAAGAATCTGAATACCTTTTTTGTTTATTCAGGGCAATGCGGCTCCTGTTGGGCGTTTGCAACGTTGGCAGCTGTCGAAGCAATGCACTCAATTAAGAGAGGCGTGAAATTGTCGCTATCCGAACAACAAGTAATGCATATATATTAAAGGTTTATTATTGAAAATTATATGTTAATAATATTTTAGTTAATTGATTGCGATCAGAGAAGTAATGGATGCAAGGGAGGAAACAGACCATATGCTATGGAGTAGGAGCTTTTGATGAAATTTAATTTATCGGTATTTATTAGCTATGTCAAAAAGAATGGAATTCAAGAGGATAAAAATTATCCATATAAGGCAGCTGACACTTTTGAATGTAGAACTGATGTCAACGCTGTATGCAGAAGATCTGAAACGCTGAAATTCATTTCTATGTTTCAGACAAAATATTATATTAGTTCTTACGAGATTCTATCACGAGATGAAGAACAGATTGCTGATTGGGTGGCAACCAGAGGGCCAGTTACATTTGGTATACACTTTTTAAGCCAAAATTTCAAATTTCAACATTTTAGGAATGAAAGTGGTTAAACCATTGTTTCATTATTCTAGTGGGATATTCGATCCCGATCCAATCATGTGCGAAGAACAATCAATGGGATCACACGCCCTACTGATTGTTGGTTATGGCGAGGAAAATGGGAAACCTTATTGGAATGTGAAAAATTCATGGGGCCCTCGATGGGGTTTAAATGGGTGACTAGACGATTCCAACTAGCTAAAATATTATTGAGAATTTAGCTATTTGAAACTAGCACGTGGAAAAAATAGCTGCGGCGCTGCCGAATTTCCAGTGGCTCCAATCTTGAACTGACCGAAGTTCAAAACTTTGTCTTGTTCATTATTTATAAATTATTGATTGTTTTTGAAATTATATCCATTTGATCTTTATTTTCAAACACATATTTTAACATTTGAATAGAATTTTAATGAGACTGAACTGCAGCGGGAAGAGGACGGTTTCTTCGCTGCAACTTGATGATCCAATCCTGGGCAAAAGTCGGAAGGGTCGCCAAAGGGATGTAAAACAAAATAGTGTCCCATCCAATCCAATACCTCGTCTTTGGGTATTTTCCAAACAGAGCGTGCTCATAAGCTCGAAGCACCGGCGACAAATCATCAGCGCAATGGGATAATCTAGAGAATCTCGAGTGTTTATCTGAAATTGCTCGAATTAATAATTGACAACGCATCCATTTATTTTTACAATCATCGAAAAACTTCTTTCCATATTCGGCTTTTCCCTCATCGCTCAAACGCTCCCAGACCTTGTCCAAATCTTTGGTGGCTGATTGGGTGATGTTTGTGGTGAAAAATCCGGGCTCCAAAAGATGAACACTAACACCGAAATCGGTCAACTCGTGACGTATTACATCAGCATAGGCTTCCACTGCATGCTTTGAGACGCAGTATGGGCCAACTGTAGGCCTTGGAGTTCGTCCAGAAACTGAGGAGATAATTACCACTCTAAAATTAAATAATTAGCCTAGCTAATAGTGATATTTACTAATTAGTGTACCTTCCTTTCTGAATTTTCACAAATTTCTTCAAGTTTTGAATGAAGCGCATAACTCCAAATGTGTTTACTTGCATGGTCTGAACTTGTCAATTGATATTTCTTATTCCTATGAATGCCATTACATTGATGTAGTCGTTGACATTGAGCCAGTCATCAGGTCCAGTATTTCCGAGAATCCCCGCATTCGCGACAATACCCCAAAGGCCTTGTTTACCAACAATCGTGTCGACGTATTCCGCGAATTTCTGAGCACTTTCGTCACTACTCACATCAAGTCGATGCGTCTTCAGGAGTGTGGGATTACCTACTATATCCTTCAGAATCTCCTCGTCCTGGAATAGAAGATTATATGAATTTTTGATTGAAGTAGACATTATTGAAATTAGTTCGTTGAATAGAATATTTTAATATGCACCTTTTCATTGTAGCATCCGGCAATGACGGTGACGCCCTGACGAACAAGACGAATTGCCAACAAGTGTCCGAATCCCGTGTCGCATCCCGAAATAGCAACGACCCGTTTCGCATTAATGTTGATCTTTTGGGACATTACCCATTGGTATGCTGAAAAAAAATTATCACATGTTGAAACATCATATGTGGAAACCTCGGTGAATTATATAAGCGAACGCTGCCCAAAATAAAATGCAAGTAAAGCACACCATTTTGAGCCGATTGTCAGTTTTATCAACTAGGCTTCGACTTCATATAGTTGCTCTTATCTTCAACGGCTGATGCAACTGTTTTCAATTAATTAATTGACAAAAGTCGAGATAACAGCTTATGTTGGCAGTTTTATTACAGTGGCACAATCAAGGACAGAAAATTGGCTGATTGCGAGTAGTGTGATATTTTGCTTCGACAATTCAAAGGGATGACGACATTTTTATACTTTTTCCAAATAATGTGATAATTTTAAAGAATTAGAAGCAGTATCTATTCAAAATGAAAATCATTGCAAAAGTTTTCCGAGCGATTTCAGAATTGGTTAAATTTGGACAATGACAGCCGGACATCTCTTTGTACACTCAAAACACTTCAAATTGTTGGAAAAATTCTAGGAGAAATATCACCATACTATAAAAAATATCGTAGTTATTTCCACTTTTTCCCGGAATTATCAACTTTCCATGTCTACGCGTGTCAATGTTTATTCAGAAATTCCCTTCCTGTTCTCCAATTTGATCTTCTTATTCGTCGATTCGCGAAATCCGACACCACATTCTCCATTAATGATTTACGCTGGTTCCATGTTGTTCACTTTACTATCAGTAGCAATAAAATCGAATTCTCAAGATTCCCATTTGGTGATAATGAGAAGAAATGAGATGCTCGGTGCAAAAGTACGTTTGATCATTTATCAGGACATCATCATTGTCAACAATAATTATTTTTTGATTTTCTTGGTGCACCAATCGAACAATGGACCCAGATTTCTGAATAAACTAATTGATCATTAATTGAATTGAATAATAGAATAGAGAGGGAATCGAATGTTTGCAACATGATAGTTTGGTACCAGCGCGTTAAACAAACACGAACCCAATTAAGCCGAATTTCTTTCCTACTTATTTTATTTTATTTTTATTCGCTGAACATTTTAAGTAAACCGATTTATTCAGGAAAACGATCGGAAAACACAGTCGGAAAAAAACAATATGAGATCAAGATACACCAAGAAATAATGAATATAGTTCGGAATTTGGCAAGTGTACAGCATTATTATTATTAATCAGTTAATAATGAACTCGCAGAGCAACCAATTTTAGGATATTTGGGACGACGACACAGGGAGTAGCCTTTTTGAAACCGGTAGCTGAATTGGGGGTAGTGGAAGAATTTGGAATATCAAAGTTTCAGATATGAAATTAGCCATGTTGTCGGTTGTTTAAAACAGTTAATTCTTTTTTTTTTTGACAAAATCAATTGTTTCATATTTGGATATGACATCAAGTGTACAATATTAAAGCCATTCAACACTTGAGCTCTCGGAGACGACACCATGCGATGATTCCTCCTTCTGCTCAATTCGTTGGTATTGGGGTTGAGGGAGATTGGTGAACGAGAGCGCCTTGCCGACAAGTGACGGCTCTTGGCGGGGAACTAATGAGGGTCGCCGCGGGATGTCATGAAGCGATGAGCTCAGCATGTTCTGCGACGATTGATGGCTAACCGGACATTCAAGGTAGTTTCCGCTACTGAAAGAAATTTACGATATTCCAATTTCAATTTGTGTAATTATCACCTGGCTGGCGCAGTTGTCCTTCCTCGAAATGGCGACATTTTCATTAACGCGTTTCCAGTATCGATTCCGGCCGACTTAATTTGGGTTCCAACTTGTTGAATGTTCTTCCAAATCGGGGTGAAACTGGTATTCATCGTACTGTTGACCCCGGGATGATCGAATGCCGAAGTTGTGGCTCCTGATCGAGTCCCATTGATGCATCGCATCGTCGAATTTCGGAGGTTTCGGTTGAGGAACGCGTAGAAAAGCCAATTGAAAGCGCTCTGAGCATACGGTAGAGCGTGCATTAGATACATGAAAGCGATTTGAAAGTTGATGGCAATTTGTGGGAGCTGCTCGGGCTCCTGCTCCTCAGCGGAATAGTAGGAGATGGTCTGAGTGGTGTCATCTGAAATAAATGGAATTTTCGATTTCAACTCGTATCAATTTCGGAAATATGAGAATTTATTCGCGGATGACTCAATCCTGCCCCACATGTTTCCATTTTTGGGCACGCAATGTTCGTTAATACGTACTTGATTGCCTAAATTTAGCAATTGCCTCGAAGGCGTCTATGAATTACTACGTATTTCGAAGATGCGCTTTTGTTTGCGAATACGCCTGTTTTTTTTGTTTCATTCCAAATTCACGCTCCAAACAAAAAAGATACACCCACTTTTCTTTTCAAGACCCCTCTATTTTAAAATTCTAGGTTTTCGAGCACTTTCACGCTATGACGTTTAGTGACTAATGTTGAAGTGGTGGATTTTAGACTTGAAAATCTTGACACAGAAAAAAATGAAAGGACTAACTTGACACTGCAACAATTTCCTCAAGCTCGTCGCTGGATGCTTGAAACACTAGGAAGTAGTGGATTCTCATTGTCCAATACGGTGTCCAACAGATGAAGTAGAATGCGACCACCATCACACTGCATTTGACAACGCGCGAGAGCGAGATGCTCGTTTTCTGTCCTACTGTGGAGAATCGAGTATGAATGTAGAGTTTGTGAAGGATTGCTAGGTAGACGGCGCAAATGATGGTCAATGGGATGAGGTAGCATATTACAGTATGCATGATGTCGAAAATCAAGTCGGGCTTGTCGTTTTCGCCGACAGCGCATTTTGAGACCTCTCGCATTTTGTTATCCTGCATCGGGCGAATTGAGGCATGTTGGGTGACTGGGATGATGAAGATCAGTGAGATGGTGGCACACACGGTAACGACGAACAGCGAGAATTTCGTCTGGCGCATCCAGTGAAGTGTTGGATGGCATACAGCGATGTATCTGTCGATCGAGAGAGCCATTAGGACCAATGGAGACAATGTTTTGTTCATTCCCTCGCATAGGAAGAACAGTTTGCACATAGTTGTACCAAATGGGAAGTGATTTTCGTAGATATCCGTGACTAGCATAGGAACCGGTATGAGAGAGATCAAATCCACAATTGATAATGATAGTAGGTAAATATAGGCTGATGAGTGAACCATGGCCTTGTAGTTTCGCCCACGATTCACAGCGCATCCAATGAGTTGCAATGATACTGTAGTCAGCACCCACATATTACCCAACAGACCAGTGATAGCCAGCGCCGAGTAAACGACCATCACAATGATGCTCTCCAATGATATGTCATTCATCTTGATTTCAGATCATTCGCTGGACCGAGAATATGAAGATAAGGTAGACGGCAAAAATATGTGGGTTGGATAGGGGGGTGTGACAGCGACAGCGGCTCGAATGAATGAATGAAGGAGGGCGTGGTTGTCCGTCGAGCAAAGCAGAAGCCGGCCGGACCTTGTGCACTTTGCGATGACGGGGCGTTCCCAGTACCTAGGATCGGATCAGTCTATTTGAATGGGCGGCCAAAGAATCTGAAGGAAACTCATCAGTCAAATGGGAATACAAAAGTTGGACAAAGGAATGTAATAAGAAAATGTACACGTGCACATTTTTAATAAACATGAGTACTGCAAACAAACTGATTTTGATTTTCTGAGAGGGAAGGGAGAAATAAATAATAAGGTAGCTTGCAAATGGATAATATTCAATATAATGATTCGAAGTGTTTCAAAAAGACAAGGTTTAAAAACCAAGAATTTTTTACGATTAATATTTGAAACGCCTTCACACGCTTTCGCTTTTAATTTTTCCTCTAGACACAGCTACATACAACTTATTAAATCAATCAAAACGTGGGAAAAATTGTTTCACGATTTATAATTTATTTTGATATTGTATATCCTCATTGCTGTCTGCTGAATTGTGTTTGTTTTACGATTTCCTTTTTTGGCATTTTTTTAATCTAAAACCAACACCGATTGAAACGCATGACAATTGCTTGAGTTTAATTAAACAATAAAGCCAACAAAAATTAAATTAAGATGACAGAAATCAAAGATGATGAATACACAATTACTATATGGAAACGGGATCCGGTAGATCAAAAATAGCAAGGGAAAAAAGATAGCAAGAATAGCAATGTTCTTTAATGTCAACGGGCGTGTGAAAGGGATATTATTGGAATCAAATAAGCTGCCCACGAATGAAACATATAATAGAAGGTCCGCGAAAGTACCAAAAAATCCGAGCAGTTGAGTTATTTCAAAAGTTTTTTTCTTTGTTGTTATTTTTTCCCAAGAGCCACACCCACAAAAAAAATACGTTTAAGACAAAAATTTATGCAATCAAAAATTGCAAATAAGAGCAATGCACTATTTTGAAAAACATGAAACAGAACACATCATATAACAAAAAAATGAGGAGGTGAGAAGCGGTGTCGAATTTCGATACTTTTAAATTCTTCTTTGGACCCGCATATTTTAATGAATTTCAATTTTCTGGGAACTCATTGTTTAGCAAATTGTTGACACATATAAACATATGATTTTATGGAAAACGAACTTTAAATTGTATTTTTTTTTTCAAATCAGCTATATTACTTTTTGGAGGTAGGATGACCGTTGCTGTCAACAAAAAATACGGTTTTAAAGCATATTTTAAAAAATCAAAAATTCGAAATTTTAATAGAAATAAGCTTGCCAACCAAAATTAATTTTGGTTTCAGAAAGGGTATGGCAAAAAACCTCGAAAAATTCGTAAAACGTCTAGACTATATCAAATATTACCATTATATATTTCGTGTATTACTCATTTAAGTGCATTTTCAAATAAAAACGAATGTCTTGTGTTTTTCTTTTTTTGCAGATTCCCCCCTCCCCATAATAAAGACACGAGAATGTATTTTGGAAGTGTGCAAAATTGAAAGGAATTGGTCAAACAAATGGCCGAAATCGTATTCCCTCGGGAGTGAAATTTTGCAAAAAAAAATTTCTCACACTTGATATGACAGCAACGAAGAAAAAAGTTCGAAATTGTATCATGCATAGACTATTTTTTTGTTTTTTTCAGTGACAAGATCCTTGCGCGCAGAAATTTGCGGATGTAAGTCCTTCCGCAAATAACGCTGCGGAAGTGTCGACAATTCGTAATAAAAATGAATGAAGTCAATTTTCGATAAGTGATCGTTGAAGCAAGATGCAAACGCGCGTTTCCCACACCTCTACAGCTCAAAAGTTACTTGAGAATTGCGCAAAGTCTAGCAATTACAAAAGGATTATGAGACACTACAGATGTCAGTACTTATTGAGCATTATAGCATTTTAATTAATAATCTATGTGGGTGGAATGTCTTCAATTAGGTTAGTCAACTGAGTGGAAAATTCGATTAGGCTATCATTTTTTCCATCACAATTTTTGAATAAAAAAACAATGTATTCTCTAAAGGAGGAAAAAAACCAAATTCTTGCAGAATTTCTTTTTAGAAAATATTCGACACAAACCATCAGGTGCACTGAGAGATGTACAGAGCAGCAACATTGTCAAACAAAAACCGGCGATCTTTGGTGAGTCGGGAAGGTAGATCAATTAAAGGAGACCAGACGAAAGCCGAATTGGAAGCATAAACAAATTTTGGAGCTGTTTCTATAGTAATGGAATCCGTCGAAACAAACAACGTCTAGTATCACAAACAGTAAATGATGTTTAAGTGTACTTGATCTTAGTTAAATAGAAAAGGAAGGAGAGCACGTAAAAATCAGAACAATGGCCGCTTGCGTGAACGTGTCCTGCCAAATAAATAAAGATCTGGCTGCTCGAAAAAAATGGAAACATTCTAGTTTGACAATTAAGTAGTAAATGGTTATGACGGGTTTCTGAGGATTATGCAAGGTTCTGATTTTCATTTCAAGACAAAATTCTTAAAATATGATTTTTTTTTAATTTTAAATGTTTCCAGAAACAGGAAATCAAATTTTAGTGCTTTAAGAGGCAAAACAAAAAAAGGATTGAGTTCACAAACAAATTCAATGTGCTTTATTTTTGCCTAATTAGGAATTTATCTGTGTTTAAAATAAAAGTCCCGACGATTTCGGCAACGGCAGACATTTATATCCCACTCAATAAAAAAAAACCGACAATGGTGGACGTAATTCGATAAGAGTGGACAAATAGTGGTCAGACCGAGGTCATCTTTCTAATTCGAAACGGGCTCTCATATTTTTTTTTTCGCCAGCGCATTTTTGTGCCTGCAAGCGCGTCCGAATTGTGCAAATTTCTCATGTTACACACTGGCCTTTGAGTATGTCTCCCACTCCTGAGCACACACTCAATTTTTCACGTTGCATCTCTCGTTAATTTGATAAAATGAAAGAATTACCTTGTCGCCATTCTATTCTTTTTGCGAAAAAATGTAGTGGAAAAGAAAGATTTTCGCAAAGTGAAAACAAATTTTTAAGAAAGTACCACAAACATGTTTGGCATAAGTAGGGAAACTGATAAAGATAATAGCAGCCCTACTTGGGAGTTATATGCAATTATTTTCAAACTCCACACTTTATTATAAATGGGATAATAATAAACTACAAAAAGTATGCAAAATGCTCATTTCATATTTCAAATCTTCTATATATCAAATGGCAAAAACACATTAAAATATGAAACGCTTTTTGATAAACATAATTGATGTATAGAATGATTAAATAAAACTTCCTTTAACTTAATTTTCTAAACAAAAATGCATTGCCATTAACGTGAAATATGAGATCCAGCGTTTTTTTTTCGTCAATGGGTATTGTGTTTAATATATTACTATCGCCAAAAAAAAACGAGGACCCTTGATGTACACAGACCTGTGTATTTACGGCGCTTTAATTCAAATTTCAATTTAAATAGTGGGAATTCGAACAAATATTCAGCGAATCATACTTACTATAATTTATAAATGACACTAACGAGGATGCTGGTTTCTTTTTTGCCAATGTAATAATTAGGCATGTCCGGATGGAACCACTTAACGCAAAGAAAGTGATATCAATTGAGTGAAATTATTTATTTACATAACGCTCTTCAGGACAGCGCGAATAGTTTTAAAACATTTTAAGCATTAAAAATCTGAAAATTGAAAAAAAATGCGAGTACTACTGTAAACGTGACATTTAGCTATATTCCTTATATAGTATAGACGTCTATAATGTGTTAAAGGTCATTATTTCGAAATCCAACCATTTAGGAAAACACGAGTTGAAAAAAATTAATTCTGGACGAGATCTGGGCTTCAACCTAATTATTATGCGATGGAAGATCTATAGATTCTAACTGGCTACTAAAAATGAAAACAATGAAACTTGACAGTTTGAATTTTACTATTTGGGAACATTTGCTTTCATGTAATTATTTTTGCGATTATACCATATTCGGGGCCAAAAAGACCTTTTAATACCTTGGAACTATTTTTGAAAAAGTATGAACGTCAATTGTAATTTTGTTCTACGATTGCGTAGTGCAAAATGAGACAAAAAAGCTTTTGATGTTTGGTATTTTCAACAAAAAAGTGATGTTCATAGATTGAGGTATTCTGGGGTCAATTTTTACCCGCCCAAACTCCGTCTCCATTCGATGTTCATCCGAATGGCACACATTCACTCAAATTTAATCTTGATGAAATGCGAATAAAGTCACGCGCAGCATACTGTATTTATTTTTGATTAGGTGAAACATTTCGCCGCCTTTTGTGTTTGCACAATGATGATATTGAATAAATGAGAAAGGAAATCTCGCGAGATGAAAATGTCGCGCCTCTTTAATTATGATTATGGCTCGTCGCGGCATCACGTCAAAAAAGAAGAAGAAGAAGAGGATCTCGTTTCGGCAACGTCTGCCGAGTATTCTCAAAGCCGTTAGGGACCAATGATATTCGATTTCGAGAAACCGCACAAATAAAAAGTTGACCATGAAAAACATGTTTGTAGAGGCGAACAATAAAATAAATGGGAGCATTTGGTTACGTCGATCTGACTAAACAATTAACTAACACAATATACTAGCAGTCTGGTGGGTGAGCGACGCAAAATTCGGTAAATAGGCTTCACAATAATTTGACAATTAGCGGCGTGACTTCCTTGTACTCAAATTCACCGTCGAGACCCTTGATTCTTTTTTACTATTCAAGGCTACCGCACACCAAACAATTTTTTGTTAATGCATTTTGCCAAATTAGCCCATATTTCAATAAAATACTTTATATGGAAATCGTCCATACGCTGAAAAGCTGATTAAAATTTACAGCATCTGTTGTAGTCAT